CAGTGGGAACTGATCCAGTGGCAAAAAACGCCCCATTTTGCATCCGGGAAGTGTCAAAAATGTGGCAAAATGCTTCCCTCGCCAGGTGAAAAAACTCCTTTTTGAAGGGCTTCCTCACAAAAAGAGCGGGCGCGCTTTTGAAATCTGAGTTTTTCACTTGACGAGCGAGGCATTTTGCCACATTTTTTAATACTTCCTGGATGCAAAATGGCCCGTTTTTTGCCACTGGATCAGGTCCCACTGCAGAGTCAAAATTTTAGAGATATTTTTGAAATTTTTTATTTTTCATTTCTCAGGCTTCACTCTCACCAACGAAAAGTATCAAAAATGTGGCCAAATACCTCCCTCTCCCACTGAAAAAAAACCCTTTTTGAAGGGCCCTTGCTTTCGCAAAGGAGCACACTTTTAAATTCGGAGCTTTTTTCACTTGGAGAGGGAGGCATTTTGCCACATTTTTCCTGGATGTTAAATAGTCCGTTTTTTGCCACTGGATACTTGTACAAAAAGACAAGACTTTTTCTCATAAAACTAGCAAAAAATAAGAAATATTTTTCTCTGACCGTCTCTCCACATTTCGCATACTCTCTCGCCAAAAATAATCGTTGAATATCTCCGCTCTCTCTGCAAGGAGTAGGCCAAATTTCTCAGGAATTGATGTGCGAACAGCTTATCTCTTGTACACAAAAATACACAAAATTTAAAAAGTCTAGACATTCAAAAATTTCGTCATCAAAAAATCCCATAAAAAATCTCTCATCCAGACGGAAAGTCGACACGCCGTCAACAGAGTTGTTTTTCCTCCCAAATGTCCTTGGAGCGACCTATTCAAGACGTTTTCTGTTATTTTCGACGGAATTTCGAAGGTCACAAGAAACGAAAAATTAAAAAATCCCTGAAACAGAAATGAAATTTTTTCTCTAATTTATGTGAGGGTCGTAAAAGGAGATGGTAATTGAGGAACGGTCGGGCTTTGAAGGCTGGGATAGTGAAATTATAAGGGTAATTTGGAGAATTTTCGGTATTATATTACACTTGACAGCAAAAATTTCAAAATCAAAATTTTTCGTATAAAATGTCGCCAGATGAGTAATGGCCAAAAATGTAAGGTTTGTATAGCATAAGCTCTCAATGGATCAAATTTCATTGCCTCAGGGGATTAAGAAGCCGAGATATGCTCGTTTCAAGTCTATGGGTTTCGGCCGGTTCCGGCCGCGGGATTATGCAAATTTTGGAAATTTTGATTGAAATAATGGAAGCTAAGCCCTGTAGCAACATAGTGTTAAAACTTCGCATGTCTACCTGACTCTTAACACATCTCAAAAGCCATATCTTTATTAGTAATCCACATATCCCAAAAAAATCTCCATTTTCCCCATTTTCTCAAATTTTCAAGTATTTTTTAACTAAACTTCAACTCAAAAAAACCTTCAAAATACAACCTAACCCCGCATGCACCTTCTGGAGGACATGTTGACACCAAAAGCGGCCAACAAAATCCGAAAAAGAGCGAAAGAAAACAAACGTTCGCTCGGGTCGTCATGGTGAAGAAAAAAAGATAAAAACACCGCGGATATGGGGAAATGTGAGCAAAACATGAAAGCATTATGAAGATGAAGGCTGTTGACGTTGGAAAATGAAAAAATAAGAGCAATTAGGGGAAAGGGCGAGTGGATAATTCAGGAATATTAAAATTGGAGATGAAAAATATAATTTTTGGTGATTATTAAGTTGTAAGACATTTTTTCATACAAAAAATGGTTGAAAATAGTTTGAGAAGAGCTAAAAATAGAATTACAAACAAAAAAATTTTTAATTTCATGATTTTAAGCCAAAATCGGCTAAATTTCCCTGAGGGCATTCTCAACTTTTTGACCTCAAAATTTGATGAAACTTGGTGCAAATTTAAACTAGACTGTTTTAAGACGTATGTGAGATTTTTAGCCAGCAATTTGCAAAAATCATCGAGATTTTTAAGCCTAAAGTTGAAAAAATAAAATTTCTTTTTTTCAAAAATTTCAACTAAAAAATCAAAAAAAAAACGTCTTTGCAAGATTTTTTCATTGCAGAGCTCTGCAGAGTAATTTTTCTCCGGTATTCTTATCACTATCAATCTCCCGAAGCACTTTTTTGACCAAAAACGGGGAAGAAAACAGTCCCACGTGCGGGTTGTCAACAATTTTTTTGATTACAAAAGTCATTCCAATGGGCGTTTTGACAAATTACGAAAATCGACTGCCAATAAAAAACCAGTCACTAATTTTGAAGTTGATAAATTGGAAAACTGATTGATTATTATATACTTACTTACTGGACGTTTTAATTTTAGTAGTTGTAAATAATGGAAAAAAATTGTTTTTTACTGGGGAAGTACTCCTAAATTTTGATGAAACCTGCTAAAAACTTACAGGGGAAGTACTGTAAGTTTTTAGCAAATGCGACGCTCAGATTTTGGTGAAACTTGGCACAATTTTAGAACAATTTTTTCTAAGATATATGCGAGAATCCTAGCTCGCGCTTTGCAGAAACAACCGAGATTTTTAGATCGAAAGTCGGCCAAAATTTAGGACTTTTTGCCGAATTTCGGCATGAAAATTTTCATGCCTATTTAAACCGTAAAGCATAATTTTCTATACAAAAAATCAAATTTTTCCGCTCGAAACTGCCAAAGTTATGGCCAAAAAGGTGTTTTCTTTCTGACCGCTCTTCACGTTTAGCGTGCTCTCTCGGCGGCAAAAATCGTTCGATATCTCGGCGGCGCCCGCAAAGCGCGAGCTAAAACTTTCAGGAATTGATATTTAGTCCATACTAGACATGGCTGGGGGGCCGGGCCAGGGCCGAAAATCGCGGCCCGGCCCGGGGGCCGGAAGCGGTCGGCCCGGCCCCCCCTCAAATTTTCTAGGCCCGGCCCGGCCCCCAGGGGGCCGAACTGTAAATATAAATACTGCATTCATTACGAGATATAACACATTTTTTTGGATCTTTGGTAGTTCAAACCCCCACAGTTTTGTCCATTTCACACCCCCCATAATTAAAAAATTAGAATAACACAAAAAATGCAAATTAGATTTAGAGTAAGATGACCCCCGGCGTTTTAGCTCAAACCCCCAGTTACATTCGTTCTTATGGTTTAGGCAACGCTGATCGTACCCGAGAGAACCTAATCCCGAGTAGGCTCTTCAGATTGGATGAGGCGGTTTATACTGGGTCAAGGGGGCTGAACTGGACTGGGGGGGTTTTACTACCTTGGCCGATTGTTATAACAATCGACAATTAATTTTTGAAACAAAAAATTACCAACCATTGCCTAAAGTACTTCAAAAAACACAATCGTTCTTGGCTCTGCGTTTTATTTTTATTGGCAACCCTAATCTTCGCTTTGAGACGGGGAATTTTTGTCATTGGGGGCCTGGCGGGGCCCCCCGGTCGGCCCGGCCCCGGGGCCTTTAAAAATCGTTCGGCCCGGCCCACTAGCCATGTCTAGTCCATACCCGACGTGTGTGCAAAATTTAAAGAAAATCTGAGCGTCGCACATGGAGTACCTCCCCTGTAAATTTTATAGATCGTCTTTTCGACCTACTTCCCAGCCAATTATCCAAAAAATATTTCACCTCCCATAACGATCTTTATGAGAATCTCAATCCGAATTAGCAACTAGGTAATTTATAATACGCCCCAATAATCAGCCCGTAAAATCTGGGAAACCCAAGAAAATGGGCAGTAATTTGAAAAAAAAATAAATGAACTATTTATCTCACACGTATTTTACCAAAATTTTTCTCATTTCTGGTCTCACCACGAAAACAATTTAAATTTGAAAACTGCCTAAAATAGATTGCAAAGTTTTTCAAAATCAGCCTGATGCAATTTACACTCAAAATTAACGCATTTTCATATTAAAAATCGTTTTGAAAAAAATATCTTTATTAAAAAAAATTTCGAATCATCAATTTTTGACCACCATAAACCTCCGTATCACTCAAGTTTAGCATTAAAAATCACATGGCTAAAATTTATTCAAATCTCCATCATCTACCACGAGCATTTAGACTATTTCACTATATTTTTTTAGCAAAAAAACCCCGCGATTTCGTTATAAATAAACCAAAAAATTGAGCGGAAAAAAAAAGTTTACAAAGTGAGACTACTTTTCTCGAACTTCTATTGTATTCGAGACAAAATGGCGTTTAATAAAAATTGACTTTGAGTCAAAAAATTTTTTTTTGAAATGGTCAAAAAAATCATGTATAATATAAAAATTGAGCCAAAATTTGGAAAAAATAATTCAATTTCTATTTATTAAATTTTGTATTTTACCCAAAAATGACAATTTTCCAAAAATTCAAGCCTAATTTTTTTAATTTTGGGTCCCACCACGAAAACAATTGAAACTTTAAAACCCCCTAAAATTCATTCAAAATGCTCTCAACATCTCTATTAGGCAATTTACCTCCTCAATTAGCCCATATTTTTCCCAAAAATCGCAATTTTCCTCCATTTCCCATCAAAAATATTATCCATCCCAAAAATTTCAAAAAATTCTGAAAAAAAATTCCAAGTCTTGACCTTTCCGCTTCAACGACTGACTTCTAAATCATTTTCACGGAAGGGACGGGCGGGAAAAACGCGCTCGAGAGTGTCCCGGAATGTCTGTGATTTACCGTGAAAAGGGGGGCTGATTTCGCAATTTTCACTTTAAAACATTGTTTAATTTGGCTTGGATTTCGAAATTCGAGGGGGTGAATAGGCTAAATCTTTTGTTATTTTACTTTAACAAACTTTTTTGACCAATTATTTTGAGTTTCATATTGAAAAATCAAAAAATTTTTGAAAATTTTGATAAAAATCAACAATTTATTTACAAAACTGAGATAAAAAGTGACAATAAACACTCAAATCTACCTATTTTTACTCTAGCTCCTATTTAGGCAACTAATTATGATCATTTCAAAACAAATTCACCCCGTATTTTACACTATATTATCCATGATAAAGTAACATAATCAAAATCCAGTTTGCAGATCGATCGGCCTGAGGCTATTTCCATTTTTTCCTGGGAGCATTTTGTACAACCGTTTGAGATTTCGGAACTTTTTGTTGCTCCGGAACTTCTCATCAGCTGTATAACTGATTTTCATGTAGAGCGCAGCGGACATTCGAAATAAAGCTTCATCATTGGCGCGTAGCGAGTGAATAAACACTCTCCTGCAAGCAAATATGAGTTCATCTCGCTGATCAAACAAAAATTTATAAAAAAATCGAGGAAAATTTATTTACACTAGGCAAAATTTGTCAATTTGGCTGAAAATTGGGGGAACTTGGATAGGAAAAGGTGGTGAAAAACTTCGTATGGCAGAAGTTATCAGTAACGCCGAGAATCTATACAGCTTCCCCACAAGAACATTGTTCTTCCATCAAAAATCACAAATCTCCTCTAATCTTTACCTAAAAATCAAAAAAAAAATCTAAAAACGACTTACAATACCGCTCTAAAGGCGTTCTGGTAATCTCCAAGCTGTGTCATCGCTGTTCCATAGTATAATACGGCTCTTCCGCACATAAAATCGTCTCCCATCCGAAGCGCCACCTTGAACTGGGTCTCTGATATCCTCAGTGCTTTTAGGGCCTAAAAACCAGCCTTTTCAGTCAAATCAAAAAACAAAAAATGTGCTAGGATCAGCATGACACCTTATACTTACTGATTCTTTATCGCCGCAATCGCCTAATGATGAGAATCCACCGCCTAAAGTTGAGAGGAACCACATTCCGCTTTCGAGCCGGAGACTTTCGTAAAATTCGGATAGAACTAGGCCATTTCTAAATTTCAAAAGCAGAATATTTGTTGAGAAAAGTCCTAACATACCCTTTGAGATCAACAACATCGAAATCGCCCGACTTTTCGAAGATTATTAGACGACATGGCTAAAAAAAATAAAGCAAGGTGGTTGATCATGGATAATAAGTTAAATAAAAGTAAATTCATGCCAGTTTGACTGCAAGAAGCGTCCTATCAGCTGGTCGGAACAACAAGCTAGCTAATAAGATAAAGGAATGCTTTAATTGCGCTTTACAATAAATTTTCTGGACGAAAACCATCTGATACTTTGTGCAATATCCAAAAAAGCTTAAAGAAGGCAAAAAAGGAGCCAAATCTACTTATCAGACAACATCTCACTCAATCCAGAGACATGATATAGCCGTGAAACATAAATGTAAGACCTAAATTCAAAAGAACATATAAAAAACCTCACTTTATATTGCAGTAGGCCCAAAGATTCCAACATTCTCTCTTCAGCTGCTACTTTCTTCCAATATTCGTGTTCTAACAGCCTTTCTAGCTCACGAAATGCTCTGATATCCATAACAACGACCAGAGTAATCCGAGAACATCCATCTCCACCAAATTCAAATGATTTTAGGTATCTTCGACGTCTTTTTCTGAGATTTCGAGAGGATTCTGTCGAGATCATCTCATGAAAGTTGATTTTACCGGGAATAAAACGTCTTTGTGACTGTCGAAAGCATGAATAACCTGGCAAGTGAGTACGAAGAAAAAATTTGGCAAAATAACAGAATGCCAAGATTTTTTGGCATTCAATAATTTCGTGGTGAGGCACATAGCTCACAGTGTTAAATATGTTGAAATGTGGAATAAACAGCTGGGAAGTGACTTTTGACGCTTCAATAATTCAGAATCACGTTGAAAATCTCGACATAAACCTCTGTGTTAACATTGCCATAGATAATATACATTATTTGTAATTCTTTGCTTATTTTGAGCTGGCAAGGGAAGTACCCCAAGCGCGACCCTCAAATTTTGATGAAACTTGGCACAAATTTAGAATATTTTTTTCTATAAAATGTTTGTGAGAATCCAAGCTCGCGCTTTGCAGAAACGACCGGGACTTTTGGATCGAAAGTCGGCGAAAATTTGAAACTTCTTGCCGAATCTCGGCACGGAAAGTTTCATTCCTACTGCTTCCATAGAGGGTAATATCTCCACAAAAAACCAACTTTTTCCGCACGAAATTGGCAAAGTTATGACAAAAAAGTGTTTTAATTAATCTCTGACCACTCTCCGCGTTTAGCCTACTCTTTCGCGGCGCTTGTAAAGCGTTTATAATATAAAATATTATGATAAAACAAATTCCACCCCAAATGTTCTATATGGTAAAACATTTATATGGTAAATGTTTTTGTATGATAAAACAAATTCCAACGCAAAAAAGGGTGCGGCCAGTTTGATTGTTTTCGATACTCGCATATGTTGAAGGCTTATCACACAAGGAAACGACTCACCTCCGCTTTTGGGCAATCTGCACGAAAAATTTCATATTATTTTATTGCTATCTATAACTAACTAACACTTGTAATTTTCGAATTTTAAAAGGTTAAAATATGCTTAAAACTGCTTTCAAAATCTCTAAATGTCTTTGGAGATGAAGAGGAAGAGTGTGTTTGTCTGTTTCGTAAGTCTCTTTTTTGTTGACTTCTCACTATTTTGCTTTATTTGGTTGAAGTTTATCGGCTATTCCATTGAAAATTTGTTTGACAATCATTCGGGAAAACAATGAGCAATAATGTCGCAGCGAAAATCGCATCACCGCCGAGAAATCACAAATTCGGCTTGCTTCCAAATGAACGCGTTCTGCGGAAAGGGCCGAGATTTTTGGGTCGAAAGTCGGCGAAAATGTGACACTTGTTAGCGAATTTTGACATAAAAAAATTGTGAGCTGTTTCTGCTTCTATCGCAGAGAGAAATGTTTTTAATTTTTTCGAAACTGGCAAATTTATGGGCAAAAAGTTTTTTTTTTCTCTCTGCCACTCTTCGCGTTTCACGTATGTACTTTATTGGCCGCAAAGATCGCCCAATATCTTGGCTGCCCTGAGGTACAAGCTAGAGCTTTCAGGAATTGATAATGGACCTATTAGTATTAGGGTCTATGTTTTTCGCATAGAAATAAAAATGCTTTTTCTTAGAAAACTTATTTTTAGAAAAAATGATTTTTTTCATAGAAAAAAACATTTTTATTTTAGAAAAAAATGGTTTTTCCCTAGAAAGTGTAATTTTTAGTAAATTTGCGTATAATGATAAAAAAAATGATCTTAAACAGTAATTAGAGAAAATTTTGTTAAGTAGTAGTGTAAAATAGTAAGACTAGTAACTTTTTGAGTAAGTATTGGGGACTAGGGTATTCGATGGTGCTGATTTCGAAAACATAGTTTGTTTATTGTGATTTTGACTTTTTCTTAAATAGTACTGTAAGTTAGTAACAATTTGTATTGTTTATGCCTCAATGTCGATTGAAATCGATTTCTTGCTCATACTTGAGTTAACCCTTATATAACTTCAGACAAATTCTGACGAACCAGAAGGAATATTCAATTAAACAATTAATCAAAAATTCAAAATTGCTACTAACTTACAGACTACTTAAGAAAAAAGTCAAAATCGCAAGAAACGACCTATGTTTTCGAAATCAGCACCATCGAATACCCCAGTCCCCAATACTCACTCAAAAAGTTACTATACTTACTATTTTACACTACTAATTAACAAAATTTACAACTAATAACCGTCTTAAATCAATTTTTGTTATCATTATACGCGAATTTACTAAAAATTACACTTTCTAGGAAAAAACCATTTTTTTCTAAAATAAAAATGTTTTTTTCTATGAAAAAAATCATTTTTTCTAAAAATAAGTTTTCTAAGAAAAAGCATTTTTATTTCTATGCAAAAAACATTTTCCCTTAGTATTATATGTTGGGAAAATAACGCAAAATTTTTTACCTCGTCGAAAAAAGGTACCAATTACCAGATGCGGCTAGACGTTGCAGAGCGATGATGGGCGATTGCAAAGACACAACGACCCGCCACTATTTTCCCGACAGACATTGTGTTTGCTCATTATTTTCTTGATATTAGTCTGTCGGGAAAATAATGTGAATTTGTCCCTAGACATGCCCCTGAGACCGGCGCGGCCCGCCCCCGGCCACCTTCGAATTAGCCTGGCCCCCTAAATATGAACTCTGCAATCGTTACGAGGAGTAACGTATTTGCTTGTTACGACAGTGAACAATAAATTTTTAAAATAAAAAATTACCTACCATTGCCTAAAGCACTTCAAAAAACCCACGGCGATTACATACGAGTCCACATTATTTTCCCGACAGACCGATATCAAGCTGCAAAAACATATTTTTTCAGATAATTCTTGTGATCTCACTAACTTGCATAACGTATTTTGCCTCCACCGACTACGCCGGCCGAGTTTTATTCATTAGACAGTTCTCCAAAGAATTGGTCCAACAAACCTTTAACTTGACTGCTTTTAACGGAGATGTCACCGCCGCGGAAACCTCAAAAAATCCCCATCGCGTTGATATGGGAGAATGCCTCCCGATTTATGGGAAAGTCGGGATTTTTGTGGCTTATTGGGGCAGTAAGCGGAAATACGAAACAGCCATCGATTCGTTGCACTGCTACGTGAAGTCCACGAACTACACGTTGTTTGAGATTGACGTGACAAAAGACAATGAGACATTGACACATTGCTCGGAATATCGTCATCCCATGTTTCGACGACAATGCGCAGTCGCCCTGTATGCGCAAAAAGTGGATTGGATGTTGGTTTTGGATGGAGGTGGGTTTAACTGTAATTTTTCTTTGTTTTCTATTTATTATTTTCTTTTTTTTAATTGAAAAGTTATGTCATAATTACAACATAATTTTCTCAAGTTCAGCCTAAACAATTTTTTCTAACACTATAATTTTCCGTCATGATTTACTGGGAAATACAGCTTAGCCTGGGCGCAGCTCGCGGTTGCCAAAATTGCCCTGAAACCACAGTATAACCCTTGAAATAGATGTTATGACTTCCCTAGCCAACTACGGAGCATAAAAAGTGCCATTTTTGGTCGGTTTATCTAATTTGATGACTTTTCGCGGGCGCAGCTCGCGTGTTAAAAACAGCGGTAAGATGACCGAAAAAATAGTTAAAATAACTTTTTTGACTTTGTTCAGCCCTAAAATGCAATTAAACTTCTTATATTTTACGGGTTTGGCTAAATTTATTGCATTTCGCGGGCGCAGCTCGCGTGCGCAAATTTTGTCTCATTTGACGTTAAAAATTTTTTAATGGCTTTTATATAATATTTTGCCCCCAATGACATAGTAAATAAGAATTTTGACTGCATTTGACAAAAAATTCGCACCTTGCCCGGGCGCTGCTCGCAGTTTCTTTTATATTTTTTCTGTCTCGGTTAATGAGCCGAGACAGACAATTTTGGATTAAAATTGTAAAATACGTTTATAAAAAAAGTTTTTTTGAAGCTGAAAAGCCTTCATGAACACAGCTTTCGCAATGAAAATTTTCATTTCAGACACCGCAGTTGTCAATCCCAATCATTGTATTGAAGAATATATCGACCCGTCAGTAGATATGCTCTTCTACGAACGGTTTTTTAATTTCGAATTTAATGCTGGTAATTATTTGGTCCGGTTTTCGAATTTTACACAAAAGTTTTTGATGGAGTGGGCGGAGTATGACAAAGAAATGTCGAACATTACGGACAGCGGCCGAAAATGGTTTAGCAATATTGATAATGGAGCATTGCATGTATGTTTAGAAACATTTATAATTGTTTTGAGATTTTTAATTTTTTGATTTTTTATTTTTGATTTTTTTTTTATTTTTTTATTTTTCAAAATTTTTTTATTATTTTTTTGGGATTTATTTGGATTTAAAAAATTTTTTTTTTTGATTTTTTAATTTTTTTCTTTTTTTTATTTAATTTTTTTTGTTTTTTAAAGATTTTACATTTTTTTTTGAATTTTTTTGATTTTTAATTTTTTTTCGATTTTTTAATTTTTTTTTCTATTTTTTTATTTTTTTTATATTTTTTTTGATTTTTTTATTTTCAAAATTTATTTATTTTTTCTACCTAAAAAACTCAGATCCACCTGGCCCGAACGCTCCGCGCGAATGCCAAACCTGAGCTCGATTACTGTAACGAAATTCGACTGGGAGTCGCGGAGATGAACCAATATTTCGGCTACATCACCTGCATTCGATGGATATTGGGGGCTCAACGGGAATTTCCGGGGAAGATTCGACTTTTTCGAAAAGCCCAGAGCTTTGTTCGAGATGCATGGTCGACAACGTTTGGATTCTGCGAATTGGACTTTATGTTTCATGATTATAAAGAGACGAATGTGCCGGAGTCCGTTTTTAAGGTGGGGATTTGAGGATAAAGCAGTGAAAAAAGCGAGAAAATTAAAGGTTGTAATTTATTGAAACCGGGCACAAATTTAGAATGTTTTTTCCCAGATTTTCTTTAAATTTTGCACACACGTCGGGTATGGGCTAACAAGGGAAATACCCCGATTGCGACGCTTAGATTTTCTTTAAACTTTGCACACACGTCGGGTATGGACTAAATATCAATTCCTAAAAGTTTTAGTTCGCGCTTTGCGGGCGCCGCCGAGATATCGAACGATTTTTGCCGCCGAGAGAGCACGCTAAACGTGGAGAGCGGTCAGAGCGAAAAACGGTTTTTGGCCATAACTTTGGCAGTTTCGTGCGGAAAATTTTGCTTTTTTGTAGAAACATTATCCTTTACGAATAGAAGAAACTTTTCGTGCCCAAATACGGCAAAAAGTCCTAAATTTTTGCCGACCTTCGATCTAAAAATCTCGGTTGTTAATGCAAAGCGCGAGCTAGGATCCTCGCATATATCTTAGAAAAAATTGTTCTAAATTTGTGCCAAGTTTCATCAAAATCTGAGTGTCGCACTTAGAGTACTTCCCCTGTAAGCCCAATGGCAGATTCCTACCTCTCACTTTGCCGAAACGACCGAGATTTTATAGTGGAAAATTGGCAAAAATTTGATACTTTTGAAAAGTTTCATGCTGATTTCTACTGTAGAGTAGAGTGTTTCCACAAAAAATTATTTTTTTTCCACGCAAAACTGACAAAGATATTGGACGGAAAGGTCCGCTAAAAAAAGGAAAGAAGAGGGCGGGGACGGGGGGAGGCGCTGATTTTGAATATCGTATCCATTTTTTCTGAATTTTACAATTTTCCTTAAGCAGTAGTGTTAACTAGTAATTAAAAAAAATTTTTTTGAGTAATGGATTTAGGGGTTTTCGGTGGTGCTGATTTTGAAAATTGTGTCCTTTCTTCTGAATTTTTGCCTATCTTCCTCAATTCTTTATGATTTTCGAAATCAGCGCCATCGAAAACCTCACCCCACCCTTCCCTCCGCCCTCCTCTTTCTTTTTTTAGCGGACCTTTCCGTACTCAATCGGCAAATTCTCTCTGACCGATCTCCACGTTTTACTTTTTCCCATGTTTTCAGGGACGCTTTGACATTTCCCGTTGCGGCTCCGGTCTTAATGGTTGGAATTGGAAAGAGGGGAAAAGAATTTCATGCGACGAATTGAAAGAAAAGCTGATTCAAAAGGAACAACGGTATCGCGAGAGTTGGTATCCAGATCAGTCCAAAATTAATCACCCTCTAAAATATCGGGAAATTGCGAGATGTTGGCCGAATTGTGATGAGAAATTGAGGAATAGGACGGAATAAGAATATTTTTTTTTATTAATTTTATTTATTTTGAATAAAAATAAAAAAAAATTTTTTTTTTTTTATGATTTTTTTATTAAAGAAATTTTTTTTTTCAGCGAAATTTCGCAGTAAAAAATGCAAATTTTTCCTCAAAATTTTGAAAAATAAAAAATTTGCGTAAAAATTTAAAATTTTCGAAACCTCCATCTTAATGAACTCAACCGAAAAATTGACTCATTTTGCTATTTTATGGATCATGAAAAGACGTTTGGTCGTTGTTTTGGTGAGAATTTTCTCCAATTTTTCAATAATTCACTTTATTTTAGGCATTTTTTCTCTTCGGATTGGCTTTACTCTTCTTCCGCCTAGAAAATGGCTGCTCCAGCACAGTTCCTCATTCCAGAAGGACCTCAAATTGGCCGAAATTGCAGTCAAATATATCAAAGCGGGCGGCGAATGTTACACTTGCCACAAGGAGGGTCAAAGTTTTTAAAAATTGGACCGGAAGGAAGAGAATGGAGCAGTGCCCTCCAATCTATGGGAAAATTGGGATTTTTATTAGCCACTGGAAAGGCAACGAGTGGGTTTTTTACGGTTAAAAAAAATTTTTTTTTTGACTTTTGCGAATTTCCATAAAAGATGTCATTGTGACACTTTTTTTACAAAAAATTTTTTTTTGCTGAGACTGTCTAATTACCTTTGAAATTTTATATTTTTACAATTTTTCTTTTTACAGGGTCTTTCAAGAAACGTGAAGGAAAGTAGGAGGCTATAACTTTCGGCGGAGGCGGCGCAGAGAGCCCGTTTTTGGAATATGTATTTTTAAGCGACATTATTTTTTGCCTCCGAAATAACAAGCTTTTAGAGTGCAAACTGAGGTCGCTACGACCTTCTGAAGTAGAGGCATCTCTACCCCGAAAACCAGGTTTTTTCGGTTGAAAATGATCGTGAAATTTCGGTCTTTTTCGGTTGAAAATCACCAAGAAATGCCGGATTTTTTGGGGGGTTTCGATAGAGTTGACGTTGAAAAAAGGGATGGATGTTGCCAAAACGTTGAAAAGCAAATATTCGGCTACTCTTTATTCTGACACTTGGGCTAGCCAGTTTTTGCTAGCAGTTTTAAAGCTTGGTTGTCATTCCTGCCCTTTGACGCCTATTACACCCTTTGAATAGTTTTTGTAAGACTTCACAGCCATTCTGGTGCCTTGGCTAGCCGTTCGAGGTTCCTCAAATCCCTAAATGATGTCACGCTTCTTCGCGAAAGATACTGAAAAATAAACTCGAAATTTGCCCCAAGTTGAGGCTAGCCGAATATTTGCTTAATTTCCAACGTGTTGGCAACATCCTTCCCTTTTTTTCAGCGTCAACTCTATCGAAACCCCCCAAAAAATCCGGCATTTCTTGGTGATTTTCAACCGAAAAAGACCGAAATTTCACGATCATTTTCAACCGAAAAAACCTGGTTTTCGGGGTAGAGATGCCTCTACTTCAGAAGGTCGTAGCGACCTCAGTTTGCACTCTAAAAGCTTGTTATTTCGTAGGCAAAAAATAATGTTGCTTAAAAATACATATTCCAAAAACGGGCTCTCTGCGCCGCCTCCGCCGAAAGTTATAGCCTCCTACTTTCCTTCACGTTTCTTGAAAGACCCTGTATTTCTGGTAAAATCTAAACCTTGCCTGGGCGCAGCTCGCGCACAAAAATTTCTTCTAAAATCACTCCTTATTTCTTAAAATAGCCTATACTCGTCATTTCCTTTCTTAAAAATAATTCTGTCAATTTTTCAGCCCCTCAGTTGATTTCCAGGGCGCAGCTCGCCAAGAAAAAAAATTGAATTTTTCCTTTATTTTTTTGATCATGCCCGCGAATCCTTAGAAATATATTTCCTTTAAAAGCTAATAAAACTTGATCTAAAAACGTAGGGGGCTTGTGCTGGACCATACAACTTGGATTAATTCTTTGAAATAAATTTTGGGGTTGAGAATGGACGAGGGGGGTTGTACTGGGTCATGGGGGGCTAAACTGGACTGGGGGGCTGTACTACCTTAGCCCCAACTTTTATTACACATTGATTTCAGCACGCTTTCTCCCATTCCACTCGACTCCATTCGTTGTTATGTGAAGTCGACAAATTACACTTTGTTCGAGATTGATATGAACACTGATAGAGAGACTCGGAGGCACTGTTCACAATACAAGGATATTATGTTTAGAAGGCACTGTGCCGTCACGTTGTATGCCAAGAAAGTGGATTGGCTTGTGGTTCTGGATGCAGGTAAGAAAGCCATTTCTTTTATCGTTTTTTTCGAAAAAAGCCCTGAAAAATAAGTCATGATGACGTTTTTTTGAAATTTTTGAAAATTTATTTGTCATTATGCGATGGTTGCAGTCTTTTGTTAACACTTTTTTTGCATCTTCAACAAATTTAAAAAATTGCCAGGGCGCAGCTCGCGGGGTAAAAACTTAGCTTAACTGGTGTAGGATTGATTTTACACTTTTCTATAATAAATCCGGACCACAGAAATGGCATTGTCGATTTTCTTCTTTTCGAAAATAATTTCCCTGGGCGCAGCTCGCAGAGTCAAAAACTTGAATAAACCGCTATAAAATTTCATTAAAATATTTTTTAGGCCCCTATGGTTCCCGAAATTTCCTTTTTAAACTATTTTTACCCTGATTTTCCGTAAAATTAATATCTTTCCTGGGCGCAACTCGCGACTTTAAATTCTTGTTTTTTTCAGACACTGCTGTGGTGAATCCGAGTCATTGCATTGAAGAGTACATTGATCCATCAGTTGACATCATTTTCTACGAGCGTTTTCACAATTTTGAAATTGCCGCAGGAAATTTTCTCGTCAGACATTCAAAATTTTCGCAAAAGTTCTTGTTGGATTGGGCAGGATATTTCAATGAGAGGCAGACGAAAGAAGGAGAGTGGTTCTCAAACAGAGATAATGGAGCCTTGCTGGTAAGATTTAATTTTTTTATTTTATTTTTTTTTTTATTTTTTTACTAATTTTATTCATTTTTATTTTTTTTATTTTCTCATTTTTTATTTCTATTTTATTTAAGATTTTTTTATTTTTGTTATTTTTAGCATTTTGGTTTTTTTTATTAATTTTTTCTTTTTTTATTTTTAGTTTTTTATTGATTTTTTATTTTTTTATTATTTTTTTTGATTTTTATTTTATTTAAGATTTTTTTTATTTTTAGCTTTTTGATTTTTTTTATTGTTTAAATTTTTTAATTTTTTTTTAGATTCATCTCGCCCGAAATCTGCGGCCGGAAGCCGAACCCGAAATTGATTACTGCAACGAAGTTTGGCACAATATCGAAGGCCTGGGTGAGTATTTTGCCTACGTGACATGCGTTCGTTGGATTCTGGGGGCTCAACGGAAATTTCCGGGCAAAATTCGAATCCACCGAAGAGCCGATGGGATTGCACGTGACCTTTGGGTTAATGATCCGGTCTTTTGCGAACACGACTTTATGTTACACGGATTTAAAGATGAGAAGAGGGGAAATCCGATTTTTTCGGTGGGTTTTTGAGATATCTTTTTTTGTTTTTATTATGTAAAATTATTTTTTATTAATTTATTTTTTGATTTTTTAGGAAGAATTTGATGTTTCGAAATGTGGTCGCAACTTTAATGGCTGGAATTGGAACAGAACATTCGTTGTTTCATGCGAAAGAGTGAAGGAAGAGTTGATCAGAAGTGAGGATTTTTTCCGATGGGTGTGGTTCCCAAACGCCTCAAGAGTTGATCATTTTATGAACTATCAAGAAATGTCAAGATGTTGGCCAAATTGCGACAAGAGAAGGGGAAAGAGGATATGAAATAATATGAGTGTAAAAGCAGTTTTACTTTAATAAAGTAATTTTGTTTTGTAAGGAATAAAATTGTATGTGTATTAAAATGGAATTTGTTTACTTTTTTAAATAATTTATTTTTAAATTCCTTGTTATTTTTGAAAAAAAAAATAATTAAAAATTTTTAAAATAAAAATTTTGAAGTTTCTTTTTTTTTATTAAATAAAAAGTATTAAAATGACATTTTTTTAAATAATTTTTTTTTTAATTTCTTGTTATTTTGGAAAAAAAATAATTAAAAATTTTTAAAATAAAAATTTTTAAATTTCTTTTTTTTAATAACTAAAAGTATTAAAATGACATTTTTTGAAATAAATTATGTTTAAATTTCTTGTTATTTTTAAAAAAATAATTAAAAATCTTTAAAATAAAAATTTTGGAGTGTCTTTTTTTATTAAATAAAAATAAAAAAATACTAAACCCGTAAAAAATTTAATTTTGGAATATCTACATTTAAAATTTTCCCAGGCTAAAAAAAGTAAAAGAACATGATTTTTAGTTTTTTTTCAAAAAAAAGTAAATAAAAAATAAAATAAAATAAAATAAAATAATATAAAATTTAAAATATCGCATTTCAAAAGCATTTTTCTGAGCTTGTAAAATACGTTACGTTTTTAATTTTTCAAAAAAAAAGAAATTAAATATTTTTTATTCATAAAAAATTCCGAAAATTTTACTTGATTCAGCAGATCTTTAAACTGTATTCCCCTTATTTTCCTCAGGATGGCCAACAAGTCGGCCATCAAAAATTTTCGAGCGGGGCTTTCGGATTTTTCGTAAAACATTTTTACGGCCGTCTCTTCTCCGCACTTTTTGCATGGCCGATCGGATCTCCTCTTCAAAAATGAGGGAGAAAAGTTGGTTTTGAGAGACGGCAGAGAAAGAAAGAGATTTTGGAAATGTCTAGACAAAATCTCGATATAACAAAGCTTTTTTAAAACAATTTTTTATTTTAAAATTTAAAAAATTTAAAAAAATAAAAAAAAAATTATTTTTTTGTTTTTTAAATTATTAAAAAAACTTAAAAAATTGTGAAAACCTCTCTATAACAAACCTTGAACAACAAAAAATCTCAAATCCCACCACTTTTTCTCACTTTTTTTCAAAAATTCCTGGCCACTTCCCTCCGAGAAACCCCCCAAAAAAACTTTGAGAAGAGACGGCGAGAGGACGAGAGCGAAGCGATTTGAAACTTTGGAAGAAAATCTCTTCAAGCCCTCCGGGCAAGCGAACAAAATGAGCTTTTGAGTTTTGAGGGGACGGGAAATTAGAGGAACATGACTAGGCTAATTTCTCAAAGGCGGGTGGGGATTTTTTGAGGCTCTAAAGTCGTGATTAATTTGATGAAACGAGTGGGGTTTGTAAAATACGTTGAACGTTTGTCCGTGTGGAAGTTATCAAAGAAATAAATTTTTCAAGCTTACAGGGAAGTACTCGAAGTGCGATGCTCGGATTTTGATGAGCCTTGGCGCAAATTTTCGGATAATGATTTCTAAGACATATCCGAGACTTCTAGCGTTAGAAACGGCGGTGATTTTTTAGGCTAAAGGTCGCCAAAAGGATAATTTTGTTCACGTGAAAAGTTCTATGCGTAGGAACAAACAGTAGTCTAGCAAAACAAATGAACTTGTTATTTATGCAGTAGTGGTACAGGCAGGCTCAACGCAACACAAGGGAACCAAAATTAAGGCCAAAAAACGGCACAACGCATCTTTTTTAACCTATAACTTCTTACTGCGACACGATAATCTTACCAAATTTTCGTTTTTTATAGAGAATATACTGTAGAATATTATGCGCTGTCCCTTCTGTTTCTCTAACGCTTGTTTTTCGCGGTGGGACACTTCAAAAATTTGTCTCCGTTATTTTGGGTCACCTTGTATAGGATCGTGTTCCCGTAAAAAATCGTTAGTTTTTGCAAGAATCTGGCAATACCATAGAGAATAATTTTTCCATAAAATATCATTTTTTCTATTGGCAAAGATAAAAAAAGTGTTTTTCTCTTTGACTGCACTCCATGTTTTGCGCACTCTCTCGGTTTTTAAAACATTCCAGCGGCTTTGTAAGCAAACTAATATTTGAAAAAAGGCCTCTAATTCTTCTAAAATACAAAAAAATTGATTTTTTCTAATCGAAATTTGAAAAGTTACTTAAAAAACAACATTTTTTGTCTTGCAGAATCTCATTATTGTCTTTCTCCCAACATTAAAGATTTTCATCCTACAATAATATTTGCAAAAATGAACCTTTCGGAACATAACAAAACTCTGTTGACATTTTCAGATATGATTGATTGGGATCTCTGCAGATTGCCTCTGTTTTCCTCCTTTGTTCCAAGTTTCCTTTGGCCCATTTTTCTCTTTCCGTAATTGCCGTTTAGCGATCTTGTGTAACAGCATGTCTTTGGTTAATTCGAAAATTAGAGGGAGCAATTTTTGAGACGTTCTAAAAATTGTTAGTTAACTGACACTTGCCAAAAAAATAGGACATTTTTTACCAATCTTGGCGTGAACAGCTTTATATGTACTCATGTTAGCGTAAAGGGCAATGCTTGCGATTGGGCCCGCTTTTCTTTGTCTTTTTGCCCCTAGACTGGTTTTGTTCCCGCAACAATTCTCTCCACGGTAAAAAAACGCACCATTTTGCATCCGGGAGGCACCAAAAATGACGCCCTTTCCTTAAAAAAAAGAGCGGGTGCGCTTTTGACAAGGAAAGTACTTCTATGGGGTATGGACTTACCGGTCGAGATATATATCAAAAAATTCGCAAAATTTTTTTGGTTCAGAATGTGTACAAATCAGCTGCTTAATTTTGGCTTGTAAGGGTGAAAAACCCCTCAGAACTTTTCTCGCAACACCATGCAAATAAGAGCGAAGGAATAAGAATTTTTTCTCGAGCTCGAGAATGGTTGCTGGATTCGCTACCAATTTCAAAAAGTAGCGAAATGATCGATTTACGACGTGGTCTCGGTAGCGAATCCTTCTTTTCGCGACCTCCGAAAAAAGTCGGTCGCGAATCGGCGTTTTCGCTACCTCCGCGAGAGAGGAGGTAGCAAAACGGCGTTTTTGCGACGGCGCGGAATTGAGAGGTAGCAAATCCGCGGATTTGCGACGTCCCAAATACATATATGGGAGGTGCTTTATAAATTTCAGCGCACTTGTCTGTTCGACCCCTGCGGATTTCGTCCAAAGCTAACTTTGGACGAAATTCGCTCAATCTCGTCCTAAGAGTGGACGAAATTTTTTTTTGTCTGGACGAAATCAAAAAATCCACCCACTTGACGAATTTTTCAAAATTTCGGGCCTCAAATGGACCAAGTCCATTTGGGACCCCTCTCCTTGGATAAATTGAATTTATCCTACCCTTGGACTAATCACATGGACTTGAACTGAATTTGTTGTTTTCGATCGAAAGTTAACTTTGGACTAAATCCGCCATTTTTAGTCCAAAATAGTAATATTCTGGGATTTGAAGTCACACCCCGTATTTTTACATTTTAAGGTTACTGTTGAGATTTTTGGGGCGGAGGGGTGGAAAAAAGTGGTAAGGGGGACCAAGGACAAATTTTTGCTATAAGAAACGAAATGTTTTACAGAACTGCCAGTTCAGGCATTTTCTTATATTGTACTAGGTATTTTAAAGAGTCATTGGCCGAATTCAGCTTGTTCTCAAGACGAAACCGTCTATTTGAACATACCGATTTATTTTTGACATCCTAAATGTGCTTTAGCATGTCAAAGTAGCCAATGTTAGCGCAAACTCAAGAAAAAAAAACCAACTGCCAGTAAGGGGCCGACAAGAAACAAAAATCAACGATGTAAAGCATCGTTGACTCCGCGCAAATAGGTAAAACACGTGAAGACTGTAAAATACAGCCGTGGTCATAATTATAAGCCAGAAAAAAAAACATTACCCATGAAGAAAACTTATTTGTGACGAAAAATTTATTTTTCTCGCCGCCAAAAAAAATTCAGAAAATGCATCATCCAAACTTCATAGTTTGGATGAGCGAAAGTTTTGAACCTGGTGTCTTTTTCAGAGTACACTAGGGAGTGCTGGTAGTCATTTACAACCGTTTTTAATAGACTGCCGCGTTTTAAACGGGTGTCATCCTGACATATTTTCGGGACTACGCTAGGCTCCGCAATTTGCGCCCTGTGATTTGACAGATTTCACTGTCAAAATTTTTTGTTACCAAGTTTTTCTTCATGTATTTCTTTGTTCTCCTGGCTTTTAACTTGATTACGGCTGTATTTTACAGTCTTCACGTGTTTTTTTAGCTATATGCGCGGAGTCAACGATGTTTTACATCGTTAATTTTTGTTTCTTGTCGGCCCCTTACTCGCAGTTGGTTTTTTTCTAGAGTACATTGGCTGTTTTGACATCCTAAAGAACATTTAGGATGTCAAAAATAAATCAGTATGATCAAATAGACGGTTTCGTCTTGAGAACTAGCTGAATTCAACCAATAACTCGTAAAAATACCTAGTACAATATACTAAAATGCCTGAACTGGCAGCTCTGTAAAAGATTTCGCTTCTTACAGCAAAAATTTGGCCTCGGTCCCCTTTTACCACTTTTTTGCACCCCCTCCGCCCCAAAAAATCTGTATAATACCTAGTACAATATAATAAATAGGATGCACAGGCAGTCCTGTAAAAATTTCGCTTCCTAGAGGAAAAATTTGTTCTTGGTCCCCCCTCACCACTTTTTTCCACCCCCTCCGCCCCAAAAAATATGTATAATACCTAGTACAACATACACAGATTTCAAAAGTCAAATTTTGATCTTCCAACCAAAAATGTAAAAAAATCCAAACTTTGGACTTAGTCCACGGAGTGGACTTCGTCTATCTAGATGGACGAAAAAGCAAAAGTCCACGGGAACAAATTTGCCTGGACTAATACCGGCAGATTTAGTCCACACTTTGGATCCGGCAAAAAGTCCATGAAATTTTTGGACGAGATTGGGCGAATTTCGTCCAAAGTTAACTTTGGACGAAATCCGCAGGGGTCGAACAGACAAGTGCGCTGAAATTTATAAAGCACCTCCCATATATAAACTCCGCCCCCTGAGTTTTGCAGCCAACTACCGCGTTTTGGCCTTTTTTGACAAAAAAAATACCATTTATGGTGAAAAATTTTGCTTGTAAATCGTACATTTACGAAATTATGAAAGAAAAACGTCTTCTTCGTTAAAATATTTATTAATAAAAGACGTACATTTTCGTATAAAATATGCGTTTTTTACAACATTGTCCAAGCATTGCCGGAGAGTCGATGGATGGAACTGAAGAACATGTTTTGCCAGATATGGCCGAAGTCGAGGGATGGATCATGGCCGCCAAATTACCTTCCTGGAAATCAAAAGCAATGTAAAATTTCCTTATCATTTTCAGAAAAAAAAAACACCTTCATTTACCTCATATTGCATGTGTCTAATCCGAGAATCGAAATGGGCATAGTTTTGAGCAAAAATACGGCCGACGGGAGTGAAATCGGACTTCCAGGTAATAATTTATTACCTAAAAACAGAATAAGAATACTTAAATCCAATCTTACCTCCTTTAGCAACTACCACTTGGCCATTCCCTTGTTCGATTTCATTATTTCTGCCTCCTGTAAACGGTTTATAAGGCTCTTGCCTAGAAAAAAATTGGAAATCTCGTCTAAAATCAAAAAATAATAAAAAAACAACTTACCATGGCCATGGAGCCAAAAAGCCTTTTTTGTTTATGGCGATCAACTTCAGCCGGTTTGTCTTCTAATTCAGCTTCTCTGCATCTATTTGGCCAATTTCAACAAAAGGAAACATAAGAAAACAGGAAAAAAAGAATTTATGAAGTTGCGAATGTTTTCGCGGCCCGTGAAAACGAAATGCCACGCAGTACGAGAACGGATTTTAGGTCCAATAACAAGGATGTCAATCAATCAAATCAACCGTTTTTTGGCCATGGTAAGCTGTTTTGTTATTATTTTTTGACTTTAGACGAGATTTCCAATTTTTTTTTATATTATTCATGGCAAGAGTCTTACAAACCGTTTTCAGGAGGCAGAAACAACGAAATCGGACGATGGAAAAGCCGTGTGGTAGGTGCTAAAGGAGGTAAGATTTGATTTAAGTATTATTATTCTGTTTTTAGGTAATAAATTGTTGCCTGGAATTCGGTTTCACTCCAGTCGGCCGTATTTTTGCTCAACATTATGTCCGTTTCGATGCTTGGATTAGACACATGAACTATGAGGTAACAGAAGGCTTTTTTCTAATCAGAAGGAAATTTATATTGATTTCGATTTCCAGGAAGATCTGTAAGCGGCCATGTTCTTCAACGCCATCCATCGACTATCCGGCCGTATTTAGACAATATTGTGGAAAACCCGCATATTTTACATGAAAACGTACGTCTTTTATTAATAAATATTATAACGATGAAGAGGGACGTTTTTATTATTCATAATTTCGTAAATGTACGATTTATCAGCTAAGTTTTTCACCCTAAACGGTGTTTTTCCGTCAAAAAAGCCAAAACGTGATGGCTGAAAAATTGAGGGGGCGGGGCTTGTTTTTGGACGTCGCAAATCCATGGATTTGCTACCTGCCAATTTTGCGCCGTCGCGAAATGGCCGATTTGCTACCTCCCAATTTTGCGCCGTCGCAAAATGGCCGATTTGCTTCCGACGTCTTTTTTGGAGGTTGCAAATTGAGGTTTCCGCTACTTTTTGAAATTGGTAGCGAATCCAGCAAACATTCTCGAGCTCGAGAAAAAATTCTTATTCCTTCGCTCTTAAATACCCCCTTTGTAAAAATTTTTTATGTTGGAACTACTAATTAAGGTGTAGTGTTAATCAAATCTGTTATTGTAAGGCTTGTCAAGCTGCCAGAGTTTACCTTAGCTCCAAACAAAGCTTTTCAATTGGTAAAAACGTGATCAAAAAGGTTTTCCGAACACAATTTGCGTGGTGTTGCGAGAAAAGTTCTGAGGACTTTTTCGCCCTTACAAACCAAAATTAGGCAGCTAATTTTTACATATTCTGAATCAGAAAATTTTTGCGAATTTTTTGATATATATCTCGACCGGTAACTCCATACCCCATAGAAGTACTTTCCTTGTGAAATCGGAGTTTTTCACTTGGAGAGGGAAGCATTTTGCCACATTTTTGATACTTCCCGGATGCCAAATGGTACGTTTTTTCCCACTGGATCAGGTCCCTCACTGTAGTATTCCACAACAAGAAAAATTTTTTGCGAATCTTTGCGTGAAAAGCTTTATTGTATGTATTCATGTTGGCGTAAAGGGCAATGCAACTGAGCCGTACTTATCCTGTTAATTTCTGGATAGAATTTCAAGCTTCAACGCCACTGGTTTGCGGAATGTTGATCCCTTTTCTCACGGCTTCACCTCCTCCCCAACCCGTTTCGTTTTTTCCCATCAGCTCTTGATCCAAACTTTTTTTGTCCCCAAAACAATTGCTCGGGGTTTTGCCTTGGCCCTTCTTCCCTCCGGGGGGCTTCGCGGACCGCCGGCCTTGAGCTTTTTTTGAAATGTAGTTTTTCGAAGCGATTTCGAAGGTGCAAAAGTGTTTTTGACGAGTTTTTTCGGGCGCCCAAAAATCAATTCCCATCGGAAGTTTGTGCCAATTTCTCAAGGCGTTGCGAGTTTTAAGGGGGTTTTTTTGAATCAATAGCTCTTATCAGTCTGGCGGTAAAATAATGAGCGCAATCTTGCTGCGGCGATCGCGTCGCTGAAATGAAAAGCCTTTCTTTTTCGCGGCCCCAAATTCTCCTCAAAACATCGTACGTCGCGTTGAACTAGCGCTTGGAAAAATGGCAGTAGTCGAGCAAGGCGCTACAACTTTTCGGATCATTACATGGCTTTGGGGAGGCTAGGAAAAGGCTTTGTTAGTAGAAGTAATAAGATTTCTCACGCTCTAGGAGAGTTCACCACCTTCTTTGAGGTGTTTTACACGTATTACCCAATTAATATCCCGGTGAAACCTACGGATCTTTATTGTTTGGAGCAACTTTTGTACTTTTATATGTTACAATAGCTCAGGAAAACTAAGGTTAGCAATAAAGTCCATAAAAATTCGGTCGAAAGGCCCGGGGGACAACCACACGATAAGACGAGAAGCTCGAGTTCAAGTGACTTATTGAGTGAAAAGCGACCCTTATATAGGGAAATCCCACGTAGGAAAGTACAATCAAATTTGAATAATAAATGATGATTTTCGTGGGAATTTGGGCTCGAAGTTCGGTCATTCCGCGTCACAAATTCCAGCGACTTTTTCAGACTTCATTAAGATTTTTTGGGTCTCCGTCTGTCCTACGTCTCATATCGATGAATTTTGCGATGACTCCAACTGCCGTGGACCCGAGAAGTCGCGACGCGGGATCAATAGAAAACCATATATTTATTTTCGTCCTCAAAATTGAATTAGATTTTTTGAATTGGCAGCGAGAAGCATCTGTGTAAATGATGAGAGGAGAGTGGTGTTTTAGCCGTTAATAGTCGAGCCTCACGTAACACATGGGCAGAAAGCTTGGAGGAGAAAAATATAGTAGTGTCTGGGGGGTTGATGCTATCTTTGCAAGGTTTCAGTCTGTCGGGAAAATAATGGGGATTTGTCGCATTAAAATGTCTTGCCTCGTGGTAGTCGCACACCAAATTTCCAGCTGCGGATGGCCGTCGCATAGTTCTGAAAGGCTTCACGTCAAGACTTAGCTGAGGAATTGGTCTGGAAAGAGATTTTTTCTTGAATTTGTCAAGCGTTTCCGACTTGAACCTGCAAAATTTTCGTTAAACTGCAAAGCACAAGCCAAAAATATCATTTTTTCCAAGGAAACGTGTCAGTTTGTTGGGAAAGTAATGAGCTCTCTTGTCGCATTGAAGACATTTCCGTGTTCGTATTTTAAAATCCTAGCCTCACTTTCGGGTTTCAGGACCCTCTACCCTGGCGCGCGCAACTCGGCCGGCTCCGGCGGCCAAGCCGCCTCCGCCTCCACTCACCGCCAAGCCCCCAAGTTCAGCGACTCCCCCGCCAAAAGCAGGAGCGCCAGCAACATCGCAAAACCCATTGTTAAGTAATGCCGGGTTAATCGTCTTCTCCTGGATCGTTGTCGCATTCCTCAGTTGGTGGTTCTTGACGAGGAATCAGAAGCAAAAGGCCGAAAAGGAGAAAGCCGAAGCCGCCAAGAAAGCGCTTGCAGAGCGACGGAAGAGCGAGCTGAATCGAACGTTGGCCAATGGAGTTGGCACCTATGATGGGTAAGTTGGCTGATTCTACAGTGGGGGCCTGATCCAGTGGCAGGAAACGCACCATTTTGCATCCGGGAAGTATCAAAAATGTGGTGAAATTCTTCCCTCTCCAAGTGAAAAAACTCCGATTCCAAAACCGCGCCCGCTATTTTTGTGAGGGCGCCCTTCAAAACGAATTTTTTTTCCACTTGGAGAGGGAAGCATTTTGCCGCATTTTTGATACTTCCCGGATGCAAAATGGTACGTTTTTTGCCGCTGGTTCAGGTCCACGCGTTACATTGGGGTCAACGCAATGATTTATTCCAAATTTATCCCATTCTGTCCCCCAAACCCTCATATTCGTTCCCCAAGGACCTGCTCCAAATATCGTTCTGTCGGGAAAATAATGAGCAAAATGTTGCTGCGCCGATCGCGTTGCTGAACTGAAAAACAATTCGATTTTGCTGCGACAATTTTCCTCAGCGGCGATGCGGTTTTCGGTGCGATAAAGCGCTCATTATTTTCCCGACAGACTGATAAAATCCGCCCTTGGGAAGTATATGTCATTTATCCAATCACTTCTCTAATTGCAAATGTTTCAGGCAGCAAAGCGAATGGATAAATGAGGTGATTATCTGGCTTGCTTCTCATAACTCCTTCCCGATCGGTCTCACAGATTTATGGCTGAACTCATTGAATGATGTGGCCAAGAAGCTGAGTGTTCCGGTAGGCCAATTTGTCATCATTTCCTCTTCCCAGAAGCCATGTTATTTTTATGTTTTCAGGGTCAAAACGAAGTCCTATTCGAGCGCGCTCAGTCGATCCCCGATCCGGACAGATGCCCGAGGCTCTCGAATATCCGGCCACACCGAAATCCAAATGGCCAATTGGTAATTTTTATCATTTTTTAGGTCTAAATTACTCGTATTCCAGATAGTAAATGCGAATGTTCGAATCCCCAAAGCGGTCCTTCGTCTGATTGCCTCGGAAAGTGTGGATAATCATATTGTTGTGTCGAATTATGAAGCCGAAGTCAACGATCTTTCAGGAGAAGTGGGACTTTTTGAATATAAAGCTTTGAGAAATTGAGATTTTTTTGAGAAAGAAAATTTTTTTTTTCAGTGCGAAGCGCGCTTAGCCTACATTGCCGAAGAGGTGTACTTGATGAGCTGCTTCAGTGGGCGGCCGGAAATGCGCATCAAACTTGTGGATGTGGATAAACCGGTAAGAAAAAAGGACGCTTACAGAAGAGAGTGGCTTCTGATAAAGAAAATAAAGGAGTTCGATATTTTTAGCAGCATTAATTTTTGTCTATGAAACAGAAATATTTTAAAGTGCAAAATGAGGTTGCTACGACATTTTAAAGTAGCTTTCTCCCCTCGAAAACAAGTGAAACCTGGCATAAAATTTAGGGCAGTTTTTTAAAAAGACATTTGCAAGACTTTTAGCTTGCCTTTTGCAGAAATAGACGAGATTTTTAGGCCGAAACTTGAAAAAAATGCGGAATTTTTTTGCGAATTTTTGGCATGAAAAGTTTCATGCCTACTTCTACCGTATAGGGTGATGTCTGCATAAAAAATCACTTGTTTCCGCTCAAAACTGGCAAAATTATGGCCAAAAAGTGTTTTTTCTCTCCGACCTCTCTCCACATTTTCCGTACTGTCTCGTCTGCGAAGGTCGTTGAATATTTCGGCTGTCGTTGCAAAGCGCGAGCTAAAAATTTCGGGGACTAATTAGAGGCCCATTTAACTTGTCCTTGCAAAATTTAAATGAGAGACCATTTTATACGATGAAACATGTTTAGTCGTATAAAATGGGCAAAAAGGTTTTCCGAATCGCTCCCCGCATCTTGTCCACTCGACGTATTTTACAATCTATTTGATTTGAAATTACTTAGCGAACTAATGAGAGTTATCTATATTTTTCAGGCGGCATTCAACGACAACTCTGTCGACAACCCCAAAGTCGAAGGTCTGATCCGCAAATGCATTGCGTCGGCCGTACTGAGCATCAATTTCCACGAATACATTTCGGCCGTCCACAACAACGAAGGTCCGTATAATGAGCAACAAACCGGAGGATATGGGAACCCACTGGACACGCACAAAATTCAAAATGGAAGCTACTTGAGTCCGCCATCGGTAAGAGCATTCTGGAGCAATCAATTTGGTGATTTCGAATTTTAGAAGCACTCCAACGCCCAGCCCGTGAACAGACTCCGTTTCAAAGTGGTGAAGGCGCAAAGACTCAACATTTCTGGTGAGTTTTGGGAGTTTTTGGATGGCTTGAATAGCCCAGGCAATGCTTCAAGAGTGATACTCAAGGATAATTTCAATTTGCCCTATACGGCTTGGATAAACCTCATATCGAATGCTGAAAATCTTCCCCTTTTCTGAACTGTACCCCTTTTTCAACTCTACCCCTTCAGAAATTTACCCCTTTTTGAACACTACCCCTCATTTTGAAAATTGAAAAAATGAGGTGTGACATCTTATACGATGAAAATTTTTTTCAAATTGTTTACTACGATGAAAAATTTTTTCAAATTGAGAAAAATTTCATCGTATAAGATGTCACACCTTATTCTTTTCAATTTGAAAAAAAATTTCATCGTATAAGATGTCACATCTCATTTTTCTCAATTTGAAAAAAATTTCCATCGTATAACATGTCACACCTCGTTTTTTCAATTTTCAAACTGGGGTAGTGTTCAAAAAGGGGAAGAGTTCAGATTTTTTGGCGAAAATCAAAAAAGGGGTAGAGTTCAGCCTTTTTTGGGGTAGAGTTGAAAAAGGGGTAGAGTTCAGATTGGGGTAAAGTTCAGAAAAGGGGTAGAGTTCAGGCTCAACCCCAACAGCTAAAGGGCCAGTGCAGCTACTTTTGAATTCGCTATTTTTTGGCTTATAAAGCGAAATGTCCAGCAAATTTCGCCGCCTACTGTACCAATAAAAACAGAAAAAATATGGTAACATTCTGGATGTGTACTAATAGTGATTTTACTGCTTGCAAAGGCAGAAGACGAAAAAACTTTTTTGGCATTTTGTTTCTTAAGCCGAAAAAACGAAATTGTAACATACGAATGTAGTACCTTTGTCTTTATGCTCTTTCAAAGCGACAACAGACCCCAATTTTTTAATCTTCCCAAACTTTTAGGCGATCTCCATCCCTACGTTCATGTCGAAGTGGACGAGCCACCTCAGAAGTTCTTTACAGTTGGTGCCAGCGGCGCTAATCCCAATTGGAACGACGAAACTGAACTGTAAGAATTTGCAATTTTATTAAAAAATATTACTTTGTACCTTATCTTATAACCAATTTTTTATTTCCAGCATAATCAATGATAACAGTGACGAAGTTTTGATCGAAATTTTCGGTGCCTCGGGGCCTAAACGAAAGGATAATGACAAATTTTTGGGCTTGGCTATTGTTGGAGTCAACGAGTTGAAGTCGTCGCTTGATAATGTACACCATTTGCAACTGCAAAGTCGACCGTATCAAAATGATCGGGTTTCCGGAAGCTTGACTATTCAGGTGAGAGAGATTTATGGGAAAACTGCCTGAGGCAATTTTTTAAAGTTTTAGCGAATTAGGCAGAGAAATCTAGAGCAGAATTTTGTGACGTATTACTGTCGTCAACATTGAGATTTTTAGGCAAGAAATGGTAAAAAAAATTGGCTGTTTTTCGAAAAGCTTGTCTTAAAATTTCCTAAAAAAGGTCTTTTTAACTTAAAAAACGAAATTATTTTGAAAATACGAGATATAATATCTGTAATAGCTTCTGTTTTGCAAAAAACAACCAAAATTCCTAACCGAAAATTCGTGAAAATTTCACATTGACTGGTTCATGCAATATCAGTCTGTCGGGAAAATAATGTGCACAATGCCGCATCGAAAATTTGATCGCGTCGCTGAAGTGAAAAGCAATTTGATTTTGCCGCGACACAATTCATTTTCTCAGCGGCGATGCGATTTTGGATGCGACAGAGTGCTGATTATTTTCCCGACAGACTAATAAAATTTACTGCTTTATTTCCGACCGAGAGGGAAATTTCTTGCCAAAAAATCAGTTCTTTCCCTCTAAATCGGCAAGCGCAAAACATGACCGAAACCAAAAGTTCTTCTCTTTGGCTGTTCTCCGCACTTCGCGTACTCTATCGGCCGAAAAAATCGTTGAATATCTGGGCGGCTCCTGCAGAGGGCAGGCTAAAATTTTCGAATTGTGATGTGTGACCTAGGCCTAATTTGTAGGCAAAATTTTAAGGAAATCTGAGCGTCGCACTTTGAACACTATCCTTGCCAATTTGTGGTATCATAAATATAACAAACGAACAATGGCAAGAGGATTTGGCAGTCGAGAGTCGAGAAGATATCGGCAAAGGTTTGGGTAGTCGACCGGTCAAAGGGAGAGAAAGTTTATTCGCACCAAAGACGAGGGAAAGAAATGATGCAACCGCTCAAGAGGAGCGGGAAAAACCGACTACTGAGAATAGGGGAAATTGACCTGATGAAGACTCTGCCCTTTGATTCTATGCAGATTTGTGGGAAAGAATTGGCGGTTTCAGTGAAGTCGCCAACAATAAAATTAAAAATTTTTTGTTTGGTTTAATTGAAGATGAAACGTTAGAAGCCGTATTTTACCCTCAAAAAAATAAAATTTCAAAATTTTCAGACTGATTTCTACAACGATTCCTCCGCCATCGGCAATCCTCACAAGCCCTCGAAGCATGAGCTCCAGGAAAAGGAGCGTCACGCTCTGTCCCAACAATTCAAGGAGAGCCCGCTCTTCCAGTCGATCCAGACCGAAAATCTCGCCGAAACAACAGGCTCTCAAGTCTCTCCGAACCTCACCGAAAGCGGTAAAGACTTGACCGAGCTGGTGGATCGGCCGCATAAAGAGCCGTTGAGTCGGGGCGGCTTGAGAGGATCGGTGAGAGTGGCGGATCAGCCGCAGGAATTGGGGCTGCAACGGAATTGGAGCAACGATGAGAATCAGCCATTGATTGATAGGTCGCGAGAGACTAGCCAGGGACTGGAGGATGAGCGGAGAGGTGAGAAAAAAAATTTTTTTTTTAATTTTTTTTTGATTTAAAAAAATTTTTTTGGTTTTTCTATAATATATTTTTTTTTTTGATTTTCTTTTATTTTAGGCTTGTAAAATACGAATAATGCATCTTCTTTTTGATAAGTATAAAAAAAAAAGATTTTTTCAACTTTTAATTAAAAAAAATTGATTTTTTTGTTACATTTTTTATAATTTCGCTTTATTTAAGACTTGTAAAATACGCTTATTCCATCTTCTTTTTCATAAATCAAAAAAAATTTTTTTTTCAATTTTTGATGACTAAAATTTTTTTTACATTTATGTATTTTCGCCCCCAAAAATCCACTATTAATCAGAAAATGCGATAAATTTTTTATATCCGGCACATATGGTGACATTTTTTGAATCTCCAATTTGCATTTGAAACTTTCTGAAGGGACTCTTGAAGTTTCGTAATTTTCGAGAAAAATAACAGGATTTTTTGGGGTTTTTTGCAATAATAGAGTATTATAAGCAGTGTAATTTATTTTAGAGTTGTTTAGAAAAAATTCTTCTTCCATATTCGTTATCAAATTTAAAATTCTCTTCTATTTTGTGCTGTTTTATAGCTGAAACTGCCCAAAAACTTTTGAAAAATCAAAAAGTAACGCAAGTTTTGAATTCCTCATCTCTTTTTTTTATCTAACAATATTTTTCTCCTAAAAAGTTGCGAAATTACTACTCTTTTTTTTACTTGGAAAAAAGCTTCTGAACAAGCGAGGCGCTCTCTTTTTTGTCCCTTTCGAATAAAAGAGGAAACGAAGAGAGCGCCGAGCGTGAGCAGCGTGGCGCAGTGGAAGCGTGCTGGGCCCATAACCCAGAGGTCGGTGGATCGAAACCACTCGCTGCTAATCTTTTTTTCAAGAGTTTTTTTTGTAGTAAAAAGTTATAAACACTTGGTAATTTTTTTTTCTTGGATTAAGAACTGCTTTTTACACTGTTTAAAGACAAAAAATACCAAAAAATAGAAAAAAAAATCTTTTTATTTTTTAATAAAAACTCCCTGAGGGCTTTGGCTGTTATCCTCATGCTTTCAGGGCGAGATCGAGCGAAGAAGAGCGGTAGAAAACGTGAGCGGTCATTCTTTGAAGAGTTGAAGGACCGATTAACCGGAGGAAAAAGAGCGTCCAAGAAAAGAGCCAGAAGTTTGGACGATCAAAACCCCCAGTTAGAAGAGGCCATGCAAAGTCTTCCGCCTAGCCGAGATCCATCGCAAACACGACAAGTCAGACGGCTTTGTAAGTTTTGACAAAAAAACATTGCATATAAGGGCTATATTAAGCAAAACATTGAAAAAAGTATGGGCGGTTCAGAAGGTCGTGAAATTATTTTTTTCGCCCATATCTTGCAAGTTAACGGTCCAGAATTTGCAAAAATCGCTTTTCTGGGGCATATATGGCCCATATTTTTTTAAAAAGTTTGAGTTTTCTTTAATTGCCCTTAGGCGATTTTCAAATTTAACTTTTTCTAATTTGGCCAAAATTTCTGTTTTTCTTATCCAAAGTATAAAATGGCTGTAGGTCCGACATTTTCAGCCAGAGCAGACACCGGAGATCACTATGAGCCAAGTCCATCGCCAGTCAAGAAGGAGCCAACCACTCCTTCTCAACTTATTTTAGAGCTCGGAGAGCCGGATCAGCGAGAGAAAAAGTGAGTTTTCCTTACTAAAACTGCAATGTTTTTTGTTTAAAATACGGTTATCATTGTGTTTCCTGTTAAATTTGTTATAATTACTCAATTTTTATTAAAATCGATAATTTTCAAAAATTGACATTTCGTCCTAAAAATCAATAAGTTTTAGACCTTTGGGATTTCGTCGAAAAACACTGAAAAATCATGGAAACAAATTTTTTCATCAAATTTATGGCCTTTTTAGAAAGTTGACATTTCGTCCTAAAAATCAATATTTACACGGTTTGACATTTCGTCTTCAAAAAAGTCTACTCAAAATGACTAAAAATGAGTTTTCAGATACTACTTTATTCCCCATGAGATTCTCCCCGACCTGGTAGCGATCAAATTTTTGAAACGCGGCAAAAAGTTGCACATTCACAACGAACATACGTTTGTGGCGGTGAAAACGAAAGGGTAAGCTTGAAATTTTTATTTACATCTTTTTAAAACAATATTTTTAGCACTGTAACCTGCAATGTGTGTCAACGAAAAATCTCGTCCACCTTTATGAAACAGGCCTATCAATGCCGAGATTGTCGGCTTGTCTGCCATAAGAACTGTCATGAACACACCGTAAAGCCGTGTCCAACACCCACCATCAGCAGTAAATTTATGTAAGCTTATCTTCATATTGCTTTTTAGACAGTTTCCGAATGAAAAACGAGGTTAAAACAGAATGCCAAACTTTCGTGGCGGGACCAAAAATTTGCGTTTTTTGTAAAATACGAGCGAAATTTCAGTTTCTTCAAAAGAAAAATCTTTTTTCCAACAAAAATTAAAGCTGAAACACAATGCCAAACTTCGTTGCGAGACCAAAGGTTGATAAAAAGTTTTGATGTCAAGTATAATATAAATACCTATCAACGAATAAATCATTGTTTTTAGTGTGCAAGACGTCGATTGGGAAGAGATGCTGAGCCGGTTCCGTGTAGAAGAATTCATTTCCGGCGAAAATTTGTAATTTTCATCGTTTTCACACATTGTCCTTCCATTTTCAATATGAGTGCCTGTTCAAAAATTGTCACAAATCAGTTTTTACTAGTCTTAATTAACCTAGTCTTCATTACTAGTTTTATTTCCCAATTTTTCTAACATTTTTTCGCAGAACGGAAGACTTGACTCATTTTTGAGTCAAGTCTTCCCCTCTGCCGATTTTACCCTTATTCTTTCGCGAATATCTCATGTCTCCCGAAACGCCGCTCAACTTGATTGTAACCTTATTTAGAGTCTAGAAATTTTTATTTTACAGTCTAGTTACTACTTACAAAGTCAATTTGATTCATTTCAAGCAAAAATAAACCGAAAACCCGTGACGAAAAGAAGGCCGCAGCCGTAGAGACACGCGCTGATGACGAGGATTTGAGTGAGCAGGACGAGGATATTCACCAGTCGATGGCGGCCGTAGAAGAAGCCAAGGAATGAGCGGACCTTGCGGAAGTTGGGGGAGTTGCGAAGGGATGGGAGGTCGTTGCGGAAATGCAGCGCTATTGCCTGAAAAATTATACAGTAGGTATTATTTTTGCATCAGCATTTACGAGAGGACGTTATAAAAATTCTAAGAGAAACAGTTGACCCATTTTTGGTTTAAGGGGAACACTTGACTCATTTGTGGTAAAAGCGGAACACATGACCCGTTTTGTGGTGAAAGAAAAAACTAGCCTCATCAAGGCCCATTTTTTGACTTGAGAGTAATACTTGACCCAATTTTGCAAAAAGAGGAACACTTGACCCATTTTCTAATCTTCAAGAAAACTTGACTCATAACAATTTTTTTGTGAAAATAACCGATTCTACTTCTCTTCCCACCCTTACCGTTGCCGAAATTCCATTCGTTTCGGGAAGATACCACCAAATTCCGGATATATACACCATGTTCATCAACAAGAACGGCCCCAAAACGAACTGTGTCCCATACGTATTTACAATCGACAATGCTGTCGTAGTCAGAAGGCCGCCAAGGACGTTTTGGAGGATTCCAATGATCGCGGTGCCCAAAACTCGATCTTTCTGGGCAAAAAGTTCGGGAACTACGGTATAAGCGGCTTCACTGGTCACTGCAGCAGCCGATAAATCCGTAGCTGCCAGGATTGGAATGGCCAAGTAGAGAGGCCAGATGCCAAAAAGACTACCTGAAGTTGAATTTGAAGATTATTTTGAGATCTTCCAGTGAGGGAAAGACTTGACTCGACGATGTGTCAAGTCTTTCTTTCTGGCCGAAAAATGAGTCAACTGTTTTAGCTATGATCGTAAATATCATATAACAATTGAATTTACTCCCTGTCCTCAAAAATCGCAAAATGTGTCAAGTCTTTCTCTCACAAAAAAAAACAGTTGAGTCAAGTGTTTCCCTCACATTCAAAAATCACCTACCTCGTTTTATACCCATTATAACCAGCACCGAGCAGAGAATACTCACAATTGTTGGCAGTACGATCAACACTTTGCGGGAGAAATCATCGAAAACGAACAACGCGAAGATACTTATAACTGCCTGAGGGAAAGAAATCATCAGTGACGCGCGAGTGGCAGCTCTTGCGTTCAACCCAATGTTTTCGAAGACCTGTGTTGAATATGATATCCACAGCTGAAATTCGGAGACAATTAGGGCCAAAATATATGAAGGAGACACTTGACTCATGAGTCAAGTTTATCACTTCGTAAAAAAGGTAAGATTAGCTTACCCAATCGTCCAAATGGACGAATGTCAAGATAAAAGCGCCCAAAAGAAATGGTCTGACGAAATTTCCAGAGCTGAATCGTTGTTTTATCATTGGCCAAAGAGTTCCGTTGCAAGGATCTTTTCGAATCAGTTTTGATTTGTCCTCAATGTCCGCCTCTGCCCCAATATCGTTCATATAGTCTTCCAACGAGCTCTTCCATTCATCGGAATACTAAAAATCCAATTTTGAATGTTAATTTTTGACACTTTTGGTATGAGGAAGACTTGACTCAAAACTGAGTCAACTGTTTCTCCGAGGCCAAAAATGAAAAGGGAGATACTCTACAATAAAAAATCAAGTAAAATACAGCTTCTCCAAAATAAATTTTACGTGGCCATGGATAGTAATACCGAAAGAAACACTTGACTCAAAATTTATTTTTCCACTAAACACATAACTGACAGCCAGAAAAGCCGTTGAAATTGTTACCTGATAGAACTCCAACGCCTGTTGAGAGCCTTCTTTGTCACCATTCAACAAAAGCGCCCGAGGCGAATCCGGTGAGCAGTAAATACAAAAAACGGCTGGCAGGATTAGAAGACTTGGTGCGACAAGCGCCAAATTCCACAAGCGCGGCGTGCCAAGCAGTGTGTCAAGGCCGAGAACCATCCCAGTTAGTTCGCCAATGCATGCCCAGACTGTCTGAAAATAAAAACAGAGGTTAGTTTTGAGATCGGAAATTGAGGGGAAGACTTGACCCTAAATTGGTAAAAATGGAATTTTTCTAAAAACAATTATAATAGTGGAAGACTACGAAAAATTTCAAGAAAAAAGTATCATCAAAATTTGGATACCTTTCCATTTTTTTAAAAATGGGTCAAGTCTTACCCTCGATCAAAAAGGTCTTAAAAACAGCGAAAAAATTGGAAATTTCTAAATGAAAGGATTAAAAATTAAGTTTAAAAGTTAATTAGCAGTTAATTAACCTATAATTAACTCTCAATTTCCCATTATATTACTTATACTTACCAAAGTTGCGAGCATTGTTCCCCTTGCGCTAATCGGCGAAATCTCCGCAATCATGGCCGACCCGATCACTTGAATAATCCCTGAGCCAATTCCATTCAAAAACCGGCCAAGACACGAGATTACCACTCCATATTTGGTGATTGTAACCAGCCCCGACAAGGCTCCGCCCACAAAATTAATGGACATTGCGGTAATCAGCGGGGATTTTCGGGAAGGCTGATTGGAAATCAGGATCGATAAGAGTGATCCAATGGCCAGCCCGTAAATTCTCGACGACACAATCCACTCCCAGGCCATATCTGCCGCTTCGGCCGAACCGTATTTTCGCTCCAAAAACGGCTTCGCGGCAGGCAATAAGTTGTCCACAACGCTGTCTAAGGCTACCAAAAACATGGATCCGGCACCTATGCTGAGGACGACGGCAAAAAGACGGAGTCTTGGCCATATTGAGGTGTCCAAATCCTCGGATTTCGAGGGCGAGATGACAAAGTCCTCGAAATTTTTGTACAAAGGCTCAACTTCGGCAAATGAGGGCTTACGACGGAGCAATTCATCTTGTAAACGGGTCATAGATGCTGGGATTGGGGCATTTGAGAATTTATCATTCTGAAAAATTGATTTTAAAAAAAAATTTTTTTTAGGAAAAATGAGAAAATTGGGTAAAAAGTCGGTAAATTTAAAAAAAAATTTATTTTTTTGAAACAAAAATCATCAATTTTAGATGAAATTGATGCCAATTCAGATGGCAAAAACAACTTCCGAGCTTAGAAAAAATAGAAAGACCAAAAAAAATTAATCCAACTTGCGATTGAAACGCCCTTACGGAAGGAAAGGTTGTCCTAAACAAACAAAAAACAGCTGCGAATAAACAAAAATCCTTCGCATTGTGTGGAAAAAATTATGAAAATTTTTGAAGATGTTGGAAAAAATAATTTTGCAATTTTTTAGCGATTTTTAAAAAAAATTTAAAAAATACAACCAAAAAATTTTTTTAATCAAAAAAATAAAAAAAAATCGAAAAAAATCAAAAATTGCAAAAAAAATATTTGTTTTAATTTTAAAAAAATAAAAAAAAATCAAAAAATTGCAAAAAAAAACATTTTTTCAAAAAATTTTTATAAAGTTTGATTCCTAAAATAAAAAAAAATCAGAGCAAAAACAGACCAGTAACGAAGCTTTGAAGCCGAATGAAATGAAATTTTGTGATTCCGATTAAAAATTCCGAGGTTTTGAAACGGTCCGAGAACATAAAAAGGCTTGTGATTTTTTATGATTTATAATGGCAAATTTATAAAAAAATATTCTTTTGATCTGACTACTATATTTACAAGTAGAAAATGTTAAAAATCCCTTTTGAGGCTGTTTGAATCAAATTTCTCTTTAACTAAAAAAATTTTTAAAGGCCGAATGGCAACTTGATACTGAGTAATAATTTTTACGGAAAAATATGGGAAAAGTTCCTTATTTTGGCCACAACAAAGGTACTCCGCGAACTGCGCCCAAGCTTGGGCACTAAAGTTAGGAAAAAACGCTTCGACCTAGCTGGCACTTAATTACTATAATAGCTTTATAGTTTTAAGGGTACCTACGAAGGCTGTGACGACTCATTTAGTTCCATACGGAGGCAATAAATTTGGTTCCGGACATGTTTCATCGTATAAAGTGTAAAATCACAGGCTGCAGCCGCTTTTGAAGGGTAAGGTGGCACGTAAAAAAGAAGGTACCTCACTAACTAAATCCACTGTCCGGGCATTGACAACGATAAATTTGGGCTAATTCCGACCAGTTTCCGCAAGGTTATAAGTTGTGACCAAAATACGGAACTTTTACCAAAATATAAAATAAAATCGAAAAAAAGTGTTTAAAAAATCCTTGTAAAATAATAAACCAGATTTCAACAAATAAATAGTAAGACAAAAATAAAAAAAAGATGAATTTAAAGATCAATTTTTTGGATGTTTCATCGATCTCCTCCGAGTGACTAATCCCACAATTATGATTATGTATTTATGCGGTTCCTCTTCAAACACCTTTTTTACAGACATTTAAAACTTTATGGAAGACTACATTCTCTTTTTCCAAGCGACAAATTTGAAACGATGGTGATAAAAAATGAGAACACGCCTAAAAGATGAGTAATGATACCAGTAGGTCGGTACAATAGTAAGCACAATGGCGCCACGCTGATCGCGCCGCTAAAGTGAAAAGCAATTCGATTTTTCCCACGACACTATTCATTTTGTCGGCGGTGATGCGATTTTCGATGCGGCATTGCGCTTATTATTTTACTTACTTACAGACTGCCTAAGACGGCCTAAAACTACAACTCGTTAAAAAAAAGTTTGAGATTCATCGCTTTATCGATTATCGCACAAAATCTACGTTGCGAAGAGGCGGAAAATTCTCATGACTTTTTCTAACAAGGGAAGTACCCCAAGTGCGACGCTCAGATTTTCTTTAAATTTTGCACACGCGTCGGGCATGAACTGAATATCGATTCCTGAAAGCTTTAGCTCGCGCTTTGCAAGCGCCACCGAGATATGGAACTGTTTTTGTCGCCGAGAGAGTACGCGAAACGTGGAGAGCGGTCAGAGAAAAAAACGTTTTTTGGCCATAACTTTGGCAGTTTTGTTCGGAAAAATTTTATTTTTTGTAGAAAAATTATCCTTTACGGTAGAAATAGGTATGAAACTTTTCGTGCCGAAATTCGGCAAAAAGTGTAAATTTTTTGCCGACTATCGATCTAAAAATTTCGGTTGTTTCTGCAAAGCGCGAGATAGGATTCTCGCATGTGTCTTAGAAAAATCTATTCTAAATTTGTGCCAAGTTTCGTCAAAATCTGAGCGTCGCACTTGGGGTACTTCCCCTGTAAGTTTAAGAGTAAACCGATTTTTAATGGGATGAACGATTCGCTTCAAATTTCGAGTAGAAAAACAAGCCACATATAATATCGAGTCGCGAAAACTCCATAGTACCTTACTGAAAGAGCCAGTACAGCCACTTTATGAATCGCGCACTATACGGCTGGAGACATGAAATGTTAAAAAAAGGTTTTTTGTGTGTCATGCCGGGAAAACAAAGTCATCAAAATAGCAAAAAATATGTATTAGTATGCATCTAGAATGTCAGCAAAGCGTACAACATCTCTGAGTTTAATAAAGGCTCAGTAAAGAAAAGAGTCGATCAGACAAGACACGTCTATAACTATCGGTCCGTCGGAAAAATAATCAGCGCAATGTCGCTGCGTAGATTACGTCGCTGAAATGAAGTAGAGTTTGATTTTGCCGCGACACAATTTATTTTATCGGCGAGTTTGGATGTGACAGAGCGCTCATTATTTTCCCGACAGACTGACACAACAAGCAAGGTTCTTTTCTGCATATTTCGTACCCCAATCCGTAAAAAGCGTGATTAAAAAGTAGCTGTACTATCCTTTTAAAAACTACGCAATTTTCAGAACACGCGAGCTTTGAGCACTTCCCGTTCGATCACAAAATCCAATCCACGTTGTGGGAAGATCAACAAAATCCCCCGTAAATCTGAACTATAGAAAACACTTTCAAAACAAGTGACTAACAACACACACCAACAAATTTATCTTTTTGCCACGCTACGATGCGAGATTACTTTTCGGTCTACAAATCCCGTCGCGTTTTATTAAAAAAAGTTTCATTTCCCTCAAAATTTCGGGCAGAGAGGGCGTTTATTATCGGCTTTCATCAGCCGACTACGTCGACACTTTTTTCCCGAGACGCCACGTTGTTCATTTGAATTTATGAATTCGAGCGGATTTTGGGTGCAGTTGGGAGAAGCGGCGGAGCAAAGATTAGCCCAGGGCATAAGGCAGGGGAGGTGGAGGTAATTGGGCAATAGCTGGGGTATAGCTCTAGGGCAGGGAAGGGGCAGGAAGCACAAGAGGGAGGTACCCTCTGTGGTAACCATGGCTGCAAACCGGGCCAGCCCGGCTCGGCCCGGGCCGCAGGCCCGGGCTGAAATCTCCAAGCCCGGCCCGGGCCCGGGCTTCGAAAATTTGGAAAGCCCGGCCCGGTTCGGCCCGGAAAATTTTTATACTAGGTTGGAAAGAAAGAAAGCGGGAAATGAAAGGAAAATTATGGCAAATTTTCGCAAAATGTAAAGAAAAATTTAGCAAAACCTAGGTACATAAGGTCACCTTATGTTCGCTATCAGCAGTGTGTTCGAAAAAATAAAAAATTCTGTCGAAAAAGTTTATTTTTCCTTTTTTCCGGGCAAACCGCAGATTTCAAAAAAACCGGGCCGGCCCGGGCCTAAAAATCAAAGCCCGGGGACGGGCCGAGAAATTAGTCGGCCCGGCCCGGGCCGCAAAATTTTGCAAAGCCCGGCCCGGAGCCATGCCTACTCTGTGGTCAAAAAATCTTTTTGGACCGGGCTCCAAAAAAGGCAAATTTATGTTAAAGTTCCCAAACCCACCAAGTTGAAAAAAAAAACTTGAACGTTGAATTGCAGTTTAAGGTCAAGTTGAACTTTGTTGATGGATAAGTTTGTGCACAAATTAAAAAAGATAAGACCCAAAAAACCCTGTTCGAACATAGATTTGAATAATAGAGGGCTTCAATGTCTAAAGGTCGAACTTGAACTTTGAATTAAAGCAGTATTGAGGTTGGTCTTGAAAATGATCAAAATTGAACTCGGTATTTTCTAGCAAAAGTCAAAAAAAACTTGTTGTGTTAGGCCTAGGGCTGAATCTGCGCGTTCAAAAATCTTGTGCACTACATGTTTATCCGTTTCAAACAGGATGTTTTGCGGAGTGCGCATGACAAACAAGATCTCCATTTTTGGCGCAGTGTCATTTCCTTATTCAAGAAAGAAAGTCGTAGTCACAATTTTAGTTTAGCTAAAGAAAACATAAATTTTTGCGACGCAAAGATTACAAAAAATTTTCAAAAATTGTTTGATCATTCTGTCGGGAAAACACATAATATGGATTTGTCGCGCCTCGAAATCGCCCATCATTGGTTTGTGACGACGAGCCACGGCTGAAGACTTGATGCGACTGTCACAAGGCGAGATATTAGGTTGTCACACAAATAATGTCGTTTTCGAGAGGGGTAGAGTCCAAAGTCCATAGAAAACGTAAACAACAACAAAATTTCACAATATCGCACAATTTTGTAGCCGGGATCACAAGGCTTCGTTCAAGGTAAGATTTGACATATTTGGGTGAAATTACAGTAATTTAGCGCCATTCCAAAATTATGGAAAAAAGCTCGATTCGTGAACGAAAGCTTGAGATCTCGGCTACAAAACGGTGCAATATTGGGAATTTTATTGTCGTTTACATTTTTTATAGACTTTGGAAACTGCCCCTCTCGAAAACGACATTATTTGTGGGACAACCTAATATTTTTCTGCGACAAACTTATATTAGCAATCTGTTGTACAGTTGGACGGTACTTTTGACAACACTGCCCTTGTTTTTAATAGCTGTTTCGGGTGTACTTTCAAAAACACTCAACGGTCCTTGAACTACACAACTCTTCAAACCAATTAGAAGCAAATCAAAGAGCTCTCTATCAGTCTGTCGGGAAAATAATGAGTTTTCTGTAGCATTAAAAACAGCACCACCGCCGAAAAAATAAATTGTGCCGCAACAAACTCAAATAACTTTTCACTTCAGCGATGCGATTAGCGCAGAGACATTTTCTTCATTATTTTCCCGACAGAGTAATAATGAAAACTTACAAAAACGTAAAAATAAAGCCACAAAAACACATAAACAGTCCGTCAAACTTCATTTCCGACCACACTGGCGAATGCCACGCAACTCTCAACCCTACGAACTAAGAGTGTACCAAATTGAAATTCAAATTTTCAAATTCACAAAACTGTTTTATACAAAAAACTGCCCTCTTCGATCCGCAATAATCACATTCAAATCCGAATTTTGATTGTTTACACCCACAGGTACGACGTGAGCTGGTGAATCAAAGCGGATTAGGTTGGAACAAAGAGATAAGGCGGAGGGAATTAAAATTCTAAAGTCAAGGTGTGACAAGAACAAAGTACGACAATATCGTCGTGGAAAATTCATGTATTCACATTTTAAAATCGTCCCCAATTCTTCAAAATTGTTGTCCTACTTCGTCAATTATTCAAATTTGCAGTTTATATATTTCCAATAACGTTTTGACACTTCGTCACAATTTCCAATAATTTTGTGACATTTCGTCATATCTTGAAAAATAATTTTTCCAAACGAAAATTTGACGGATTTCCCGATGGAAATGGAGATTCCTCCTCAGGAACTGGTCAGATCAACATGATTTTACGAAGAGTATGTATCATACGATGGAGCTCACCTTATTTTAAACGACCAGCATCTTTAAAAGCGACGATACGAGGGTCAGATCCGAATAAAACAGTCGATTTGAGTGAATTTACACCGGAGAAGATCAGGAATTTTAGTATAGTTGCTCATGTAGATCATGGCAAGAGTACATTAGCTGATAGATTGCTTCAACAATGCGGAGTGATCGATAAAGATGAGAGGAAACAGTTTTTGGACAAACTTCAGGTGAGATTTTGATTTTTTGTTGACTTTTTAGGTTGAAAGTGGCAAATCGAAGTGTTTGAGAGTTGGAAGGACTTGTGGACTTTATTTTAAGATTAAAATAGCTGAAAATTTCTATGAAAAAGAGGTATTTTCGATGAATTCTATCTGCACCATCTCTGAACATCGAGAAGATAAGGAAAACTCAATTTTTGATTGGGAAATGAGATTTTTTGATAAAATCTTTGTGTTTATTAGTTAGCTAAGGTTTCAACTCTGCTAATGAGATCAATTTCAGGTGGAGCAAGAGCGAGGGATCACCGTGAAGGCTCAAACTTGCAGCATGGTATATAAGGTAATATATTTTTTTTATTTTCCATCCACGTATGTCTAAGTAATTTTCTGAATACTTTCAGGACCACCTAATCAATCTAATCGACACTCCTGGGCACGTTGACTTCAGTTTCGAGGTCTCGAGGAGTCTTGCGGCTTGTGATGGGATGTTGTTATTGGTGGCTGCAAATTCAGTAAGTGCTTTCTTATTTTTCCTTGAATTTTAGGGAGTACAAGCACAAACAGTCGCCAATTTCTGGCTCGGCTTTGAGAATGATCTGGTAATTTTACCTGTTATCAACAAAATCGATCTTCCCGGTGCTGAACCTGAGCTTGTAAATGAACAACTTTGCTCGTTGTTTGACTTCAACAAAGATGATGCTATTCGAATATCGGCGAAGACGGGTCTAGGCGTCGATCGAGTGTTGGATTTAATCGTTGAGAAGTGAGTGAATCAACATTTTTTTGGATTTTTTTCACCTGTTGGCAAGTATAATACAAAATTTTCTAGAGTTCCTGCACCAACTTCAGATCGAGCTAAGCCTTTTCGAGCGCTGATTTTTGACTCTTGGTTCGAGCATTTCCGCGGTGCAATCGCGTTGATTTTGGTCAAAGAAGGGGAGATTTCTGTTGGGCAAAAAATCAAATCTTTTCATAACGGCATGGAATATGATGTGTCGGAGGTTGGAATCATGCATCCAGATATGGTCAAGGCGGCGGTAAGTTGCATTTTTCGTGGTTTATTTTGCGTTTAGACCCTCAGCGCCGGCCAAGTTGGCTACATTGTCTGCTCCATGAAGACGGTGAAGGAGGCCGCAGTCGGAGAGACTCTGTACGATGCGCAGTTGGAGAAGTCGAACGTCCAACCGTTCCCTGGATTCAAGACGATGAAACCTACAGTTTATGCAGGACTTTATCCGGTGGAACAGGCGGATTATGAAGATTTGAAGCAAGCTCTGGAAAGATTGGCACTAAACGATCCATCGGTGGAAATTTCACCCGATTCGAGCATCGCGTTGGGCTTGGGATTCAAGGTTGGGTTCTTGGGAATGTTGCACATGGAGGTGAGCAGTTTCTTGATGGTTTTTGTGAGTTTAGAAAGGAGGGGAAGACTTGTCTAAAATTGGTCAAGTGTTTCTCTCGGGCTTGTCATCGCAAATTGACTGTAATTTTGAACGATGTATAGTGTGCTTTGGGTTGAAATTTGAATTTTGAACAATTTCTTTATCTGAAAATGGTAATTTATTTATCATTTATATTATTTTAGACATCAAATTTATCGATATTAATTTAGGTCTTTGGCCAACGTCTGGACCAAGAATACGACGCAAACGTCATCCTCACAGCACCCTCAGTGGAGTATAAAGCCATAGTAAAGGACAATGACTCGATACGAAAGCGAAGATACGAAGGAAAAGGAGAAATCTCCGTAACGGATCCTTCGAAATTCCCCGCTGAAGTGCAGGATATCGATCATTTTTTGGAACCAATGGTGCAGTTGACGATTATATGCCCCAATGAATATATGAGTCAAGTGACGGGCTTGTGTAGCGAAGCCAGAGGAGAGCGCGGCGATATAAATACGATTGATGAAAGCCGAATGATCATCAAATATCGAGTGCCATTGGCGGAAGTTGTGGTCAATTTCTTCGAGAGATTGAAGAAAACTACAAGGTAAACACTTTTTGATAGTTTAATTGGGGGCTGCAACGCCTTTTGAGACCAAGAGAAACACTTGACACATTTGGGGTCAAGTGTTTCTCTCGTGGGTTATAGGCCGGAAATGGTGTGAAAAGGTACTGTAAAAGGTGTATTGAGAGTTTGTATAATATTTTTCAGTGGCTACGCCTCGTTTGACTACGAATACGACGGGTTTCAGGAAGTGGATCTGGTCAAGTTGAACGTCTCAATAAATAATCGCCAAATCGATGAATTCTCCCTAATATGCCCCGCATTATTGGTCAGGAAGAAAGTCAAAGACCTAATGAACCGATTGAAAGAGGAAATTCCTCGCCAATTGTATGAAGTCAACATCAAGGTAGGGACTTTCAAATTTTTGGCATGGATAATATAATTTTTGTTGAATTTTGAGTGTTTATGGCGAGATAGCGGAGTAAAAGGACTGAAAATGCTATTTGCAGGCCACAATCGGCACCTCGCAAAAAGCCATAACGCAGGCGACCATAAAAGCCTACAAAAAAGACTTCACGGGCCTGCTGAAGGGCAACTTTGGCGGCGGCGGAATGGAACGGCTCAACAAAAAATTGTCACATCAGAAAAAGGGCAAAGAGCGGCTAAAGAACATTGGCAATATTAACATCCCAAAAGAGGCTTTTATCAATGTTTTGAAACATTGAAAAAAGTGTCTAAAGTACATTTTTTTTGAGAGTTCGGCTCAAAAAAGTGAATTTTTTTAGGTTTATAGGTGGAATGGAGTTGAATAGAAGATTTTTTTGCTTAAATATATATTGTTTTTGATTGTTAGGGACGTATTTTGTTGAATTTGAAATAAAAATTAAAAAAAATTTTTAATTTTCGAAAAATTTTTGGATAAAAATCGGGAAATAAAAGTGTCAAACCCTGAGGGAATATGATTTTCAGGATTATTGTGGCTTTTCTTTGCTGTTGAGAGTCAAAAAACGAGATTTTTCGACAAAATTTTCACTTTTTTAGACCTTATTTTAGGTGAGAAAATGGTTTTTAAACAGCTAAAGCCAAGCAAATGAAACGATTTATAACTAAAAATATCTTGAATTAATTTTTACACTAATTTTTCAAACAGAAATTAAAATATGATTTGCGGTTTACAGCCCCGGAGGTCCATTGCCGAAGATCTCCTGAAGCGCCCCGTTGCTTTTCGAGACGGCCGCAAATCCGGGCGCCGAACTTTCGGGCGCACTTTTTTGGCTGACTGGCACTGGTCCCACCACAAATCCGGGAATCGGGATCATACTCTGGCCGAATGCGCCGGCATGCTGAATCGGTGCCGGGCATCGCTCATGATTCAGTTGAAGGAACCGGAATCGAGGCTCGGTCGTTGAATTTTTCGACGATCTGAACATGTAGACCACGTCTACATCAACAATATGACCGAGCCCACAAAATTGCGTCTTCCCATCGGGACACTGGCTGGTCCCCAAAACCAAACGGATCTGATAATCGATCCCATTGCTGTTCTGTTTGGCAATTTCGAGAATTTGGACCAAAGCGCGCGGCTTTGACGGGTAGATGTTGGTATTCACGTAGTTGAAGGCGTCGCGAACCACATTCTAAAAAATTATTGGGAAATTGAAAAGTTTACCCTACCTTGGCTTCATCCGATTGTGGGTTGATTATTTCCACCGGGGTGTCGTATGAAGGGTGTTTTTGAAAAGCGGCGTGACTGAGCTGAACCAAAAAGAACAAGAATATTACCCAAGAAGTATTGGCCATGTCTGAAAATAGAAATGACGTTTAAACGTAAGAAATGCACTATGCGCGGAGAGATTTTAGTAGAAATGAGAATATTGGTCGGGTCCTAGGACAGTTTATCACCTATTTTGAGGTATTTTATACATGTACTCACATCAATAATGTATAGATAAAAGTTACAGATCTTCGTTTTTTGCCACAAACTTTGGTCTTTTACCTGTTACAATAGCTCAGGGTCAATGAAACTAGGTTTAGCACTCGCTAAAATTAGAGAAAGTGGTCGTATTGTAAGTCTTCGCCAAATCTCCGTCAAGCGTTCGCCTTGCATCCAACGGCATTGCCAGGCTTTGTAGGCACCTCCTATATAAAACTTTTTTTTTGTGATTCTCTGCCTGTCCTTCGACTTATATCGATCGTTTTGTGCTGACCTGAACTGTTATTGATCCGAAACGGTCAGACGCGAAAAATTATACTGTCAAATACGTCGTTCTAGCCGCTACATTTTAAACAAGGAGTGCTTCAAAAGTGGCCTTTTGGTCTTGCGGAAATTTGGTCCAACTTTAGAATTTTTGGACGCGTACAGTGACGGACCTGATCCAGTGGCAAGAAACGTACAATTTTGCATTCGGGAAGTATCAAAAACGCAGCAAAATGCTTTCCTCTTCAAGTGAAGAGACTATGACTTCAAAAGCGCGCCTACGCTTTTGTGTGAGGGAAATGGCGCGCCCTTCAAACCGGAGTTTTTTTAGTTGCAGAGGGAGGCGTTTTGCTATATTTTTTGATCCTTCCCGGATGCAAAATGGTACGTTTTTTTGTCATTGGATCAGGTCCGTCACTATACGCGTCCGAAAACTCTGACGTTGGAACAAATTTCGGCAAGACCAAACGGCCACTTTTGAAGCATTCATTCTGTAAAAGAAATAGTTGCTTAGCGTATTTTACAATATAGTTTTTCGCGTCTGGAGGGCAACAACAGTTCAGGTCAACACAAAATGACCGATATAAGGCATAGGACAGGTAGAGAACCACAAAAAAAGTGGTAGGAGGCGCCTACGAGGCCTGGCAAAGCCGTTGGATGCTAGGCGAACACTCGGCGGAGACTTGGCGAGGACTTACAGCCACTTTTTCTAATTTTAGCGATTTCTAAGCCTAGTTTCATTGACCTTGAGCTATTGTAGCAGGTAAAAGACCACTGCGGCAAAAAAACAAATATCTGTAAGTTTTATCTATACATTATTGATGTGAGTACATGTAAAATACCTCAAAATAGGTGATAAGTTATCCTAGGACCCGATCAATCTTATTATTTCTGTTAACTAAGCCCTCTCCTAGCCTATCCCGTACATACAACGACGATTCGACACGGGAAAGACTAGGAGAAGGCCCGAAAAGTCGTAGCGCCTAATTTCTCGTCTCAAACTTCTACTTCCCCTATAAAGTAAAACTTTTCTTCTCGCCTTACTAAGAACTGTCAAAAAATAATGCATACGATATAATCAAAATAAAGTCGGGCGCTTTACAACGAAGACATTGACTGAATAAGGGAACGGACGTCAAAAGTATTTTCATGTTTTTCCCTTTCCTCAAACAGAAAAAATAAAGTTCGCAGTGACGAATTGAAGTAATTATTACTCAAGTCAATCGCCCTGCATGTGATTTCCGAACAAACATTGTACGATGATGATGTGTTGCAGTTTGTTTGTGGCTGAATTGTACATTGTGACGAGAAGGTCAAGGATGGGCAATTAAAAAAGGAAAAAATGGGAAAGAATTGATATTTTTTGAAGATGGGAAGGGACGAGGGTTCAATTCGCGTGGGGGAAATTTACACCCACGCGGTTGAACTTCTCACGTCAGATAAATATTGGTTTACAAGGGAAGTGCTGCAAGGCGATGCTCAGATTTTGATGAAACTTGGCACAAATTTAGAATTATTTTTCTAGTAGGATATATGCGATGCTCCTAGCTCGCGTTTTGCAGAAACGACTGAGATTTTTAAGGAGAAATTGGAAAAATTTGATACTTTTTTGCAAATTTTGACGTTACGCAAAAAAATTTCAAATTTTGATGTCACGCAAAAAAAAAATCGCGCGGAAGTGGTAAAGATGATGCGGTGGTCACGTTAAGGATGTCGATGGTCAACCACTGATAGTTAAGGAGTATAACGAGTTTGTTCTCCAAATGTAAACATAGTCAGAGCGGAGTGGAAGAGGGACTGCCACGGCCAAAATTTTGGCTCCGGCTCTTAGCTCTCAGAGCCGGAGCCGAAGCCAAATTTGCAGCTCCGCCTCCCGTGTAAAATTTAAAAAGGTCTCTGGCGCCGCACATCGTTCTTTCGTAATTGGAAAATGTTTTTTTAACGGGGCGGCGCTATTATTGATTGAAAAAAAGAGAGAAGAAGCGCCGAAAATTCTAATTTACCACAACCTAATTTACGCAAAAACCATCGGCACACATACTCATTGAATGATATTTTCTGAAATTTCGATGGACTAAGCTCCTTTAAGAATCAACATGACATCTGTTATCATCTTAGCCTTTCCATATTCATCTAAAACATCATGGGTGTTTCTGTTAAAGATTCGGTTATATCTCGCAGTTCCAACGAAACATGGGTATACCCGATATGCCAGTTGATGCAGAAGAATTCAGAGAAAATATGTGTTCAGTTTCAGAATTTTCTGTACGCGAATTTTTTTTCAATCCCCGGATTCTGTTATACTAAGAGGTGGTATCGCCGAATATCAAATTAATAAGATTATTAGTATTGTTGACGCTTCTTAAATATATATTCATGTATTTTTTGTTAAATATGACGCTATTTATGCTGTTACACATCACTTTATGCATGTGGCCACAACAAAAGGAAAATTATAGAAAATGCACAATGCCACATTTTTTTGGCAAAAAATGTTTTTGTGGTGAACCGACAAAAATTTTTAGCTTCGCAAGCCAAAAAAATTTTTAAGGCATTACGCCAAAAGCTTGTTTTTCGTCGCGATACAAACCATAATTAGCAGAAAAAAACGACGTGCGCCGGCTTCCGTGCAAAAATTTTTTTTAAAAATATTTTTCCAGAAATAAGAGTTATTCGTGCCGCCGGAGATTACATACCCAACGTTTTTAAGCCAAGTCGCAAGTACGCATCACATCCTCCCAGTATTTTTCAAACAATTGGTTTAACAAGATCACGAAATTTTTACTTTTCTGAACGTTGGGAAGTCTGGCTCAGACTGGGCTCGGGAGCCGGACCCAAAATTTCCGGTTCCCGGCTCGGATCTGGATGTTCTCCGAACTACGACTAAGAAGCCGATTGCGGACTGTCAGCAAGATAAATAAAAGGATTGGAGTGTCCACGTCTTGTTATAATTCTTGGCAAATTTCGATTTAAGAATTTTGCTTCTGCCAAGCACAAGCTAAAAATTTTGGACTTGCCTTGGGCACTACAAGTGCTAAATTTCATAAAAATCTGACCGTCGGAAATCCATAGCCGGACAAGTCTGGCCGCCAGAATGCGAAATCTGAGCGCCGCACTTTACACACCCTTTAGAAAAAAAATTCAATATTTTTATTCATGATCAATAAAACTGATATTAAACAATTAGCCCTGACTGTTATATTTCTGATATTTAAAACACATGAGGTTTCTGGTGGTGTTCGGGATGGTCGCGGATTTGGTCGATGATTTTGTTGACCGGCAATTCGCCGATGCAAATCTTGTGGACCGAGACGAAAAGGGGGAATTTCCGTTCGACTCCACGACTTTTCAACGAAGCGTACAGTTCGGCGGCAGTTGGAGGGCCTTGGGCACTCTGGCCGTTGAGAAGTTCGACTTCGAGCTCTTGGATGGACTGAAAATTTAGGGAAATTATGGGTTATAATAGACATGATGACTAAAAAATAGATTTTTGTCGACTAGAATTTGACGTGAGGCAAGAACAAGCTCAATTTTCGTCAATTTTTAGGCCTAAAAATGTTGGTGATCTCTTCAGGTTTCGAACTACAGGGGACCTGATCCAGTGGCAAAAAACGTACCATTTTGCGTCCAGGAAGTATCAAAAAAATATGGCAAAATACCTCCCTTTCCAAGTGAAAAAACTCCGATTTCAAAAGCACGCCCGCTCGTTTTGCGCTCTTTTTGTTAGGGAAAGGGCCAATCCCTGAAAATTTTAGCTCCCGCTTGGCAAGAGTAGCTGAGATATTCGACAATCCTTTTTCATGAGAGATTACGTCTAGTGAGGAGAGTCGGTTAGACAAAAAAAACTATCGAAATTTTCCCCATTTTTTCTAATTTCTATTCGTCTTACAGTGGGGGACCTGATTCAATGGCAAAAAACGTACCATTTTGCATCCGGGAAGTATCGAAAAATGTGGCAAAATACCTCCATTTCCAAGTGAAAAAAAGCAGATTTCAAAAGCGCGCCCGCTCTTTTTGTGAGGGCGCCCTTCAAAACGGTGTTTTTTCACTTGGAGAGGGAGGTATTTTGACACATTTTTGATACTTCCCGGATGCAAAATGCTACGTTTTTTGCCACTGGATCAGGTCCTTCACTGTAACAGTCATTTTTCTATTTCTGTGCGATACCTTTCCAGTCTTGGCGAAGGCCTCACAAATCTTGCGGTTGCGGCCACCATAACAAGTAGTAACAAGGTCGGCAATGCCGCAACTCTCGAAGAATGTGGTGAATTGAGATCCGGGGTAAAATTCTTCAACAAATCGGATTGTTTCCATCAAACCCAAGCGAATGATGGCAGCTTTTGTGTTATCTCCGTAACCAAGACCATCCGAAAATCCGGCAGCGCAAGCGACAATGTTCTGAAAAAGTGAAAATTTTTGAGTTAATTTTCAAATACTGATGATTTGGACGAAACTTGGGAGAAATTTAGACTAGAATTTTCCGAGCAATATGCGAAATTTTTAGCTCGTGCTTTGCATAAATTATCGAGATTTTTAGGTCGAAAAAAGGTAAATGCTTGAGCCTTTGACCGATTTTCGACCAAAAAATCTCGGTGATTTCTGCAAAGCGCGGTCTAAAAATCTCGCAGATGCCTTGGAAAACCCCATGCTAAATTTGTTCCCAAGTTTCATCAAAATTATAAGGGCAAATTTTGAGGGTACCCCCTGAGAAAAACTCATAAAAAATGACGACTGAAAAATTTTTCGGTATGTCCTAAGGCAATTTCACAAATTTTTACCTTCAAAGCACCACACAATTCCACGGTATGAGCATCCTTGACAACATTAATGCGGAAATAATCGGTGTGGAACAGAACTTTCAACGCATGCCCCACGTCGAGATCCTTGGTTCCAATCGTCGCTTCGCAGAAGTTCTCGTTCGCAACTTCTGGCGCCAAATTTGCGCCCATTAAGACAGAGACTTCCACATCCAGGGCGGCGCGGATAACCTCGGAAATCAAGTGGATTCCGCCACCGTGACCGACGGAAACGCCCTGAAAGTAATAGCCCTGAGGTAAAAAACGGTTAAAATTGAGTTAAAAACTGCTGTTTAATTATTGAAAACACAATTTTGTTTTGTTATAGGCAAGAAACAGGCGAATTTTGTTCAAATAACGATAAAAATTTTCAAATTTTGTTTTCCCGCCATTTTTGGCATAGTGTTTTTTCACCATAAAACTGCCATAAACTTGGCTAAACTCATGTTGGAAGCAACATACATACTAATTTTGATCAAATTACAAAAAAAAATTAAAATTTTGTTTTTCCCGCCATTTTTGGCATTGTGTTTTTTCACCATAAAACTGCCAGAAACTTGGCTAAACTCTTTATAGACCGTTTTTAAAGCGTTTTATATCAACTACCGACGAATTTTTTCAAATTTTCCGTTTCCCGCCATGGTTGGCATTCTGTTCGTTCATCGGAAAATTGCTCAAAAATGGGACGAATGCGTTTGGGCTTCTAAAGATTTGAATGTCCAACTATATCGTCTTCTAGCCTACCTTGATTAGCGACACCACTTCCGCGTCCGGCTTGATATTTCCCTTCAATTGAGCGCACACTTTCTCCACGAATTGATGAGGAATCACAAAAATCAAAATGTCCGCATCCTTCGCGGCCTCCAACAAATCCGGGACCGCGACCACGTTGCTCGGCAAGATCTTTCCGGGCAAATATCGCACATTCTCATGCCGGGTGTTGATGATTTCACTCAGCTTTTCGCCGTTCACAATCTCCTCAAACACCCACATGCGCACGGTTTTGTCGAAAATGTCGGGATTCTGCTGGGTGGTTTGGCCGACAATCCGCGCAATCGCCGAGCCCCAGTTGCCGGATCCGACAATGGTGACTTTTTTGTGCGTCATTTTTGCGATTTTTTTTTGTACACGAGGTTGAGGTAGATGGGACTAAAAAATTAGATTTGAGGTAAAGTACGAGGGGTAGAAGGAGTTTTTTGGTTAGAACACGCCTTAAAATTATGGTTAGTCTAAATAAAACGAATAGAAATTACATATAAAAACTAGGAAATTTCGTTTTTTTTGTCTAACCGAGTCTTCTCACAGTGAAGGACCTGATCCAGTGGCAAAAACGTACCATTTTGCATCCGGGAAGTATCAAAAATGTGATAAAATGCTTCCCTCTCCAACTAAAAAACTCCGTTTTGAAAGGCGCGCCCTTTTCCTCACAAAAAGAGCGGGCGCGCTTTTCAAATCGGAGTTTATCACTTGGAAAGGGAGGTATTTTGCCTCATTTTTTGATACTTCCTGGATGCAAAATGGTACGTTTTTTGCCACTGAATCAGGTCCCCCACTGTAAGACGACTGGAAATTATAAAAAATGGGAAAAATTTCTAGCGTTTTTTTGTCCAACCGACTCTCCTAACTAGACGTAATCTCTCGCGAAAAATGATTGTTGAATATCTCAGCTGCTCTTGCCAAGCGGGAGCTAAAATTTTCAGTAATTGACTACTACCCTATTTACAATCAGCCTTATAAGTTTGAAGAGAATTAAGCCTTTACACACGGGGTACAAAAATAATTTAAATTTGTGGCACTCATCGCTCTATTTTTAACGAAATTTCCTCTGTCTTGCCAAAAATTAATGAGCAGACCATGAACCCTTAAAAACTGATCGACCCCTCGCCCGATTAACAACAAAACCCGTGGTTTTGACCGACGGAATGCCTTATAATAAGCACTTTCTCTCCATAAATTCTCCTCTCTTTTTGGGTTGGGCGGAGAAAAAACATAAAAACTTTTCATGTGAATGAAAGAACAACACATCAACGAAAAGACCCCTTTTTATCAACAAACTGATTGTGAGTTTCGACTTTATGTGATGTAAAAGTTGAAAAATTGAGGAGAGGGTAAACATATTGTAGTGAGGGAGAGGGTAAAAATATTGTAGTATGACAAGAACACGGAGAAAAGTTTTATGTTTTGAGTGGAACAAGGTTCCAAAATGGACATAATCTCACAAACAACAAAGTTTTTAGATCAAAATGGGTGCCTTATACAATGACTTGCAGAAAATTACCTACATCATGAGCTGTACAGAGTGAAAATCTTTGGGTATGACCTAGTGGAGGTTATATGCCATATACATCGATTACGAAACACTGTCGTAAATACTTGACTTTATGAGTTGTTTTGGCAACCAAATCATCGTAATGGTTGACTAAGGAAACGTATTTATTATGTACTTTCCTGGCCTTTACGACGATCTGGCTTCAGCAAAGTCATAAAGTAAGATATTTACGACAGTGGAGGCGTAATCGATGTTTATGTCACGTAATCGCTGGTGGGTCAAAAACCGATGGTTTTCACACTATACAGTTCATGGTATAGGTAATTACCTGCAAGTTATTACAATGGGCACCCATTTAGACCTAAAAACTTTGTTGTTTGTGAGAAATGTCCATTTTGCAACTTTCTTGCACTCAAAACACAAAAATGCTCGGCACTAATGCGACTATTCGGGTCAACGATAGTTTGATCCGCACTGATTAGTCGTTGCATCCATGAAAGAGGCTAGCAGAAGGCTCAGTTAATACAAAAAAATATACAATTGATCAGGTCCTAGGATAGTTTATCGCCTATTTTGAGGGGTTTCACATGTATTACATCCAGACAAAACTTACGGATCTTCTTTTTTGGAGAAAGTTTTTGCCTTTTACCTGTTGCTTAGGGTGAAGAAAACTACAGTCAGCAATCGCTAAAATTAGAAAAAGTGTTCGTGTCGTAAATCTTCGCCAAGTCTCCGCCGAGAATTCAATGGCGTTTCCAGGCCCCGGAGGCACCCCCTACAACATTTTTTGGGTCTCCGCCTCTGCTACGCCTCGTATCGATTGATTTTTCGTCGACCCGAAAAGTCCGGAGGCGAAATATCCTTCGCGTATTCGGAAAAAAGCCCTATTATTAAAATTTGAGCCCTAAAACTACCGTGTTTTGAAAAGGCGAACATCAATTTAAAAATTGTTAATATAGCAGCTACAACCAAAAAACGGAGATAATTGTCCGTAGTGTATGCCCAATTATCTACACTCTCCCATTTTTTCACGGCTTTCAGACCAAAACCTGTCACGGAACCAAAGTACAGCTGGTTTTATCGACTGTTTACAGCGAAAGACTTATCATGAATTATCATCGGTCGCTCTTTAAAGGTTAGTTCGTCGGCGAAAAGGCCGATCTCTCCTATTTTTGATCGATTTACATACCTTTTGCTGATAAGATAAATACGTAAACAAACGAGTGAAACGGGTGGCACATTGCAGCACAAAGACCTTTAAAAAACAATCGTCTGGCAGTTGGTGACCTTGCTGTTGATATCAGGCTATTTTTGTACTGCATTCCGCTGCACAGCGGTTGTAAAGTTTACAAAAGGAAACCTTGATCTTTGGCGGTTTTAATTGCAAAAATAAAGCGAAATATCGCATTAAGAGAGTACCCTAAGTTTCACTTCCCGTTTTTTTCACATATATTTTTAGGGATTCATGATCAGCTGATTAGTTTTTGACAGGGCAAAGTCCTGAAAAAAATAGGCAAGGCTTCAGGCATTTTAGCGAATCACTTTACAAGGACATCAAGTTTATAATGTCGCAAAATGAACGTAGAATAAATGGGCTGCTTTTGAATAGAAAAAACAAAAATTTTCAATGGAGTTTTTGACAGGGGAGGGCAAAGTCCTGCAAAAAAATAGGTAAAATGGGACAAAAAAACGTAGATTATCTTTCTAACCAATACGGAAGGCCTCAATTTTCTTTAAATTTACAAGGCATACTGCAAATGGCGGACCGGATACAGTAGCAAAAAACATACCCTTTTGCATCCGGGAAGTATCAAAAATTCAGCAAAATACCTCCCTCTCCTTCTCCAAGTGAAAAAACACCGTCTTGAAGGGCGTGCCAATTCCCTCACCAAAAGAGCAGGCGCTTTTCAAGTTGGAGTCTTGTCACTTGCAGAGGAAGGCATTTTGCAGTGTTTTTTATACTTTCCGGATGCAAAATGGTACGTTTTTTTGCCGCTGGATCAGGTCCGCCACTGTATCTGCAGTAGGCCTTGTAAATTTGAAGAAAATTGAGGCATTCCATATAGGTTACAAGGATAATCTACGTTTTTATCCTATCTTACCCCATTTTTTGTAGAACTTTGCGCTCCCTGTCAAAAACTCCATTGAAAATGTTAGTTTTTTCTATTCAAGAGCAGCCGAGATATTCGACGTTCATTTTGCGACATTGTAAACTTGCGTCCTTGTAAAATGATTCGCTAAAATGCCTGAGGGTTTCCAATTAATAGCCGAAAGTAAACAATTTGGAGCAATAAAAGCTTTATCTTTTCTCTGCTCAGAGTTCGAGAGAGGAGAAAGACGCTATATCAAAATTCATCCATAAACAAAATGGTCAAGAATCTTTTTCACTGGGCATCTCTTCATTTTACAGGCCTGATCCAGAGGCAAAAAACGTACCATTTTGCATCCAGGAAGTATCAAAAAAAATGTAGCAAAATACTTCCGTCTACAAGTGAAAAAAACTCCGATTTCAAAAGCTCGCCCGCATTTTCTGTGAGGTAAAGGGCGCGCCCTTCAAAACGGTGTTTTTTCACTTGGAGAGGGAGGTATTTTACCACATTTTTGATACTTCCCTGATGCAAAATGGCAGGTTTTTGCCACTGGATCAGGTCCTTCACTGTACGCGCTCCAAAAAAGCGCTTAATATTTCAGCTGTAATGCAAAGCAAAAGCTAAAATTTTCAAGAATTAAAATTTGGCATACATGAAGTCTGTATGCAAAATTAGAAGAAAAAATTCCGCAAATTCAGCTTCGAATCCATCAATCATCATAATTTTTTAACAAGGAAAGTACTTCTATGGGGTGTGGAATTACCGGTCGAGATATATATCAAAAAATTCGCAAAAATTTTCTGATTCAGAATATATAAAAATTAGCTGCCTAATTTTGGTCTATCAGCGAGTTTTTTCAATAAATGTTTTTCTCGAGGAAAAAAATCTGCGGCAGCAAAAGCGCGCTTGGTCTCTTCCTTCGGAAGAGAGCGGTGTGGCCGAGTGGTTAGAGCGCTAGATTGGGAATCCGAGGGGAACGGGTTCGATTCCTTTTGCCCCACTAGAACCCATTTTTTACATTGGAACTACTTTTAAGGTGTAGTTGTAATCCAATTTGATATTTTAAGGCTTGTCAAGGCCTCAGAATTTAGTTTAGCACAAAACAAAATTTTTTAATTGGTAAAAACACGGTCAAAAAGACACTTGCATGGTGTCGCGAGAAAACTTCTGAGGACAAAAACATGTCATTAGACCAAAATTAGGCAGCTAATTTATATATATTCTGAATCAGAAAATTTTTGCGAATTTTTTGATATACAGGGTGTACCAAAAAAATGGAAACTTTTTTTCATTTGTCCTGACGCGAAAATGGTTAGGTGTAGCCAAAGAAGTTTATTACTACAAAATTCTCTTTGTTTTTCTGTCCTAGTGGTTTGATTTTTACGCCCATATCGAATAATCGACCTGTCTTTTTTGAACTTCAAACAAAGGGACCTCAATTTTGGACTTGTTTTTGGAGCTGTTCGAACAGTTAATTTGCTCGGTATAGAAAGAACGTTTTGTCGAAATTAATCACGAGGCCCAAGGAGCTTGATACGGATAGTAAGCGCCCAGGAAGTGAAAGAAAACGCACCGCCAGCGCTTCTTTCAACCGAAAGATCTCCCACAGCAAAATCCGCGATTTTCAAGAAAAACTTGCCCTTGAGACTGACATCAGCAACCGATCGCTCGGCCGAATAGTCAAAGGCGAGCTCAACCTCATGTCATACAAGCTCTAAAAAATTCAGATCTTTAAAGCCGAGAGAAAGTGCGTACAGCGCAAAAATGTCGGAACGTCAAAGGGGTGGGCCGCAGCTCCGAGACGTGAGCGCATTCAGTTCGCGGTTCAATATTTAGCGGATACACAACCACCAGAACGATAGAATCTGCTTCAATGAGGCTCCTAGCCTGTTGGCCATCGTCGAATACCACCAAAATTCGGGTCGTCATTGCTTAAGGCGGAATTTGTGCCAGCGGCAAGAATTCCAGGTTTTTCGTGAATAAATGGGACAAAATACTAGCGCCGCGTTAATTTCTATTTTGTCGTGCTTCCGTGAGCTCAGCAGAACCTTGGCAATGCAAACTTGGCGTTTCAACAGGACTCAGCGCCGGCTCACAAGGCAAAATCGACTCAGGACCCGAAATGGGACCGATTTTCCCGATTTTATCCCGCCTGCGAAATGGCCGCCTGCTCACCAGATCTGAATCCAATGGACTATATATTTTTTTAACTAGAAGGCCAGCACCTGTACTATGCTCCACAAAAGTTTGGAGTCGCAAAGTAAATGATGCGCCAAGAACGGGACCGATTTCCCCCTTAAAAAGCTGCGGCCCGGAGCCCAAAATTTTACGTCACGTTTGGAGCTCTATATCGTCACCAAAGGCAGCCACTGTGAAACAGGTTGAACATGTTATAAACAATGCTCTATGTTACCTATCATGACCGTTACTTTTGCTGAATTTTGATTCTCCGAAAAAATATAGCTATAAAAACAAGTTTCCATTTTTTTGGTGCACCCTGTATATCTCGACCGGTAATTCCACACCCCATAGAAGTACTTTCCTTGTAAAGAATTACTTCATTTTCTAAAACGATTCCCGATTCAAAAAATAACGAACACTCCAAAAATCCCCGTAAACACGCCTCGAACGCTGCTCTTAAATTTGTATCTAGCCCTTCCAAGTGCCACAAAAATTTATGGAACTTTTCCAGCCCAATTCCAATCTCGAATCTGGCCCGAAGCGAGTAAAAAGCACGGCGACAAAGGAAAAAGCAAAAACGATTGTGTGAATTGCCTCCAAAGCACACTCCAATCACAGGAGAAGCCTTCAAAAAATCCGCTGGAACACCTGTGGTGTTCTTTGCACAAAACAAAATAAAAATAAATTTATTTGTTTGGGAATTGTTATTGTAACAAAAAAATGGCGTTATTTTAGGGGAACACTCGGAAATTTTATTTATAAAAGAAACTATTTTTATCAGTCTGTCGGTGCTACGTCGCATCGAAAATCGCATCGCCAGCGAGAAAATGAATTGTGCTGCGGCAGGGTGCCCATTATTTTCCCGACAAACTGATATAATTTTTTTGAAATTTCAATAATTTTTTTGAAAAAAAAATCTCGCGTACCCGAAGGGTAACTTCAAGATTTCCTTCAAATTTAGAACACTTGATCTGTATGGGTCATAGATTCACTTCCGAAAATATGAGCTCACGCCTTGCAAGTACAGCCGAGATATTCAACAATCTTTTTGCGAGAGATTATGGAAAATGAGGAGAGTCGGTCAGAGAAAGTTCTCGAGTAAAACTTTGTTCAGAAAGCCCAATTTTCTCCCTTTCGGCCTATAAATCCAGGTAGGCTCAATCAAAAATCTCGAAAAAATCTCCCTGTATGAAAAAACGATTTTTCCTCCGACCGACTCTCCTCGTTTTCCATATTCTCTCGCAAAAATATCGTCGAATCTCACAGGGAAAGTACCCCAAGTGCGACGCTCACAAGGGAAGTCGTTCAGATCGCAAATGAGTTGAGCTATGGGACCGGTATATTCTGATTCTCCATATTTCAAAACGGTAAGAGCTAAAACAGTTTTTGCGTCTGGGCCCTAGTTTTCGAGAAAATCGACCGTAAAGTTTGATCGGAAACCCCGCTAAACAGTCTTCGCTCCGAAAGACCTTTGGATCAAGAGCCAAATGGCGGAGGGCGAGTGAAAACGCTCTCAAAATTCTTTTGTCCGGGATGCCGAGGAAGGTTCGAGTCCCGCTAGGCTCAAACCCATGTTCAAAGAGCTTTGATATTGAAAATGATAAAAAATAAAAAAATTTTAGTTTTTTGTGGTGAAGTGTACCCCAATAATTTCAAATCAAATAGTTTTTTTAGGAATAAACACTTCATTTTTGAGTTCAGCGCAGAAATATGCCTATTTGGCATGCATTTCAAGATTTTCTCCAAAGTATGTAAAAGGAAAAATTTTTTTTTTGCTTTGCAACCACTATGAATTTATACATCAGGGTTTGCTCCTAGCGGGACTCGAACCTTCCCCGGCATCCCGGACAAAAGAATTTCGAGAGCGTTTTCACTCGCCCTCCGCCATTTGGCTCTTGATCCAAAGGTCTTTCGGAGCGAAGACTATTTAGCGGGGTTTCCGATCAAACTTTACGGTCGATTTTCTCGAAAACTAGGGCCCAGACGCAAAAACTGTTTTAGCTCTTACCGTTTTGAAATATGGAGAATCAGAATATACCGGTCCCATAGCTCAACTCATTTGCGATCTGAACGACTTCCCTTGTCAGATTTTGAAGAAACTTGGCAAATTTAGAACAATTTTTTCCAAGATATATGCGAGAAACCTAGCTCGCGCTTTGCAGAAACAACCAAGATTTTTAGATTGAAAGTCGGCCAAAATTTTGCCCGAATTTCGGCACGAAAAGTTTCATGCCTGTTTCTAACATAAAGAACAATCTTTCTACAAAAAATCACATTTTTCCGCACGAAACTGCCAAAGTTATGGCCAAAAAGCGTTTTTCTCTCTGACCGCTCTCCACGTTTAGCGTGCTCTCTCGGCGGCAAAAATCGTTCAATATCTCGGCGGTGCCTGCAAAGCGCGAGCTAAAACTTTCAGGAATTGATATTTAGTCCATACCCGACGTGTGTGCAAAATTTAAAGAAAATCTGAGCGTCGTACTTGGAGTACTTCCCCTGTCAGCTGGACTTGCAAGGCATAAGCAAAAAAATTTTCGGCAATAAATCTACGACCTATACAGATCATTTGCTACAAATTTGAAGAAAATCCGCACATAATGCCTCGAGCAAAACTTCAAAACCTCTCTAATTCCCAGAAAACAAAAAAATCGTCTCGGAACTCTCTGAAACACAGACTATTGGCGTCAAAACGTCCTCTAATGAACCGACGAAAATCTTTTTTTGCCTGGGTCAGACATTTATGACCTCACCGGCCTGTTCCAAGCATCTTTTCAAAAGCGAAAAAACGGTGAGTTTCACGTGAAAAAAAAAATTAAAACAATTTCAAGGTCAGACAAAAAGACAAAAAGCATCTTTTGCAAACACAAAAAGACTGCAATTTGTAAACAAACAGTGATTGGAAGCTGTAATATACTTTTAAAATATGATATATCGTCCAATTAAAGAAAATTTCGTTTTAATTACCTAAAGTAACATCAAAAAGTCCTGTTTTTCATGACTCAATGCCAGTGTCATACTTGCACGAGAGCAGTCTGGTCTTGGACGAGTGATGTTCGACGTTTCGGACAATCAAAATTCCACTTTCCGGGTCTTCAGAGCCTAAAATAACGTTAACTTAGGAAGTCGAAAAATTAAAAAAAAAAAAAAAAAAAAATCCAAAATTTCAAGGCAAAACTTACGGCTAAAATATCGTTCTTGGGTCAACTGTCGACAAGAGACTCGTTCCTTGTGGTCTCGTTCAAAAGTCAGCTAAAAAATGACCAAAATTATATTATTATATTTTACCCATCAAACTTATAGTGACGGACCTGATCCAGCGACAAAAAACGTGCCATTTTGCACCCAGGAAGCATCAAAAAATGTGGCAAAATACCTCCCTCTTCAAGTGAAAAAACATCGTTTTGAATGGCGCCTCACAAAAAGTGGTCGCGCTTTTGAAATGGGAGTTTTTTCACTTGGAGAGGGAGGTATTTTGACACATTTTTTGATAGTTCCTGGATGCAAAATGGAACGTTTTTTGCCAATGGATCGGTTCCGACACTGTAGAATAGTTTTTATTCCCTACAAATTTTACTTTTTTAGTCTAAACAGTAACGGACCTGATCTAGTGGCAAAAAACGTACCATTTTATATCCGGGAAGTATCAAAAATGTGGCAAAATACCTCCCTCTCCAAGTGAAAAAACTCCGACTTCAAAAGTGCGCTATCTTTGCGAGGGAAAGGGCCCTTCAAAAAGAAGTTTTTTTTCATTTGGAGAGGGAGGTATTTTGCCACATTTTTGATACTTCCCGGATGCAAAATGGTACGTTTTTTGCAACTGGATCAGGTCCGCCACTGTACAGTGAGGGACCTGATCCAATGGCAAAAAACGTCTCCTTTTGCATCCCGGAAGGGACCAAAAGGACTCCAAGCCATTCCCTTCTCTAAGCTAAAAAACTCCGTTTTGAAAAGCGCGCCCTTTCCTTCAAGGCGGGCTCTTCAAAGCGGGGTTTTTTAGCTTGGAGAAGGGAAGAGTTTGGAGACATTTTGGTCCCTTTCGGGATGCAAAATGAGACGTTTTTTGCCATTGGATCCGGTCCCCCACTGTAGCTCGAACCCTGAAGAGATCACCGACTCTTTTAGGCCGAAAAATTGACGAAAATTGAGCTTGTTCTTGCCTCACGTCAAATTCTAGTCGACAAAAATCTATTTTTTAGGCATCGTGTATAAAATAACCCATAATTTCCCTCACGTTTTTCCCACTGGATCAGGTCCGCCACTGTAACCCATCTCAAAAATCTTGATGTCAAATCCCAAACTAGAGCTCTAAACTTAAAATAAATTCGACCTACACTCAAAACATGAGCCATGTCATCATCGCTGACCAAGGAAATGTCCGGTTCTTTCTCCAAAATCGCCGTCTTTACATCCTTTTCGGAGTCAAACGGCGTTCTTTCATGGATAATATCGTACAAAATGCACCCCAACGACCACACATCCAGCGCTCGCGAGGCATAGGCGCGCTTCACGTACTCTGGAGACATGTAATGCTTTGTGCCGAGCTTCCTTTTCCTGTATACACCTTCATTCATTGCGCCGAGCAGAACGGCACAGCCAAAGTCGACCAATTTCAGACGCCCGGAGGGCATTCGGATGAAATTATCGCCTTTTATATCGCAATGGACAATTTCTGAAGGAAAACGGATCAATATTTTTTATGAAAAATAAAATTTTTATAAAAAAATCGTCATGGATAATATAAAAAAACAAAAATATTCAACCAATAAGTATACCAGATCAAAAATCAAGCCATTACTATCATTCAAATAAAAGAACATAATAATTTAGAGAAAAGTCAACCTTTTTACCAACTTTTTTACCAAAATCATCATGGATAATATAAAAATTTTCAAAAACACGCGATTTTCCCGCTTAAAACCGCAAATTCACGTCCTCCTTACCTTGAAAATGGATGAATTCACAAGCACGGACCATCTGACGAAAGTATTTTCGGATAAATTTATGTTCAATATAGCTCCGATCCTTCTGATATCTGCATAAAAAGTCGATGAAAGCTTCAGTACCCAGCTCCAACACCAAGAATAAATCGTTCTCCATTGTCTCAGCGTTCATTAGCTCCACTGTGTACTTGTTTTTGCCCAATCTGTCCAACAATTCGGCTTCAAATACCAGTTGCTCCTTTAGGCCCTCATCCTTGTCAATGTTGACCCGTTTAATGGCAACGGCTGTACCCGGAGAGCCCTTAGGATGTCCCACAAAGACTGATGAGAAACCGCCAGCGGCTATTTTCTTCAATGCTAAGTATTTGGAGCCGCCATTTGGGGACTTTGAGCCGATCTGAAGAAAAAATCAATCATAAATCAATATAAACAAGTTGTAAATTGGCTAAAAACTAGTTAAATGCAGCCTATAGAGTATAACCTCTCTTCGAAAGCCTTTCTTCATGAGATATCGGATATGCCAAGAGAAATTTTATATTATACTAGGCATCAGATCAAAGCCTTATGCAAATGCTCGATTTCTACCTAAAATCAGAAAAAAATAATAATTAAACACCACTTACCCTAAACCTTTCCAGAATTTCATTGCAACTCATTAAATCTAGCCGATCCTTTTCTTCTTCATCCTTTGATTTAGACGACCTCTGAGCTGACTGATCCGAGAGCGTACTGCGGTCCCGCTGAGTCTTCTAAAATCGAAATGCGGCAAAAATACTTCCTAACCAACCTGAGTGAAGAGTGTTGCGTTCTTCTTACGTCCCACATTGAGCAAAGAAGCGGACTGGGCAGTCAGAATCAGCTGGGACAAACTTTCGACAGCTTCCTTGAGTGCACCCTCCTCATCGTGCGCTCCCATCGTCTCGATAGCGGTGTGAAATGAATGGCTCTCACGATTCTCACTTCTCATATACATTTCACCTAAAATCAGAACAGGAATAAGGGAAAATTATATTACACTTGCCTATCCAGATCGCCGACCGGAAATCCGTTGGACCGACCGGTCGTTAGGGTGTGCAACAACGAGAATGGCGGTCATTCGCAGAGTTGGAGGAAGGGCTACAACAATTTGCATAACTTGACAGCGACAAAAGCAAAAAATAAAAAAACTCGGAAATGTTTGATTGGATAACATGTCGCTTTGGAAAAACGCAATTTTTCCCACAATCTTGCAATTCTCTGGGAGAGAAGTTCAATATTGAGTCGAAGGAGTCTTTACAGTGTGCGATTCTTGCCTATAATTGTCTATTACGCCATGTTACAGCGTCTGTTACATTAAATTATATTATCCATGATCATCTAATGAAAAATTTTTCCTTTTCAGCCATGGGATCCGCTCTTTCGCACGATCTCCTCCGATCTCGCACTACCGATGATGGCGAGGTCTTGATAGACGTTGATTCGGACAGTTCCGATGTTCAGGACGTCGCGGGAATCATGAACAATCACACTCCCAACCCGACCAGATTTCTTCCGAGACGCGAGCAAACTCGCCGTGAAAAGCTGTTTGAGGAAGCCAGGACCTTTGCTCTGGCGTGGACTGCGGCTGAGTACCGCAAGAACGATTGTTATTTATTTGATTTGTGGACGAAGATCAAAATGGTTTGGGTTCAACTTTGCATTCTGGAAGAAATGGAGAAGATCGGTGATAGTCTCGCGGAGTGTGGCAAGTATGGTATCATGTTGAAGTGAGTGTTTCAATATTTGTTTTCTTGGTTTTTAGGTGCAAGTCAGCGAAGTTTGAGGGAAACTTTAGCGAGACCTAGGTTCTTCTGGGTGGTCATGAATAATATAACCGTTGTGGCCGTTTAGGGTGTCGGAAGTCAAAGTTTTTAGTTTTATGAGGAATATTGGGTTATTTCACTTCTTTCAAGCTCATTTTCAGTGGATTTTTTTATGAGAGGAATCTTTTTTGAGGCGATGTTACTTTAGACCTCTGTGATGGAAAAGTTGGCTATTCTGTTTGTTTTTTAACTTTGAATTGATGCGTATGAGCTTTGTAGTTACATTTTAAGCGTAATTTTGTCTTCATTTTTCCTTATTATGGTATTTATGGTATCTTTATTCTTGATAATTAGATATAAAATTTGAAAAAGGGGTAGTAATGCTTGTAAGAGATCGAATTTGAATTCTTTTTGGTGTCTACGATTTTGTCTAACCATTTTTTCTTTCAAGAACTCTGATGCAAGCCCGATCTCGGCCGGAATGCATGATCTGCAGCAAGTTTCGCAAAGAAATGGTGGTTTGTGTCTATTGCAACGACATAATCCTCTGTTCCCAATGCAAAGACGAGTGTTATTCGGAATCAGTGATAAGTCCTCTCAGATGTCTTCAGTGCGATTCGATTTGGGGCACCAAACCAGCAGTTTTTCCGTTGTTTTTCAAGAATGGAATGTTGGTTCCGAAGGAGGCCTTGGATTCCTAAGGCAATATTTTTTGATGTAGAATGACTTCTTATTAAGTTTACTACAATTTTCAAAGTTTTTCATAGCTTTTAGAGATATTTGAGAATATTTTTGCCTTATTTTAGCGTTTTTTGAAAATTTTTTGTCCACAATACCTATTTTTTACTATAGCCGGTTTCTCTGTGTAATTTTCATCCTTACAGTGCTGTCTAAGCATTTTCTAATTGTATTTTGTACCTATTTTCACTAGTTTAACAATGTTTTATACTTGTAAATGAATTTTTTATAATTTTTACAGTAAATATTGAACGGTAAACTTTATAAAATTGCACTTAAAAATAGTTTTTCTTCGATTTAAAGTTAAAGTTTATACTCAAGTTCAAAAAAAAAAAATTTTATTTTTGCGATATAAATTCGCAGATTTTTCCCTTTTTACCTCATTTCTCTCAATTCTGTCACCAAAAATGGCGGTTCTCCGGACTTTCTTCATTCTCTCCGTATTTATCAGCACAGCAGCAAGTGTGGATGTGGCGGTCTTGCAAAACATCATTCAGAGGCCAATGAATCGTTTGGAAGGCACGGAAAGCAATTGCTTGGATCATTGGAACAGACAGGTATTTTTTTGGATAATAATATTTGTTTTTATTTATTTTTTAGTTATTTTTTTATTTCTTTAATTTATTTCTTGATTATTTTTTATTTCGTTTTTATTTGTTGTTTATTTTTTATTTCGTTTTTATTGTTTTTTTTTTTATTTTCAGATTCCAGGGGATGGATTTGCTTGCTCATCTTTATTTGCATTTAGTAGCATCGATAAACAGTTGTAAGCAAATTTTTTTATTTTTTTTATTTATTTTTTTTTTCTTTTTTTTTTTTTTTTTTTTTTTTTTTTTAATTTTTTCTGCTTTTCTGTGTTTGATTTTGTCAGGGGTGGCAAACGGGCCTCTTTTTCCAAATTTCAGGCCCGGGGCCCGGCCCGGCAAAATCCCAGGCCCGGCCCGGTTCAAAATTTTGCAGGCCCGGCCCGGTAGAAATCAGGCCCGGCCCGGTAAAAGCCCGGTTAGGGCGCGAGCTGGAAATTTTCCTTTGATCTTACCGCCTCTGTAGTGTGCTAAAATCTGCTAAGAACTATCCTATATGTATTATATGTTCTAATTTGGACCTTATATTATAACATATATGCAAAAAAGTACTATAAAGTAATAAACTATTGTAGAACTTGATATACTAAAAATACAAACCTATCCAAAAATTTTTCCGGCGCGAAAACATTGAATGCCAAACGCTTGGCATTTCGACAAAACCGGGCCGGGCCGGGCCTGAAAATGGCTCAGGCCCGCGGCCCGGCCCGGTAAAAAGCAGGCCCGGCACGTTTCAAAATTTGCCAGGCCCGGCCCGTTTAGGCCCGATCGGGCCGGGCTTCGCCGGGCCGGCCCGGCCCGGTGGCCACCCCTGGATTTTGTCCTTTTTTACTCGGTTTATATTTTTTTAAATTATTTATTTTTTTTTTGATATTTATTTTGCTTCTTTTTTTATAATATATGTTTTTTTATTCTTCTGTATTTAATTATATCTTTCTTCAATTTATTATTTTAATTTTTTAGTCGACATATTTTTTTCCAGACGGATTTCCAATTTCGATACGAGCCCAGAAGAGTTTGCGAGCGAGCTGCCTTCGAATTTGGGGCCTGAAATGTTGAAACGGATAAAAGGGTTTGATGAAAAATACAATCAGTCGCATGCAGAACTGTGCCCTCAAAATAGCGTAAGAAGTCAATAAAAAAGTCGAGGTTCCGTGCTAATCTCGAGATTTCTGAAAAATTATGGGTCAAAAAAAGGATCACAAGGGCTCCAATTCTGAGGGGAATCCAAAAAATTGTTTTGCATTTTTTGGGTGAAGTGTTTCACTGGGGCAAAAAAATCGCTGAATAGGGCCAAGTTAAACTACAAGTACTCAAGTAATTTTGTTACTTGAGGATAAAAAAGGTTTCAATTCTGGAGAAAATTAAAAAAAAATATTTTGCAATTTTTAGGTCATGTGTTTCCCTCGGGCAAAAAGATCGGTGAATTGGACCAAATTAGGATAAACTTGAAATATTATACAGTGAGTAACAAGAACCAATGGTCAAAATTGCTTCTGTATGCATCCGCGAGGCATTCCAAATACTACGGAATGCTTCCATCTCCGACCGAAAATAGCGTTCTTCTGAAGAAAGAGCGGAAAAGTTGCCCTTTTGGAAAGAATAGAGCATTCAGCTCACCGAAATGTTTCTTCTCTTTTCTTTTCAAAAGGGCAACTTTCTCGTTATCTCTTCAAAAGAAGGCTATTTTCGGTCGCAGAGGGAAGCCTTCCGTAGTATTTGCAGTGGCTCCCGGATGCATTCGTAAGCACTTTTGATCATTGGTTCTTGTCCCTCACTGTATAATATTTCAAGTTTATCCTAATTTGGTCCAATTCACCGAGTTTTTTTGCCCGAGGGAAACACATGACCTAAAAATTGCAAAATATTTTTTTTTAATTTTCTCCAGAATTGAAACCTTTTTTATCCTCAAGTAACAAAATTTTAACCTAGAAATCGCTCCAAACACTGATTTTTTAGAAGAAGAAGCCCTTTTATTGCCAACTCCAAGTTAAAAATGAGGTGTTTTGGAATCACAACTTGGACCAATCCCTTCTGGCCGTGTGCTCTCCTTGCTCACATGACGATGGTCACGTGGTCAATAAAATGATCAAGGCTCCGAGTACTCAGTTTTTCCTACCTAGTCACGGACATGTGGAGTTCAAAATTCGAAGAAAAGGTAATTTGATAAAAAAAAATCATGGAAAAAATTTAAAAAATCACGTAGAGTTTCTCAAGTATAACTGAAATTTTTTCTCGGAGGTTTCTAGCGCTTCAAAATTTAAAAAAAAATGGATTTCCCGCCAATTTTGGCGTCCCTTCTGTTTCAGGTGAGTTTTTGGCCCGTTTTTTTGTGAAACTTGGCAAATATGTATTAGGTTGATGCAAAAGGAATTGCGGATTTTTTAATTTATTCGTATTTTTTTATAGGATAGCTCAATTCAAAAATGGAAAAAGGTATATAGTAGTAAATTTTAAGAGGATTTTTCTGTATATGTGCTATTCTTATAAAAGTTATCAAACGTTACCATAAGTTACCACGAAAGTACCCTAAACATGTTAGTATATTTTAAACCAATTTTTTTAGATATTGTTTTGCGGCTTTATCCATTTTTGAAAATATTTTGATAAAATACGTTATATTCTATCAAAAAACAAAAAAACCCCCATTTTTGGCAAAGCGTTAAAACGCTATCCCAAAAATTCAAATTTCAGCAAATTTTACAAATCGTGTCATATCTTTTTTTAAATAAGTCCAAAATAAAAAATTCTTTTTGCTTTCGATTAGTAACAACATTTTTAAGATGTTTGTGACAAAAAACATCAAAATCAAAAAAATTTATTTTTTTGACATTTTTTGACCAAAAAATAAAATTCAAGATTTTGATGTCGTTTTTTCACGAAAGCCTTAAAAATGTTGTTACTAATCGAAAGCAAAAAGAATTTTTTATTTTGGACTTATTAAAAAAATATATGACACGATTTGTAAAATTTGCTGAAATTTGAATTTTTGGGATAGCGTTTTAACGCTTTGCCAAAAATGGGGGTTTTTTTTGTTTTTTAATAGAATATAACGTATTTTATCAAAATATTTTCAAAAATGGATAAAGCCGCAAAAAAATATGTAAAAAAATTGGTTTAAAATGTACTAACATGTTTAGGGTACCTTCGTGGTAACTTATGGTAACGTTTGATAACTTTTATAAGAATAGCACATATACAGAAAAATCCTCTTAAAATTTACTACTATATACCTTTTTCCATTTTTGAATTGAGCTATCCTATAAAAAAATACGAATAAATTAAAAAATCCGCAATTCCTTTTGCATCAACCTAATATGTAGAACACAATTTCAAGGGGCTTAGAAAAAATTTTTTTTTTTATTTTTCCGGACTTTGAATCATGAAAGTTTTAAAATTTTTTAGACGAGGACGGTCACGTCTTTCCGGTCCGCGACGCCAAAGACGAGCTTTTGCTGGAGACGACGCAGAGCGTTGATGGTTTATCTGAACAAAAACTATTTGGCATTATTCTACGTTTGCAGATTGGCGAAGAAAAAGACGGTTCTTTCCCAATGAATTTAAGTTTCTCGACTTTTTTTCGAGACATAAATGACAACGTTCAATCTGATTATTTGGAACGAGAACCTCGTGTGGTTACGGTAGGTTTATTCGCAATAATTTGTGATTTTTGTTTGATTTTTCGGAATTTTTAGTGTTTTTTTATTGCATTGTGGGTGTAAAGTTTTTAAAAAATTAGATTCTAAAAATAAAAAAAAAAAAAAATGGCGAATTTTGCAAATTGTAAATTGTATACCTATTTCTAATGTAGAGGGTACTTTTTCCACAAAAAAAAAAAAATAATTTTTTCCACCCAAAAACTGGCAAAGATTTGGCCAAATTTTTTTTTCTCTTTTTTTCAGGCTCATAGAACTTACTGCACGTTTAACCCGATTCCGATGATGTGGGTGCCACGCCAAGCTTCGGAGGACGCTTTCTTCACGGAAGAGGATGAACGCGTTCGACTGCAGAACGATATCGGCACCTTCTTGTTGTATTGCAAGTATGCGCTCGTCAACGTGAAGGATCAGATAGAGGAGCATTCGCTGTGCGGACGGATTTATTTTACCAATGGGTCGACTGGAGGAGTTATTGGTAAGAATGAAGAGGGATGGGTCAAGTTTTCCTCGGATTGGGCCAAGAGGTTCCCTCTTTGCGCCAAGGGGTTTTCTCGCTGTTTTTTATCATTTGGGTGAAGTATTTGTCTTGATTTTCAGGAGGGTCATGTCTTCTCCTGTCCTGATCGTGGCTTTTTTAAACGAGACAAGTTTTTCTCTTTGTGGATCAAGTCTTTCTTTGTCTGGGTCAAGTCTTTCTTTGTCTGGGTCAAGTCTTTCTCTGTCTGGGTCAAACCTTTCTCTGTTTGGGTCAAGTCTTTCTGTCTTGGTTAAGTCTTTCTCTGTCTTGGTCAAGTCTTTCTCTGTCTGGGTCAAGTCTTTCTCTGTCTTGGTCAAGTCTTTCTCTGTCTGGGTCAAGTCTTTCTCTGTCTTGGTCAAGTCTTTTTGTCTTGGTCAAGTCTTTCTCTGTCTTGGTCAAGTCTTTCTCTGTCTGGGTCAAGTCTTTCTCTGTCTGGGTCAAGTCTTTCTGTCTTGGTCAAGTCTTTCTCTGTCTTGGTCAAGTCTTTCTGTCTTGGTCAAGTCTTTCTCTGTCTGGGTCAAGTCTTTCTGTCTTGGTCAAGTCTTTCTCTGTCTTGGTCAAGTCTTTCTGTTTGGTCAAGTCTTTCTCTGTCTGGGTCAAGTCTTTCTGTCTTGGTCAAGTCTTTCTCTGTCTTGGTCAAGTCTTTCTCTGTCTGGGTCAAGTCTTTCTGTCTTGGTCAAGTCTTTCTCTGTCTTGGTCAAGTCTTTCTCTGTCTTGGTCAAGTCTTTCTCTGTCTGGGTCAAGTCTTTCTTAATTTTTGTAGATGGGTCATGTCTTCTGCTGGGCTGGTCGTGGGTTTCCTTGGATGGGACAAGTCTTTCTCAGCCTGAGTCAAGTCTTTTACCTGAGAGAGTTTTAATGAGCCATTTTCATATTTCAGATGACATTAACGGCGCTCGTGCTCTTGGTAGATCGGCAGATGTGAGCTTACTGTTGGACCGGTGTAACCTGGAGGTGATTGGAATGTGGCATTCGGAGAACCTTCGGGATGAGGGTAAACTCGACTTCTTGAGCAAACCTGCTACAATGATTGTGTGCTTGTGCCAGCCGAGCGAGTCGAAGCCCCAATGCGACGACGACTTCAAAATGAAACAACTGGACGAAGCGACTATGGCAAATATATCGGTAGGTATTCATGGCAGAGGGGAAGACTTGACTCATAAGTGAAATTTGTTCGATGAGTAAGAGATTTCACTCATAGGCTAAACTTGACCCGCCAGAGGAACACTTGATACATGGGGATAATATTTTCCCTAGTAAACAAATCCGCGTTTTTTAGAGAGATAGGCTTTATCCATGAAAGTAAAATTTTCGGTGTTGGATGGCTTAGCGACCCTATTACCTTGAGGGAGAGACTTGACCCCGAAGAGAGAAAGGCTAAACCTATGAGGGAAACACTTGACCCATATCAGAGGAAGGGTTGCAAGTAGTATTAACTACACATGTTTTTTTGCTGGTTATGGTTTAATGAGAGCTTTGAGTCAAGTGTTTCTCTCATATGTCGAGTGTTACCCTGTCAGTCTAAAGCAAACTGTAGCTATTTTTTGACTTCGTTTTAAGAATCCACAGTTTATACAGGCGATCTTCGGATGAGTCAAGTCTCGCTCTCAATGTTTTGTTCAGATGGGTCAAGTCTCTCTCCCAAATCGAAAATTCACAGTTATGTTCATGTACTTTTTTCATTTTCAGCGGACCGTATGCAAAATGGGACTGCTGAACCACTCGACAACGGTAAGCGGCTCCTTTGGATTTTGCACGCTATCGCCAACGAATTACTCGGCAAAACATTCCGTTGAAGAAAAAGAATGCATGAATTTAAACCCCGGCGCTCGCGCCGCGTACGAAATTAGGTGAGTTTGCAAAAAATCCAAAAAATCGAGTATAATTTTTTTTTCAGGGAAGGCAAATGCTATTTCTGCTGCTTGGCCGACACATCCAAACCATGCAATGCGGGGTTCGTGCACGACGGAGAGTTTCGAGGCATTTATTATGAGTGCCTGTTTACGAGCAGGTTCGGATTCGGCGATCAAAAGAACCCGAATGTCTATGTAGGTTTTTCGGAGAGCTTTGGGAGGAATTGAGGTTGTTTTGTCAGGCAAATGAAGGTTGTCGGTGTTTTTAGCATCTCCCGGAACAACTACCGTTTGCCGAAGAAATACAATTGCCGCGCGGCGATATGATGGATTCCAACTTTAGGTTCGAGAAATTGATGGCGTATTTTCAAATCGATTTGTCGTCCATGTCATTGAAAAAGATTGGTGAGTCCAAGGGCAGCATCTGGGGAATACTTGACTCATTAGGGAAACGTTTGACCCGTCGAGGAAACACTTGACTCAAGTGGGGGAAGACTTGACACATAATGACCGAAATTTGGTGTGGCAAGGGGAGACTTGACCCGTAGTGATAAAAAAAGTCAAATTTAGTGTAGCAGGGGGAGACATGACTCAAAAAGCAAGACTTCACACTTAGTGACCAAACTTTAATGTAGCAGGGGGAGACTTGACCCGTAGTGATAAAGCAAGTCTTGACACCTAACGGTAAAAGATGACACGTAACGGATGACGAATAAACTTGACCCAAACAGGGAAATTTATCGAAGGAGGCGTCATCAACTAACATGGGGAAGACTTGACTCATAGAGGGAAACATGACACATGAGAGAGGAACACTTGACACGTCAGAGTTACGGAGAAGTGAAATAATAGGAAATTTACGTATAAAACGAGAATATGTGATTTGTTCTTCTTTTTCAGCCACCATCAACCCGGTAGCACACGCCTACTTTCACCGTGTCGGCGTCTTTCCGACATTTTATAGAATGTCCAGGGATTCGCTGATCTTCAACAAAAAACAGCTGGCGTATTGCGACCTGTCGCTGTGGACGGCGGCGGACCTGGCGATGGGCTGCCGGTGTTATGGAGTGGGCATAAACCAGCTGAGTTGCTGCTGCATGAACAGCTCCATGAATCCGGCCCTGTCCCTGATCACACACGAATTTATCGCTCATAACCACCGGTTTCGACTCGATGCTTCGCCAAATCATTGGAGCTACCGAGAGCACTTCATTGTAAATCGAACTGTGATTATGGAGGAATAAACGGAAAGATTGTGAAAATGTGTCGGAAATGGGGAGAGTGGGCTGGTGGGACAGTGAAAAAATTGTTTTACCTTTTTAGAAAAATAAATTAAAAGGAAAGAAGAGAATTATAAACTCTAACATAACAATAGGATAAGCCTGAACTAATCTGAGCCTCGCCAACTTTTTATTGTATAAAATGTACTCTGCAGGTCGCGCCCCTGTCCTTTTCCTAAGGCCCTCGATTTTCTTGAGTAGGGCCAACTTTTATTACTATGGCCCGAAAACGAAGATACCATAATGCTTTTCAGCAAGGGGTCAAGTTTTCTCCCAGTGAGTCAAGTCTTCCTCTTTCGGGTCAAGTCTTTCTTTCGAAAGGCAAACTTGTTTAGACGTGGCTCAAAAAAGATATAATGTTCAAATTTTCCATATATAGCTGTTTTAAATAGTGGGTCAAGTTTTCTTCCAGCGAGTCAAGCCTTCCTTTTTTGGGTCAAGTCTCTCTTTCGATGGCCATTTTTGAAAGCTACCTGATTCCAGATCAAAATCCAAAAATTTTTCAATAATTTTTATTCCTCTTCAGTTACTGTCATATTTACAGCCATAGTTTCTCGATACCACCAATGGTTTTCCATATCCTCTTCTGCAATCTGAAACTTTCTCTCGCTCCAATATGATGAGGTGACTGAAAGGAGAGTGCCGAGGAACTCCTTCAAACAGCAACAATGCTGCTCGGTTTGATTGGTTGTATAGCACTTGCAGCCCTGCGCCATGTGCGCAACGGTCCAATTGGCATACGAACAGAGGGCCAATTGCCAATTGTTGAAGGCCCCAGAGTCGAGCGACGATTTATACGACGAATTTTGGTGCTCGAAATAGGCGTGGGCTGCTGGGTTGATGGTGGCTGAAAATACGAAATTTAAGGGTCGAGTGTTTCTTTATCGAAATCAGTCTTCGGTTTGGGATCAATTTTTCTGTATTGTGTCAAGTTTTCCTTCAGAGGTCAAGTGTTCCCCCTATTGGTCAAAAATCCCGCTTATGGGTCAACGCGTCCATTTATGTGTCAAGTTGTCCATTGCCGGGTCAAATGTTGCTTTAATGAGTCATGTCTTCTCCTAAGAGACGAAACTTTCTTCCACGAGTCAGCTCTTCCTCTTTTGTACAACCCTTTTCTTTTTCGTCTTGACACATTTTCCCGTTATGGGTCATGCGTTTCTTTTATAAGTACATTTTTTCTCCCTTGGGACAAGTCTTTTTTTTACGAACCCTTTCCATTTTTAGGGTTAAATTTTTCCTCTATGGGTCAAGTGTTCCTATTATAAGCCAATGTCCTTTTTTACAGGTCATTAATTTCCCTCCGAGTCAACTGTTTCCCCTATTAGTCAAGTGTATTCCTCATGGGTCAAGTCTTCCCCTAATAGGACAACTGTTCTTCCTATGGCCTAAATCTTCGCCCAATAGGTCAACTGTTCCTCTCGCACTCAAAAAAACCGGGTTTGGCAAAAAAAAATCTCCAAGACTTACCAATTTTTCTCACTGACAAACTTTGCAAATCCAGATGGAAATACCCCAACAAACCGTCAAACTCAAAGTTTACATCCATCAGATCGGCTCGTTGAATACGAACCTCTTCCGCGTATGGTAGCTCCCTCGGGAAATACTAAAACACATTTTCGACTCGTTGAAGATTCAATTCTTCACAACTTACGGCAAAATTTGGAGATGTTCGATTGTAGAGACCGAATTTTTTGGCATTCTCGCAGTTCAAGGTCATGTAATACAGTTTCCCACCTTGCACAAACTCGAGATTGCATGGCTTCTCCGCTGTGGCAAGGCAACAGTAATAGCAGAAGCCTTCGCTGAAAAAATTTCAAAAAGAAAACAAAATTTTCCCAAGGGAAAATTTTTTGAACTTGAAATTGTGAACTTGAGCCCGTCATATTTGCCGAACAAAAAATGGGGTACCTCGGGTTCAGCTTTTTACAAATTTTAAAGAAATTGGTGCATTATTGTAGGAGAAATACTTGAAATAAGGATGGAAGCTTCGGCTGAGCCACCCTGTACTTTTCTTGTTAAAAATACCGTACTCAAGATGCCAAGCTGCCGGTGTTTCATGATTCAATTTCCAGCACTCCTGGTGTGTTTCCCTTTCCACGATCGTTCGAGCCGCAAACCAGGTGGGTAGTGTAAAGAGACAATATCCAAAAAGGCCTGTTTGCGTTGTGTGATCTGTCTCTCCTCCTTCTTCGCATTTCGTTTGCTGTAAAATAAAAAAAAATCATTTTATCACAGATTTGGGCAAAACATCAGTTTCTAGACAAATGAAAAAAATTTCTTTTTAAAATTTTTTCCAAGCTGCGCCCAGACCTCGAACAAAACTTCTCCAAAATTCCGCATACCGTAATCTGTTGTAGAGTTGTTTGATTCAACACGTCTTGGTCAAAACTTTCGTCACACGCAGTGTTATTCAGACTCGGTTTACACAGGCAAACAATCATCGCGGCATGCTTTTCAAAGAGGCCGCTTTCTTGGCCCGCGATAATCATTTTGATCACTTCCATGTCGCATTTCCCCAACTTTGGTTCCACTTCTGACATCGGTGTGAGAGTTCGAGCGCCATGAATTTGCTCTGGAAAGAAAAGTTTATTGAGAGATAGACTTGACCATTGTTGGGAAAACTTGACCCGCTGTAGGGAGACAGCTTTCCTCCAAGGAAAAAAGTTGACCCGCTCAAAAAAAGACTTGACTCATTCAAGAAAAGACTTGACCCACTCAAAATACAAGACTTGACTCACTAAGGAAAAGACTTGCCCGCTCAAAAACTCATCCAAAAAGAGACTTCAATCACTCAAAAAAAGACTTGACCCAGTAAAGAAAACGGTGGACTCACTCGAGAAAAGACTTGACTCACTCAAGAAAAGACTTGACCCACTCAAGAAAAGACTTGACTCACTAAAGAAAACAGTGGACTCACTCGAGAAAAGACTTGACTCACTCAAGAAAAGACTTGACCCACTCAAGAAAAGACTTGACTCACGAAAGAAAACAGTGGACTCACACGAGAAAAGACTTGACACACTCAATAAAAGACTTGGCTCAGTCCAGAAAATACTTGACTCATTAAAGAAAAAAGTTGACTCACACAAGAAAAGACTTGACTCACACAAGAAAAGACTTGACCCATCCTGTGGAAGACCTGCCCCTTTTCTTCACTTACTGAGAATGTCTCCACTTGTCCCATCGAGAAAATAAATTCTTCCACATAAATAGCTCTCCTTTCTACCCGCATACAACTCAACAAACACCCGGCTGCAATACGAGAGGTAGTTGCCAACCCATTCCACAAGGCGGACACCTGTCGCCTGTCTCTGGAAGAATCCGTCCTCCGCAACGTGTTTAGGCGCATAAAGCGGCGGCATTGGATCCGATGGACTGTAAAACGAGGTCATCTGAAATTCCAGAAGATCACACCCATCCCACCTGTCTTACCTTTATTGCCGGTGGGTCCCGAGCCATGTTCACCATCTTTTCATCAAAATCGACGCCGGGAAATATCTGGTAATGCAATTGCATGACGCCTTGATGTTCGTCGTCCACTTGCATTAACATCTCCACCCCAGAGCCTGCCTCGGTCACAAGGCTCGGGTTGAAGGTTTTCACCTCCAACACCAGCTCGTCTCTGGTGAAGTTGACCGGCCAAGGCTCACCATGTGGTCCTGCGAAAGAAACAAATCGATTATTTACGCGAATGGTGGACTTACCCTCATGCTGAATGGTAAAATTCAGCCCTCCCCTGGCTTCAATGGTGAGATTCTGACGAGGAGTGTTCAGCATTTCGTTGATATGAACGAAGTTAGATTCGCACATTGCACAAACGGCCATAAGCGATCCGAGCCCTTGGCTTTGGAAAACAACGTTGTTTAGTTGGAATTGGCAGTAAAAGGGGTGCTGAAAGCGGAGAAAATTGATTCACAATCGATTGGCGGACCAGTGCTTCACTTATGAGTCAAGTGTTCCTCCTAGGGGTCAAATCTTTCGCTTACGAGTCATGTGTTTCTCCTATGAGTTAAAAGACGATTTCTGTGCGCCAGTTGAAATCGATTTTGAGTTTTTTGCATTAAAATGACTGTTGGAAGGTGCTAAGCAAAAGCGGGAAATATTTTTACTCAAAACCTTCATCAAGGTATATTTTTTTACAATTTGCTGTTTTAGAAGTAATCGCCTCCAGCTGTCGTATCTTATCTTACTGTGCGATGATTTGAGGGTTGCCGAGTTTTTTGACCCTTGCGATGACGATGGAATCATTATTTTCCCGACTTTCCTACTTTATCATACCGTAATACCGTATCGGCCGCTAAAAAAGGGCCGTAGAATCTTTCTTTCTGAAATTTCACAGGCGATTTTACGACTTTTGGAATCAGCATAAAGATTTAATTTACTAACTTTTTTTGATATCCGGACCCAGCCGGACTCGAACACGGGTCGCTGGATTGGTAGGCCCGACCACTAACCACTATACCACGAAACATTCTGCGGATTTTTTTGAATTTTGATTGCTTCTAGAGCAGAATTTTATGCTGATTCCAAAAATCGTAAAATCGCCTGTGAAATTTTCAGAAAGAAAGATTCTAGGGCCGTTTTTTAGCGGCCAATACGGTATTACGGTAGTTACAGCAGGAAATTCGGAAAAATAATGATTCCATTGTCATCGCAAGGGTCAAAAACCTCTGTGTCCTATCTCCGCGCCTAACTTGGGTCAAGTCTCACCCCCGAAATCAACTCACATCTTGGCATGTCTCTTCTTGGACTTCTTTGAATTTTTTTTCGAATTCCTTAATTCGTCGCTCCATCCCATGCTGAAGCACTAATGGAAGACTTTTTACAAATTCCTCTTTTGAAACGTCGAAATTAGCGATCTTTCTGAAAGCAAAATTATAAATAAAAGTATTTTATTTTTCTTTTTTCCTAATTAATCTTGATGATTCAAATTTTGCACACAATTGGCCACAAATCAATCCCTGAAAATTTTAGCTTGCGCTTTGCAGGGAGAGCCGAGTCCGGAAGTAGCCAGTACAAAAGCATATGCTTATACGACGCTCAGATTTTGAGGAAACTTGGCATAAATTTAGAATATTTTTTTCTGACAAAGAAAGTACTCCTACGGAGTTTCAGGTCAAGACATATGTCAAGAAAATTGCAAAATTTTCTGTTTCAGAGTATGTAAAGTTAGCTGCCCATCTTTGGTTTCTAAGGGCGAAAAAACTCAGAACTTTTCTCGCCAAGCAAATGCCTCTTTTTTACACTGGAACTACTGTTTAATTAAGGTGTAATATTAATCAAGTTTGATATTTTAACGCTTGCCAAGATGCCAGGATTTACTTTAGCTCAAAACAAAGCTGTTGAAGTGGTAAAAACTTGGTCAAAAAGACATTTGCGCGGTGTTGCGAGATAAGTTTCGATGATTTTTTCGCCCTTACAAACCAAAATTAGGCAGCTAGTTTTTTACATATTCTGAATCAGAAAAATTTGGGGATTTGTGATATATATCTTGACCTGGGGCCAATGCGCTATCTGAAAGTTTGCTGAAAATCATAGGGCGCAGCTCGGAGAATTTGCACGGGCGCAGCTTGCGTCAGCTCGAAAACAAGCCGAAACTTAGCTCCGGCGAGCTGCGAAACGTTGTGTTCCGAGCTGCGCCCTACCATTTTCAGCTAACTTTCAGCATCAGATAGCGCATTGGCCCCTGTAACTCCATACCCCAAAGAAGTACGTTCCTTGTGAGTAAAAAGCCCGTAAAATATTATTTTTTAAAAATTAAAATCTCACAATTTGTTTGTCTCGTCATCATACTCCAAATACGTGACACAAGAACTTAGTTCCAAGGGAATCTAAAAATGGGGAAAAATTCCCAATTTTAATACAAAAAATTTTGCTTCCTCACGTGTCTTTTCCAACGATCTAAACAGAAAACGTTCGCGTATTCCAAGCGATTCACAGGCGTCTGGATGATTTGATTTACCTTCTACACCTCTACGGTTGATGCTGAGACGATCAATAAGAGAAGACAAAAACAGACGCGGACGACCGCCATTCTTGGTAAAAAAATAAAAGAGAATGAGCGAGGAAACCATCGAAAGTTCAAAAAAAGATCGAATTTTTTTGGAATTGAAAATTTTTTTATGCTAATTTTTTTCGATCTTTCTTTGAACTTTTCATAAGTTCTTTATCATTCTCTTTTTTACCACGAATGGCAGTCGTCCTTGTCTGTTTTTGTCTTCTCTTATTGATTGTCTCAGCATCAACCGTAGAGGTGGAGGAGGTAAATCAAATCATCCAGACGCCTGTGAATCGCTTGGAATATGCGGACGTTTCCTGTTTAGATCGTTGGAAAAGACACGTGAGGAAACAAAATTTTTTAAATTAAAATTGGGAAGTTTACCCATTTTTAGATTCCCTTGGAGCTAAGTTTTTAAAATGAAAGAAAAACATGACCCATGGCGAGAAAATGCGTCCTTTGGGTCAAGAACTGACGAAACAGCAAATAAAAGAAGAGTTGACTCATAGAAGAAAGTTTCGTCTCGTAGGAGAAGGCATGTCTCATTAAGACAATATTTGACCTGCCAATAGACAACTTGGCACATAAATGGACGAATTCACTCATAAACGGAAATTTTGACCAATAGGGGGAAAATTTGATTAATCCGGGGAACACTTGACCTTTAAAGGAACACTAGACAGTAAAGAAAAATTAATCACAAAAATGATCTCAATAGAGAAACACTTGACCCCTAAATTTCGTATTTTCAGCCACAATCAACCCAGTCGCCCATGTCTATTTCGACCACCAAAATTCATCGTACAAATCATCGCTCGACTCTGAGGCCTTCAACAATTAGAAAATTTGAGATTCCAGAAGAGAACATGGAAAATCTTTGGTGGTATCGAGAAAATATGGCTGTAACTATGACTGTAACTGTAGAAGAATAAAAATTATTGAAAAAATTTGGAATTCTGACCTGGAATCAGGGAGCTTTAAAAAATGGCTTTCAAATGAGAGATTTGCCTCAAAAGAGGAAGACTTGACTCATTGGGAGAAAACTTGACCCTTGCTGAAAACAGCCATGTAAGATTTGAAAATTGTATCGTCCTTTTTGAGCCACACCAAAAAAAGTTTGTATTTTGAAAGAGAGACTTGGCCCAAAAAAAGAAGACTTGACTCACTGGGAAGAAACTTGACCCATTATTGAAACCAGCCATACATGGAAAATTTAAACATTAAATCTTCTTTTTCGAGCACATCTAAAAATAGGATTGGCTTTTGAAAGAGAGACTTGACCCGAAAAAGGAAATCTTGACTCACTGGGAAAAAACTTGACCCATTATTGAAACCAGCTATACGCATGGAAAATTTGGTCATTATGTTATCCTTTTTGAGCCAGGATAAACTCAGTATTTTTATAGTACAAAATAGGGCCTCTTCGTTTTGGGGGGCCTCTTCGTTCTCCATCGAAAACAGAAAACTGGGGCAAAATTAGAAAAAATAAAATAAAAAAAGTCCACAAAAGTGAAAATTGAAATGAGCAGCGAATCTCTCTATCAACTCATTCTTCTTCAATTCTCTTACCAAAAATGGCGGTCGTCTTCGCGAATCTTCATATTCTCTGCATGTTGATGGGCACCGCCGCGACTGTTCAGGTGGATACCATAAAACAAGTGGTGGAGGCGCCGATGAATCGCTTGGAAGGCAAGAACAAGTCTTGTGTGGACCAATTCGGGAGACAGGTAAGGGGATTTTGGAAGAATTGAGTGGAATTGTAATCACTCCATGTTTGTAGATTCCATTGGATGTGCCTTCATGCGACAGTTACTTTGTTATTTCCGGTAGACGAGCAGTGTAAGTTTTAAAAAATGGCGTGTTTTAAAATATTTTGTTTTTGATTTTTTGAATATATTTTTTTTCAGAATTGAACCCAGTACTGTCATTAGCAAAAAGAAATTAATCCAAGGCCTCCCAGACAGCTTGAAGGCACCTATGGAGCAACGCATCAAAGATTTCGATGAGAAATTCAAGAAGGAATGCTCTAATGTAAGGTTAAGGTTGAGGGGAATATCAGTTTGTCGGGAAAATAATGAGCAATCTGTAGCGTCGAAAATCGCAGCGCTGGGGCCAATGCGCCATCTGAAAGTTTACTGAAAATCATCATGGGCGCACCTCGGAAAATTGGCACGGGCGCAGCTCGCATCTCGGGCGCAGCTCGGAAAATGACGTTTCCACCGGAGTTAAGCTTCAGCTTGTTTTCGAGCTGCGCCCAGGACGCGAGCTGCGCCCGTGCCAGTTCTCCGAGCTGCGCCCTAGAATTTTCAGCAAACCTTCAGATAGCGCATTGGCCCCTGCCGAGAAAATGAATTGTGTCGCGGCAAAATCAAGTTGTTTTTCACTTCGGCAACACAACTGGCGCAGCGATATTTTGCTCACTACTTTTACGACAGATTGTGAAACTAGTGAGTTTCATAGTACGCGGTTTCAAAAGTGCGTAGACTTTTTGCCGCAAGTTTTCGGCACTATGCACCTTTTGCCCCGCGCATTTAAAAAGTCACTGCGGCGCTAGGCTGTTCGACCGTGTCGCCCAAAATTTTGCACTTGCGACAGATAATGCGAAGTGTAAAGGAACAACGCGCTGTGAAGTTTTATCACGCAACATGTACATGTCCAGGGAAGCTGGCATGACTATATTTTTCGAGATTTGTTTTGTTCATTATTTATATGTATGACCAAGAAAAAAGACATCCACCCCTCTGTAATTTCACACCTCTTTAGGCTCCGTTCTACTGCCAGTTCCTGCTCAGAGACGTTGTGTTTCCGGCAACGTCCATCAGCTCATTGCTCGGCGTTTGTGCACCGTGCAAACCTAATGAGGTTAAGACGATCAATCGACTGCTGCAGACCCCCAACGAGCAGTTTTTCTTGCCCATGGAAGGATCTATCGATTTCAATGTTATGTTGCAATGTATGACATGGCTGACACGTTAAGATTCTAGGAAGAAATCGGAGAAAAATTGATGTTTTTTACAGAACATTTATTAGTATTTTCATAAAGTGCTTATATTTTTCGTGACGTTGCGAAACTCCCCATGTCTGATACTAATATTTCAGCCGAAGGTAAACAGTGGGTGATAGACCACAACGCGGACGAGCTATTGTTGTCGACCACAGGCAACTCGTCAAAGTGGCTTCAATCTCCCACCTTTGCGGTACGGCTCTCTCTGACGGGGAAGGAAAAAGGCGGTAACCTCTCGATGACTCTGAGTTATTCAACGTTTGTGGCCGAACGTAAAAAGCGTCAAATCAAGAAACCCAAAGTTTTCGTGCGACGGGATCCGCATCAAGTTACGGTAGGTTCGGATGGTTTGAATTTGGGGGAAATTTTCATGTTAAGCTTGGTGAAGTGAAGCGGGTCAAGTCTGCCCCTGAGTGCCTCACAAGCCTTTTTTTGGTAAGACAAGTCTTTCCTTGTGAGGGTCAAGTCTTTCTCCGGGAAGGTCAAGCCTTTTTTGATGGGTTAGGTCTTTTACTAGGTGTGTCAAGTCTTTTCCTGTATAGGTCGAGCCTTTTCTTGACCGGGTCAAGTGTTTTCCTGTAAGAGTAAAGCCTTTTCCAAGATGAGCCAAGTCTTTTTTCTTAGCGGCCAGACTTTTACTGAGCGGGCCAAGTGTTTTCCTGGATATACCAAGCCTTTCCTTGAGTGGGACAATTCTTTCTCTGTGAGGGCGAAGTCATTAATTGGTCGGGCAGATCCTATGGATGTGTCAAACTTTTTCTCGGAATTTTGAAAAAGTTTTTTTCTGGACCGGTCAAGTTTTTTCCTAAATGGCCGTCTTTTCTTTGATATAACAGGTCTTTTGCTGGGTGGGTCAAGTTTTTTCCTGGATGGAGCCTTTTCTTTTAATGTGAAGAGGTTTTTCTGGGCGGGTCAAGTCTTTTCCTAAGTCTTCCTCTAAGGGACAGGACTTTTGCTGAGTGGGTCAAGTGTTTCGCTAGGAAGGTCCAACATATTGTTTAGTGGGTCTAGTCGCTTCCTTAATGGGTCATTTCTTCTTGAGCGGGTCAAGTTTTCTCCCCTAGTGATGTTTCTTTCCGTAGGGTCTAGCAAAGGTATTTCCTGGGGTAGCTTTTCGTAATAAATTTACTTCTTTCAGACGGTCTTCCACTTTGACAAAATGATCCCCTTTCCAATGGTATGGGTGCCTCAATGGGCGTCCGCAACTTCTTTCTTTAAAAGTCAGCAGGGATACCTCGGACTGTCGGAACTGGCTGGTAGCTTCTTCACGTATTGTAACTACACCTCAATTGCCAAGTTGTCGAACGACGGCTGGACATCACTGTGTGGAAGAATTTATTTCATCAATGGAAGCAGTAACGCGGAGCTGGGTGAGTGCACGCGGGTTGTAGTCGAAAAGTTTCGATCTTCGAAAAGTCTTTCCCTGAGTAGGCCAAGTCGGGGCTAAGGTAGTACAGCCCCCAGGGGGGTTTGAACTACCTTCCGTGGTGGGCTGAACCACCACGCCCCGGCCAAAGTCTTCCTATGGCTGGGCTGAACGGTCTTCTCAGGTAGCCAAGTCTTTCCTTCTATTTGCGAAGTCTTTCCCTAAGTGGGTCAAGTCTTTCTTTCAATGGACGAAGTCTTTTCCTCACTGGGTCAAGTCCTCCTGTGGCTGGGCTAAACGGTCTTCTCAGGTAACCAAGTCTTTTCCTTTAGTGGGTCAAGCTGTTCCTTCTGGTTGCGAAGTCTTTTACTAAGTGGGTCAAGTCTTTTCTTCAATGGATGTAGTGTTTTATAGAACAGGCCAAGTTTTCCTATGGCTTCGCAGAGGGGTTTTCTAAGGTGGACAAGCCTTTCCCTGAGTATGTCAAGTCTTTCTTTCAATGGACAAAGTCTTTCCCTAAGTGGGTCAAGTCTTTCTTTCAATGGACGAAGTCTTTTCCGAATTGGGTCAAGTCTTCCTATGGCTGGGCTAAACGGTCTTCTCAGGTAACCAAGTCTTTTCCCTTAGTGGGTCAAGCCTTTCCTTCTATTTGCGAAGTCTTTTCCTGAGTGGGTCAAGTCTTCCCCCGATGGACAAAGTCTTTTCCTGAGTGGGTCAAGTCTTTCTTTGACTGGGTCGTGCACTGAAGAAAGTCTTTCCCCCAGCTTCCCAAGTTATAAAAATTACGCCCGATTTACAGGTGCACATTCTTTATCGCCTTTTTCATTTCAGAGAAGATCGCGGCCGTTCTAGTTGTCAACAAATTCCAGCCGGAACTTTCAGTCGACCGGTGCACGATGCAAATGATCAGAGTCGTGCATTCGGAGGGCGCTAGGAAGAACGAATCCATTTTTTGGGGCCAACACGTCACGACGATCTTGTGCATGTGCAATGCGAGCATGAGCGACCGGAGGTGCGACAAAAGGTTCAACGAGAACCCGTTGGACCCGAGAACAATTGCGAGTATTACGGTAACTCTGCGCATGAAATAAAAACAAATTGGTTTTCAGCAAACTACATGCTTACACAAAGAACAACACCAAATAAACGCAACTGCGTCGACGGGATACTATAGCTACTGTGTTTATTCAGAGACTAGGCTTTGGGGCGTCACGACTGTGTTCAGAGGTGAGCCGTGCTATACCATGAACGACGAACCTGTGCGGGCAAGAATATGGTAAGTTCATTGTTTTTGTGCGAAAATTAACATGTAGACGCTTAGTTTTTGTTGATTTTTAAAAATAAGGTGTGAGGAGAACACTTTGACTCAAACAAGAAATGACTTGAACGAGGTCCTTGGGCACTTGGAATGTAGCTATATGGCATTTTGTCTATATTTATCATCAAGATTTCGGCATTTTGACTTGCGCTTGCCCAGAGAAACACTTGACCCAGATGGGTAACACTTGACTCAAACGCGGATTTTTTTATGATTGCGCTAACTATGACGTGTTGACACTATTTTCTCTCAAAAACTTTGTATTTTGACTCAGGATGCAGAGAGAGAGACACTTGACCCAAACGGAAAAACACTTGACTCATACTGGGACTTTTTCGGGACTGGCCTAACTGCGGCCTATTCACACTATTTTACCTCAAAACTCGTGAATCTTGACCTTGGTCCCGGAGAGAAACACTTGACCCAGATGGGGGGAACACTTGACTCAAGCGCGATTTTTTTTTGATTGGCCTAAATATGACATGTTGACGCAATTTTCTTTCAAAACTAGTGCATTTTGACTCGAGTCGTGGAGAGAAACACTTGACTCTGACGACAATACTTGACCAACTTTGATCAAATGAGAATTGGGTTCTTGAAAATAAATAGTTTTTTAAGGAAAGGCGCATGCTATGCCTGTTGCCACGCCTCACCGGAATACCCGTGCAATATGAAATTCCGGAAAGGCACACCTTTTCTCGGTGTATTTAACGAGTGCCAGTATAAGTTGCGATACGGAAAACCCAATTTGCATTCGCTGGAAGTTTTTGTAAGTTTGCATTTTTGCACCGACCAATTTTTTGTAAATCAAAATTTTTTAGGAATTTCCGAAGACACTGCCATACGCCCAACATGTGCTCCTTCCACGAGCCGATTTGATCGATGTGAACAAGGAGTTTGACAAGTTGATGGGATTTTTTCACATGGATTTGAGAAATTTCTTGATTACAAGCGTTGGTAAGTTCGAGGGGAAAGTATTGTGGTAGTTAATTTTGTTTGGGAGGCGGGGGAAGCACATGGAGGGTTAGTGGAAGACTTGACGCAAATAGATCAAGTTTGTCGTAGGGAAAACTTGAGTCATTAGACATAGACATCACTCTTGAGGATAAGGTTTGTGTCGTAAAAAGTAGGCTTGACCAAATCAGAGAGAGATAGGGCTGACCCATTTTGAGCGATTTACCTAATAAGGGGAGACTTGAACCATTTCCAACTGTTTACTCTAAAAGAGAAGACTTGACCCATTTTTGAACAAATGACCAAAAGAGACAAGACTTGACCCATTTTTGAACAATTGACCCAAAAAGACAAGACTTGACCCATTTTTGAATCATTTACCCAGGAAGGGAAGGCTGCCCAAGGGGGGAAACCTTGACCCATTTTTAACAGTTGACCCAAGAAAATAAAACTTGACCCATTTTTGAATCATTTACCCAGTAACCGGAAGACTGCCCAAGGAGGGAAGACTTGACCCAGTTTTAACAGTTGACCCAAGAAAAGAAAAGTTGACCCATTTTTGAACAATTTACCCAAGAAAGGAAGACTTGACCCGTTATTCGGCTAGTGGTACTATCCGTTAGAGGTTGACCCCACTGGCGGCATATATGACCCACAAGCAGAAGACTTGACCCGCGAAGCATTTGACTTGAGAGAAAGCAAACTTGACCTAAAAGCGGTAGACTTGACACTTTTATTTTTTGTTTTCAGCGACATTCAACCCCATTGGCCATGCTTACTTCGAGCGTGTGTCCGATTTCTCGTATAAAATCTCCTCTAACGCCACGCATCGGAACCGAAAAATGCGCACCTTGTGCTCAATCTCAACTTGGCGAAAAATGGAGTTGACCATGGGCTGCAGATGTTTTGTCGTCAACGAAACCGACCTGCAATGCTGTTGTTTGAAGCGAGCTCTGGCCGATGCGGCCAGGCTGATGTCACTGCAGTTTCGGAAGAAGATTCAGGGAGACCCCATTGACGAATTGAATTATAGTTGGGCCTACCGAGAAAGTGTGGCTGTAAATAAGGATGTGTTTGAAGAAGAATAAATATTAGTTATTTGGCGTTTGATTTTTTTGTGGCATTCTGCATCAGAAAAATAAAAATAATGAAAAAATAAAATAAAAAAAGGTAAAAGTTCCTTATTTTGGCCACAACTTATAACTTTGCGGAAACTGGTCGGAATTAGCCCAAATTTAGCGTGCACGCTCAATTCATCGTTGTCAATGCCCGGACAGTGGATGTGGTTAGTGAGGTACCTTCTTTTTTACGTACCACCTTACCCTTCAAAAACGGCTGCAGCCTGTGATTTTACACTTTATACGATGAAACATGTCCGGAACTAAACTTATTGCCTCCGTATGGAACTAAATGAGTCGTCATAGCCTTTGTAGGTACCCTTAAAACTATAGAGCTATTATAGTAATTCAGTTCCAGCTAGGTCGAAGCGTTTTTTTCTAACTTTAGTGCCCAAGCTTGGGCGCAGTTCGCGGAGTACCTTTGTTGTGGCCAAAATAAGGAACTTTTTCCTAAAAAAATCACTTATTCGGTGTTGGATTTTTTTGTGTGGCATTCTGCATCAGAGAAGAAATATAATAAAAAAAATCAAATCCCACAAAATGCAAATTGATATAAGCATAGAATCTCTCTAGCAGCTCATTCTTCTTCACTTCTCTTACCAAAAATGGCGGTCGTCTCTGCGAATCTTCATATTCTCTGCATGTTGATCGGCACAGCCGCAACTGTCCAGGTGCAGACCATAAAACAACTGGTGGAGATGCCGATGAATCGCTTGGAAGGCAAGACCCAGTCTTGCGTGGATGTACTAGAGAGACGGGTAAGAGCGGATTCGGAAAGAATCAAGTGCGATTCTAATCTCTTCATATTTACAGATTCCATTGAATGTGTCCTCGTGTGACAGTTACTTTGCTCTTCCCAGCATGCGAGAAAGACTGTAAGTGGCGTTTTTTTAAAACATCTTGTTTTCCGGGGCTTTTGGAATAAGTTCCGCAGACTTGCCATGAGTCAAATAAAAGAATAGTCGACGCAAGCTGCGCCCAGGAGATAGAAAATTGAAGCCAGCGCTAATCCACGCTTAGGCTAGGCCTAAACTACAGTGACGGACCTGATCCAGTGGCAAAAAAAGGACCATTTTGCAACCGGAAAGTATCAAAAAATGTGGCAAACTACCTCCCTTTTCAAGTGAGAAATCCCCGACTTTAAAAGTGCGCTAGCTTTGTGAGGGAAAGGACCCTTCAAAAAGGGATTTTTTTAGTTGGACAGGGAGGCATTTTGCTACGTTTTTTGCTACTTCCCGGATGCAAAACGGTACGTTTTTTGCCATTGGATCAGGTCCGTTACTGTAAAACTGAGCTTAGATTAGCGCTTAGGCTTAGCTTCTTTTTTTCTTACCTGGGAGAAACTTGCATTGACTTTTATGGGTCCTTCTACGAAACTTTTTCCACATTTTTTCCAGACTTACCACCAACTTCGAAATGAGCAAACAAGATTTTTCGCAAACCCTCCCGTCCAGATTGAGAACCCCAATGGAGCAACGCATCAAAGATTTTGATAAGAAATACGAGCACGCATGCTCTGATGTAAGCTTAAGTTTGAAGGGAGCCCTAATTTCACCTGATTATAGGCTTCATTCTACTGCCAGTTCCAGCTCAGAGACGTTATGTTCTTGTCCGGCAAAGCGAGCTCGTTTGTCGGCGTTTGTGCACCGTGCGGGAATGACACCAGCATGACCAATCGACTACTGCAAATCCCAGGAAAGGAGTTTTATTTGCCCATGGAAGGATCGGCTGATTTTAAGGTTAAGCTGAAAGGTAAGGCAATGGTTGCGTGGCTCGGGAGTTGTAAATCTTGCGTGTCCGGGAAATGAGTCATGAGACACCGACTTAGGATCTGTGGTGGTATAAATAACGGCCGTATATGGCTGGGAGTAGCCTTGCATATTTCAGGCGACAAGGTATTGTGGAAGGTAGAATACGACGCGGACGAGCTGGTGTTGGCATCCACAGGAAATTCAAACTCGTCGGGGATGCCCAAGCATCCGCGTTTTGGAGTACGACTTCGTCTGAAGGGGAAATTGGAAGGAGATCAGATCTTGATGACTCTGAGTTGTTCAACCTTTGAGATCGAGCGAAACGCTACAGCCAGGGAGACGGAGGTTTACGTGGAGCGGGAGCCACCGCAAGTCACGGTAGGTTCGAATGTTTTGGAGTCAGAGACGGAATTCAGATATTATAGAAAGTGGTAGTGAAATGGGTCAAGTCTTTCTCTGTGGGGTCAAGTCTCTTATTGAGCGGGTCAAGTGTTTCCTTTGATGGTTAGGGGTTTTCCGGAGGGGTCAAATCTTGTTTGTGTGGGTAAAGTCTTTTTCTAAGTAGGCCTAGTCTTTTTCTCTGAGAGGCAAGATTGTTACGGATTGGGTCAAGTCTTTTCCTGGATAAGTTAGGCCTTTTCTCTGAGTGGGACAAGTCTTTTCTGCGTGCGTCCAGTTTTTCCTTTGTTGGTCAAGTTTTTCTGAAACGGTCAAATCTTTTCCTATGTGGGCTAACAATAAGGGTCAAGTCTTTCTCTGGGACGTAAAGTCTTTTCTTGAGTAGGTCAACTGTTTCATTTGATGGTTGGTGGTTTAGCGGAGGAATCAAATCTTTTCGTGTGGGTCAAGTCTTTTTCTGAGTAGGCCTAGTCTTTTTCTTTAAGAGGCAAGATTGTTACGGAGTGGGTCAAGTCTTTTCCTGAATAATTGAAGCCTTTCCTTTGAGTGGGACAAGTGTTTCCAACGTTGGTCAAGTTTTTCTGAAACGGTCAAGTCTTTCTCAAGTGGGCTAAGTCTCATTCTATATAGGTCAAGTCTTATCTTGAGCGGGTCAAGTCTTTTTCTCTAAGGGTCAAGCCTTTCGGGTCAAGTCTTTTAATAGACTGGTCAAGTCTCTTCATGACCGGATGAAGTTGTTTTTTTAACGGGGAAGTCTTTAATTGAGCTGGTTAAGTTTCCTCCCAGCTCCCTCCATATGAGCCAAGGAGACGCTGTGTCTCTTGGGAGGAGCCTTGCGCAATAAATTTACTTCTTTCAGGTTGTGAATTACTTTGAAGATTCGGACCCTTTTCCAATCGTATGGGTCTTTCGACAGGCGACCAAAACTCTCTTTGAATATCAGCAGAACCAACTTGTACTGTCGAAACTGGCTGGTGGCTACTTTACGTATTGTAACTACACATTAATTGTGAAGCGGACGGACCATGGCTGGACATCACTGTGTGGAAGAATTTACTTCATGAACGGAAGCAGCATCGCAGAGCTGGGTGAGTGCACGTGGGTTGTAGTCGAGAAATGTGAGTCTTAGAGATACGGGGTCAAGTCTTTTCCTGAGTGGGTCAAGTCTCTCTTTCAAGATACCAAGTCTTTTCCTGAGTGGGTCAAGTCTCTCTTTCAAAATATCAAGTCTTTTCCTGAGTGGGTCAAGTCTCTCTTTCAAAATACCAAGTCTTTTCCTGAATGGGTCAAGTCTCTCTTTCAAAATACCAAGTCTTTTCCTGAGTTGGTCAAGTCTTTTCCTGGTCGGGTCAACTCTTCCTTTGACTGAGTCATGTTTTTTTCTTCGGTAGAATAAGTCTTTTATTGGTTGAATCAAGATCTTGCCGAGTCCTTCATTAAAATTGCACCCCAATTACGACTGCAGTATTGATATTGCCTTTTCCACTTCAGAGAAGATCTCTGCCGCCCAAATTGTCAACCATTTCGACCCGGAATCTGCAGCCGACAATTGCACGATGCAAATGATCAAAGTCATCACAGCGGAGGGCGCTACGAAGAATGATTCCAGTTTTCTGGACCAGCACGTCACGATGATCTTGTGCATGTGCAATGCGAGCATGAGCGACAAGACGTGCGACCAGAAGTTCAAACAGCACCATTTGGACAAGGAAACAATGGACAAGATTAAGGTGACTCTGCGCATGAAATCGTAACAAATCGGTTTTCAGAAAACTCAGTGCTTACTGTTAACCCAAGACCAAATAAACGTAACGGTGGATACGGGATATTATACTTACTGCGTTTATATAGTAGAGGATGTGTTTTGGGGCCTTGAGACGGCGAAAAAGGATGAGCCATGCTATGGGATGAGAGACAAACCTGTGGGAATCGAGATACTGTAAGTTCAGGGAGTTTATGCGAAAATTTGCTATCTGGAAAAAATGGATCATTAAGGTTTTTGCATCTAATGCTTGCCGAGAGAAACAGTTGACCCTGGTGGGAAACACTTGACTCAAGCGCGATTTTTTTGGGATTAGACTAAAATGTGACGTAACGTTCCCTCGAAACGCGTTTGGCTCGGCTTAGAAGGCAGAGAGAAACACTTGACCCAGGTGGGAGATACTTGACACAAACTCGGGTTTTTTCTGGATTTTCCTAACTATGACATAATGACGCTATTTTCCCTCAAAACTGGTGAATCTTAACTTAGGGAAACACTTGACCCAGATGGGAAACACTTGACACAAACTCGGATTTTTTCTTGTTTTTCCTAACTATGACATAATGATACTATTCTCCCTCAAAATCGTGAATCTTGACTTAGAGAAACACTTGACTCAGAAACATCTGACTGTCATTGGTTTTTCAATAATATTTTTTAGGAATGACGCTTGTTTTGCCTGTTGCCTTGCCACGCCGAACAGCCCGTGCAATGCGGAGTTCCAGGAAGGCGGAAAGTATCGCAATTTATTTAACGAATGCCTACACAAGCTGCATTTTGGACCGCCCAACGTGCATTCGCCGGAAATTGTTGTTAGTTTTGAATTGTGTTGGCCATTTTTTCAATTAAATTTTTTAGGAATTTCCGCAGACCTTGCCATACGCCGAACGAGTGTTCTTTCCGCATGCCGATTTGATCGACGTCAACAAGGAGTTTGACAAGTTGATGGGAGTTTTTCACATGAATTTCGAAAATATGTCGATTACAAGCGTTGGTAAGCCCGAGGGAAATGTATTATGGAAAGTGATTTTGCTTGGGAAGCGAGCGAAAGACATGGCGCAGTTGGGGAAGACTTGTCGCATAAAGATCAAACTTGTCCTAGGCAAAGCTCAAATCATCAGCATAGACATCATTTTTGAGGAGAAAAGTTGACTCGTCAAAGGTAAACTGGACCAAACAGGAGAGAGTTGACCCATTTTTGAACAATTTACCCAAGAAAGGAAGAGTTGACCCATTTTTGAACAACTTACTTAAGAAAGGAAGAGTTGACCTATTTTTGAACAATTTACCCAAAAAGGGAAGACATGACCCATTTTTGAACAATTGACCCAACGAGGGAAAACTTGACCCATTTTTGAACAACTTACCTAACAAGGAAAGACCTGACCCGTTAGTGGTTGACCCCACGGCACATATGACCAACAAGCGGAACACTTCACGCATAGGGAGAAAACATGGGGCTAAGGTAGTACAGCCCCCCCCAGTCCAGTTTAGCCCCCCATGACCCAGTACAACCCCCTCGTCCATTCTCAACCCCAAAATTTATTTCAAAGAATTAATCCAAGTTGTATGGTCCAGCACAAGCCCCCTACGTTTTAGATCAAGCCTCTTACGTTTTAGATCAAGCCCCCTCCGTTTTAGAAAAAGCCCCCTACGTTTTAGATCAAACCCCCACTTACATTTTTTGTATTATTCTAATTTGTTCATTATGTGGGGTATGAAACGGGCAAAACAGTGGGGGTTTGAACTACCTTTCGTGGGGGGCTGAACTACCGAAGCCCCGAAAACATGAAAAGCGGTACACGTGACACTTTAATTGTTTGTTTTCAGCGACGTTCAACCCCGTTGGTCATGCTTACTTCGAGCGTACCAATTCATCGTATAGAATCTCCTCTACCGCCATGGCTCATAACCGAAAAATGCGCAACTTCTGCTCGCTCTCAAACTGGGGAATAACGGAGCTGAGCATGGGCTGCAAATGCTTTACCATGGACGAAACTGAACTGCAATGTTGCTGTTTGAAGCGAGTTCTTTTGCACGCGGCGTCGCTGATGTCAGTGCAGTTTCCGAACACGATCCACGGAGTCCCCATTGACCAATTGCACAACAGTCGGGGTTATCGAGAGAGTCTGGCTGTAAATAAGGATGTGTTTATAGAATAAATATTATTTATTTGGTGTTTGATTTTTTTGTGGCATTCTGCATCAGAGAGGTAAAAATTAAAAAAAATCCCACGAAATGCAAATTGATATAAGCATAGAATCTCTCTAGCAGCTCATTCTTCTTCACTTCTCTTACCAAAAATGGCGGCCGTCTCTGCGAATCTTCATATTCTCTGCATGTTGATCGGCACAGCCGCAACTGTCCAGGTGCAGACCATAAAACAACTGGTGGAGGCGCCGATGAATCGCTTGGAAGGCGAGACCAAGTCTTGCGTGGATGTACACGGGAGACGGGTAAGAGCGGATTCGGGAAGAAGCGAGTGCGATTCTAATCTCTCCATATTTGCAGATTCCATTGAATGTGTCCTCGTGTGACAGTTACTTTGCTCTTTCCGATGAGCGAAAAATACTGTTAGTGGCGTTTTTTTATTGCACCTTTTTCCTGGGGTTTTTGGAAAAAGTTCCGCAGATTTGTCATGACCCCAATAAACGAATAGTTCGATGCGAGCTGCGCCCAGGGAGATCGAAAGTTGAAGCCAACGCGCTATTCCAAGCTTAGCTTAGGCTTAAACTACGGTGGCGGACCTGATCCAGTGGCAAAAAACGTCTTAAAACCCTTCCCTTCTCTAAGCTAAAAAATTCCGCTTTGAAAAGCCCGCCTTGAAGGAAAGGTTTGGAGACGTTTTGGTCCCTTCCGGGATACAAAGTGGGACGTTTTTTGCCACTGGATCCGGTCCCTCACTGTACAGTGGTGGGCCTGATCCAGTGGCAAAAAACGGACCATTTTGCATCCGGGAAGTTTCAAAAAATGTGGCAAAATACCTCCCTCTCCAAGTGAAGCTTTTTTAGTTGGAGAGGGAGGTATTTGGCCACATTTTTGATACTTTCGGGCACGTTTTTTGCCACTGGATCCGTCACTGTAAGCTGTCCCATCTTTTACCAAAAGTCTCAAAAAAATCAGCAAAGGTCCTTGGCCAAGACCCCAGAAGAACAAGTCTTTAGAGGGCCACGACCAGCGGAAGACATTTTATACAATGAAAAGTGGGCTAGGCTCGGTTTAGTTTAGGCTTCGCCTGAGCTTAGACTAGCGCTTAAGCATGGCCTTCTTTTTTTCTTTCCTGGCAGCAGCTTGCACTGACCTTTCATTTTTTGTGGTCATTCTACGAAACTTTTTCCATATTTTTTCAATATTTTTTCCAGATTTACCACCAACTTCGAAATGAGCAAACAACATTTTTCGCAAATCCTCCCGAAAGAATTGAGAACATCATTGGAGCAGCAGATCAAAGATTTTGACAAGAAATACGAGCAGGCATGCTCTAATGTAAGCCCAAGTTTGAAGGGAACCGAAATTTCACCTCTTTGTAGGCTACATTCTACTGCCAGTTCCAGCTCAGAGACGTTATGTTCATGTCCGGCAAAGCGAGCTCGTTTGTCGGCGTTTGTTCACCGTGCGGGGATGACGCCAGCATGACCAATCGACTATTTACAATCCCAAGAAACGAGTTTTATTTGCCCATGGAGGGATCGGCCGATTTTAATGTTACGATGAAAGGTAATGTTTGTATGCCTTGGGAGTTGTAAATCTTTGCGTGCCCGGGAAATGCGTTATGATGACACCGGCTTGGGATCTGCGGTAGTATAGATAACGACTGTATGTATGTGGCTGGGAGTAGCCTTGCATGTTTCAGCCGGCGAGGAATTGTGGAAGGTAGAACACGGTGCGGACGAGGTGGTGTTCGCATCCACAGGAAATTCAAAGTCGTCGGGGATGCCCAAGCATCCGCGTTTTGGAGTACGACTTCGTCTGAAGGGGAAATTGGAAGGCGATCAGATCTTGATGACTCTGAGTTATTCAACGTTTGCGACCGAACGAGACGAAACAAGCACGGAAATGGAGGTTTACGCGGAGCGGGAGCCACGGCAACGGCAAGTCATGGTAGGTTCAAATTTTGGAGCCAGATATCAAATTCAGATAGAACTTGAAATGGGTCAAGTCTTTCTTTGTGGGGGTCAAGTCTCTTCTTGGGCGGGTCAAGTGTTTCCTTTGATGGTTAAGGGCTCTTTGGAGGGGTCAAGTCTTTTTTGTGAGGGTCAAGCCTTTTCCTGGATAAGTTAGGCCTTTTCTCTGAGTGGGACAAGTTTTTTTTCTTTGCGTCAAGTTTTTCCTATGTTGGTCAAGTTTTTCTGAAACAGTCAATTCTTTTCCAAGTCTCATTTTTTATAGAACAAGCCTTATCTTGAGCGGGTCAAGTCTTTTTCTCTAACAATTGTTAGAGTCAAGACTTTCGGGACAAGTCTTTTCCTGGACTGGTCAAGTCGTTGCATGACCGGATCAAGTTATTTTTTTTAACGGGAGAGTTTGAAAAACTTTAATTTAGCTGATCAAGTTTCCTCCCAGCTCATTCCACATGGGCCAAGGACACGCTGTGTCTCCCTGGTGGAGCTTTGCGCAATAAATTTACTTTTTTCAGGTTGTCTTTTACTTTGAAGAATCGGACCCTTTTCCAATCCTATGGGTTCCTCGGATGGCGACCCAAGCTTTGCTTACACATCGGCAGGGACGACTTGTACTGTCTGAACTGGCTGGTGGCTACTTTACGTATTGTAACTACACATTAATTGTGAAGTCGACGGACCATGGCTGGACATCACGGTGTGGAAGAATCTATTCCATGGACGGAAGCAGCAACGCGGAGCTGAGTGAGTGCACAAGGGTGGTAGTGGAGAAGTAGTCTTAGAGGTGCGGGGTCAAGTCTTTTTCTGAGGGTCAAGTCTTTCTTTCGATGGATTAAGTATTTTCCTGATCGGGTCAAGTCTTTCTATGGCTGGACTAAGGGGCTTTCTAAAGTAGTCGGGTCTTTTCCTGAGTGGGCCAAGTCTTGCTTTCGATGGATAAAGTCTTTCCCTGAGTGGGTCAAGTCTTTCTTTCGATGGATAGAGTCTTTTCCTGAGTGCGTCAAGTTTTTCTATGGCTGGACTAAGGGGTTTTCTAAAGTAGTCAGGTCTTTTCCTGAGTGGGCCAAGTCTTGCTTTCGATGGATAAAGTCTTTTCCTGAGTGCGTCAAGTCTTTCTATGGCTGGACTAAGGGGTTTTCTAAAGTAGTCAGGTCTTTTCCTGAGTGGGCCAAGTCTTTCTTTTGATGGATAAAGTCTTTTCCTGAGTGAGTCAAGTCTTTCTTTTGATGGATAAAGTCTTTTCCTGAGTGGGTCAAGTCTTTCTTTTGATGGATAAAGTCTTTTCCTGAGTGTATCAAGTCTTTCTTTCGATGGATAGAGTCTTTTCCTGAGTGCGTCAAGTCTTTCTATGGCTGGACTAAGGGGTTTTCTAAAGTAGTCAGGTCTTTTCCTGAGTGGGCCAAGTCTTTCTCTTAATGGATTAAGGGGTTTTCTAATGTGATCAAGTATTTTTCTGAGTGGGTCAAGAATTTTATGAGCGAGTCTTTTTCCGACTTGGTCAAGTGTTTTCCTGGCCGGGTCAAATCTTTCTTTGACTGGGTTATGTTTCTTCATTGTAAGATAAATGTTTTATTGGTTTCATCAAAATCTTGTCAGGTCGTTCTCTAAATGGGACAAGTTATTTTCTAGGAGGTCCAGTTTGTCCCTCACCTTCTACCCGTTAAAGTTGCACCCCAATTACTACTGCTATATTGATGTTGCCTTTTCCATTGCAGCGAAGATCTCTGCCGTCCAGATTGTCGATCAATTCGACCCAGAATCTGCAGCCGACAATTGCACGATGCAAATGATCAAAATCATCACAGCGGAGGATCACTCCAGTGAACTGCAACAGCACGTCACGATGATCTTGTGCACGTGCCATGCGAGTATGAGCGACAAGAACTGCGACACAAGATTCACACAGGACCAGTTGAACAAGACAACAATGGAAAAGATTAAGGTGACCCTGCGCATGGAATCGTAACAAATCGGTTTTTAGCAAACTCAGTGCATACAGTTTAACCAAGACCAACCAAACGTAACGGTGACGACGGGATATTATACCTTCTGTGGTTATACAGAGGTGCAGGGTTATGGCGGTGAGTCGACATACGAATATGGGCCGTGCAATTGGATGAGCGACAAACCTGTGGGAATCGAGATATGGTAAGTTTATGGATTTTATGCTGACAAGGAAAGTACTTTTATGGGGGCTCCTACTTTTTGACGGGACATATCTCAAAAAATCAGAAAAAATGTGCTGATCAAGGATATATAAATCTTAGCTGCCCATTTTAGGTTTTTAGGGGTGAAAACTCAGTCGGAAGATGGCTTAAAGTCCTATATGAACCCCTTTTCGCCTAATTTTTCACAGGTTTACAATTTTTATTTTGGCTTAAAATGATGTTTATTGAGTTTCTAAGACGTAATAAATCAGTCTTGGCACAAAAATTTATTTTTCCGACCTTCAACTTCAAACAAGTTAATTCAGTCCAGAAGGGAAGTCGAACCCGTGCGGCGTCCTCTCTCTTGATTCCCAGACAACGGCACTGACCACTCGGCCACACCGCTCTCTTCCGAAGGAAGAGACCGACTGCGCTTTTTATCGTTTCGAATGCCTGCGCCTTTTGTAGGGAAATTAAGCCAGTTTTTGGGCATTTTCACCCCTAAAAACCTAAAATGGGCAGCAAAGATTTATATATCCTTTATCAGCACATTTTTTCTGATTTTTTGAGATATGTCCCGTCAAAAAGTAGGAGCTTATAAAAGTACTTTCCTTGTAAAATTTACATACAGCCATCTAGAGTTTGCTAACTTTTGAAAATGATATTTGAGGAAAACAGTTGACACGCTGAGGAGAACACCTGACCTGAGATTTTTACACACTTCGGATGTATTTACTGTTCATTATGAAAATTTTTGCATCATAACTTATTCTTAGGCTTCCCGAGCGGAACACTTGACCCATATGGGAAGCACTTGACCCAAACTTTTGTTTTTCTGGATTGTCCCAACTATGACTGTGATATAGTGACACTTTGTATTTTCCCTTAAAATTTGTGAATCTTGACCTAAAGAAACACTTGACCCAGATGGGAAACGTTTGACTCAAACTCGGATTTTTTCACGATTATCCTAATTATGACATAGTAACACTATTTTCCCTCAAAATTTGTGAATCTTGACTTAGGGAAACACTTGACCCAGATGGGAAACACTTGACTCAAACTCGTTTTTTTCTGAATCGTCCCAACTATGACATAATGACACTATTTTCCTTCACAACTTATAAATTTTGACTTAGAGAAACACTTGACCCAGGTGGGAAACACTTGACTCAAACTCGGATTTTTTCTAGATTGTCCCAACTATGACTATGATGTAGTTGCATTATGTATTCTCCCTTAAAATTTGTGAATTTTGACTTAGAGAAACACTTGACTCAGAAACACTTGACTCCCTATTTCATTGGTTTTTCGATAATATCTTTTTTTCAGGGGTGAATTATGTGTTGCCTGTTGCCTTGCCACACCGAACAGCCCGTGCAATGCGGAGTTCCAGGAAGGCGGAAAGTATCGCCATTTATTTAACGAATGCCAACATCAGCTGCACTTTGGACCGCCCAACTTGCATGCGCCGGAAATTCTTGTCAGTTTGAATTGTGTTGGCCATTTTTTCAATCGAAATTTTTAGGAATTTCCGCAGACGTTGCCATACGCCGAACGAGTGTTGTTTCCGCATGCCGATTTGATCGACGTCAACAAGGAGTTTGACAAGTTGATGGGAGTTTTTCACATGAATTTCGAAAATATGTCGATTACAAGCGTTGGTAAGCCCGAGGGAAATGTGTTATGGCAGCTGATGTTGCTTGGGAGACGAGGGAAAGGCATGGCGCATTTGGGGAAACTTGACGCATAAAGGTGAAACTTGGCCTAGGGAGAACTTATCTGATTAGACGTAGACATCTTTTTTGATGAGAAGAGTTGACTCGTAGAGGGTAAACTGGACCAAACAGGAGACCATTTTTTGAACAATTTACCTAAAAAGGGAATAGTTGACCCATTTTTGAAAAATTTAATCACGAAGGGAAGAGTTGACCCATTTTTTGAACAATTTACCTAAGAAGGGAAGAGTTGACCCATTTTTGAAAAATTTACTCAAGAAGGGAAGAGTTGACCAATTCTTGGACAATTTACTCAAGAAGGGAATGGTTGCCCAGTTTTTGAGCAATTTACCCAAGAAAGGAACAGTTGACTCATTTTTTGAACAATTTACCTAAGAAGGGCAAAGTTGACACATTTTTGTACAATTTGCTTAAGAAGGGAAGAGTTGCCCCCTTTTTGAACAACTTACGTAGTAAGGGAAGACCTGACCCGTTATTCCGCTGGCACATGTGACCCACAAGCGGAACGCTTGACGCATTGGGAGAAAACATGACCCCAAATCGGTAAACTTGACACTTTAATTGATTGTTTTCAGCGACGTTCAACCCCGTTGGTCATGCGTACTTCGAGCGCACCAATTCTTCGTATAGAATCTCCTCTACCGCTATGGCTCATAACCGCAAAATGCGCAACTTCTGCTCGCTCTCAACTTGGGGAATAACGGAGCTGAGCATGGGCTGCAAATGCTTTACCATGGACGAAATTGAACTGCAATGTTGCTGTTTGAAGCGAGTTCTTTTGCACACGGCGTCATTGATGTCAGTGCAGTTTCCGAACACGATCCACGGAGTCCCCATTGACCAATTGCACAACAGTTGGGGTTATCGAGAGAGTCTGGCTGTAAATAAGGATGTGTTTGGAGAAGAATAAATATTAGTTATTTATTGTTTGATTTTTTTGACATGAGAATCTTTTTGTGGTATTCTGCACAAGATTTTTTTATATATTTTGCCAACTCTTCCTCTGAGTCAAGTTTTCCCAAATACGTAAAGTCTTTCTCTGAGGAGGCCAAGTCTTTTTCGTAATGAGTCAAGTCTTTTCTGACCATGTCAAGTCTTTATTGTCAATGAGTCAAGTGTTCAGCTGGTTTGGATGACGTTTTTTCTCAAAGAGTCAAGTCTTGTCCAAACTGCAACACGTCTTTTTCTAAGCGGATGAAGGCTTTGCGTGGGCCAAGTCTTTTTTATGGACCGCGTATTCCCGTTGTGTAAGCTGAATGTTCTTCTAAAGCGTCAAGTCTTCGCTATGTTTGGGTCAAGTTTTTTCCTCATGAGTCAAGTCTTTCGCTTAATAGAAATCTCTAATAAATTTTTCCGGTTTTTTGCACAGTTTTTAGTGTGATTAAAATTTCCTATGCTCTTTTACCAAAAAACCTCGAGGTAATGACTACGTATGCTATCTCAGCCTGTCGGGAAAATAATGTGGATTTGTCGCAGCACAATCTCTCGCGCGAAATCTTGAGCCGTGGCTAGTCGTCGCAAAGCGATGACCGCCGGTTCCAAGGCGCGGCACATCCACATTATTTTCCCGACAGACTGATATGTAGCCTTCAATTGCCCTCCAATCCACTGGGCCTTTTTAATTACAGTCTTCGCGGCCCACATTTATACATTAAAGTCCTGGGGAGCACCTTACTTCTGCCCCCCGCTTCCCATTCCTTTTGTCTCTGCCAAACTCAGCGGCATACCATTTTAATTACAGAAAGGCGGCGCATCTCCCTCATCGGCTGTTGCCATGTCAACTGGCCTTGTTCAGAGAGATAATGGAGCTGTTGATGTACAAATTATTTGGGACTTGTGCATTTGCTTTACTTTTGGCGATGCACTCTTGTAGAGTTGGACGTAGCTCTCGGGCTGGGCCGAAACTTCGGCCTTCGGCCCGTCGGCCGGCCCGGCGTTTCGGGCCGGACACCCTTTAAAATGCTGTAGATATAGCTCACGTTTCAGAGCCGAGAAACGCAGAGCGCCAGCAATGGATGAGGCAAAAGCGATGACCGAGCAGCTGCGCACCGAAGCCATGATCAACAGAAAGAAGGTCTCGGAAGTATCGAAAGAGTAAGTCATGCCTTGAGCAGAGCGGTATCTGTGATGTGTTCCAGAATGTTCGAGAATCCCACAGAAAGCTATAGCAGTTTATCGGGAAAATAATGTGGTTTCGTTGCGCATTGGAGTCGGCCATCATTGCTCTGCGATAGCCAGTCATGGCTGGAGATTTGGCTGCAACGAAGCGAGAAATTTTGCGGCAAATCCACATTATTTTTCCGACAGACTGATATGAACAAATCGGGAAAATAGAGGGCGCTCTGTCGCTGCGCCATGCACTTTTGGGTTGCAGAAGTTCTAAAAATGAAATTTTTTCAATTGTCATTGCGAAGTTTATGCGATGGGGTTCCTTACAATATTCATATTTTCTGGAAACCGGCTCTTTACTCTCCTGCCTTGCCAAATGTTAGTCTTCTAGCTCAAATCCCAAATGTACAGAATGCCGTGCACGGCAACCCAGGGAGTCTCCCGCCTCGTTTCGGCGCTTCGCCCACCTATACTCCCCGCCATAAGTTTTGACCCCCCTTCTAACTCGGTCCAAAGTGTACCAATTTGGACCAAATTTGGCAGGTAGTCTACTGATAACCTAGTAATAAAAAATATCATAGCAGGAGAAACCATGTAGCTGTATTTCAAAATCCAGAGACAATTTTTAAAAATCACCCCCAAAAAAAGGGGACAAAAGTTTTGACCCCCCTTAGAAAAAAGTTAGATATCGCCAGCGGGTGCCACCCAAACCTATCTTAATCGATGTCCCATACCTGAATACAGGTTAATAAGCGGTTTTCCGTTGAATGCTTCGTTGCATCTGAGGATGCAACGCGTTAAACCGATTTTGATGTAGAGCTGCCCAAAATGGTTAATATCTTGCTCTAGCGCTTTCCAAAAGTTCTAAATTGTGTTTATATCATTTGGTTTTGACTTGTAATCACCTGCGTTAACCTTCTTCTTTTGAAAAAAGTCCACGATGGCCTAGGGGCGTAGATTCGGCCGATATCCAGTTGTCATGCGCAGCCTTGGTGAGCCATTTGCTCTTTGGCTAAAGACCTAGATGTGGTCGTTAGGTCCTCAATCTAATCCTGAGACACATATCTACTCTTAATTCAAAAATAAACTCCCTCTGACACGATCTCAAATGGTTTGCCGCCGCAACTTCGCCGATCTGCACCTTAACCAGAAAACCAAGTTTTTCAAATGGATTTTTATCAAAGGAAAATAGCTTGCATTAGATGGCCCGCGTAGTTTAAGAAGCTACGGCACCCGCCGTGCACGTCTAAGACTATCGAACGCCAAATCGCCTGCGGGGATGTGATCGTCCTCGGGGGCATTTACAGTAACGACGAACTCAAGATTAAGGTGAATCAAACCCATTACAAAACGTGTCAAATCGAAACATTTTACAATACTGAGTGTAAATATGGGTCTCAGGATTAGATTGAGGTCCTAACGACCACATCTAGACCTTTAGCCAAAGTGCAAATGGCTCACCAAGGCCGGGCGTGACAACTGGATATCGGCCGAATCGACACCGCTAGGCCATCGTGGACTTTTTTCAAAAGAAGAAGGTTAACGCAGGTGATTACAAGTCAAAACCAAATGATATAAACACAATTTAGAACTTTTGGAAAGCGCTAGAGCAAGGTATTAACCATTTTGGGCAGCTCTACATCAAAATCGGTTTAACGCGTTGCATCCTCAGATGCAACGAAGCATTCAACGGAAAACCGCTTATTAACCTGTATTCAGGTATGGGACATCGATTAAGATAGGTTTGGGTGGCACCCGCTGGCGATATCTAACTTTTTTCTAAGGGGGGTCAAAACTTTTGTCCCCTTTTTTTGGGGGTGATTTTTAAAAATTGTCTCTGGATTTTGAAATACAGCTACATGGTTTCTCCTGCTATGATATTTTTTATTACTAGGTTGTGAATAGACTATGTACCAAATTTGGTCCAAATAGGTACGCTTTGGACCGAGTTAGAAGGGGGGTCAAAACTTATGGCGGGGAGTATAGTATCGGTTGAATTCAAACGAAATGTCAAAAATGAATTTTTCGTGTGGTTTTCCGACCGAAAAATATTTTTCTCGGATTTGTTTTATTTCTTTTGTGAATTTTGACACTTCTTTTGGACGAAATTCAAAAGTGGGCGGGAGACATTTTTGTTCTGTTTTGGGTTGCCGTGCCGTGCGACGGAGCGCTCACTATTTTTCCGACTGACTGATAAGCGGCTGAGCCACTAACAGGCGAAGTACTCCAAGGGCAATGTTCAGATTTTTGATGATTTTTTTTTTCAGGCTCGTTGAATTCTGCGAGAAAAACAAAGGCGAGGATTCGTTGGTCAGCGGACTCGGAGATCACAATCCCTTCCAGGAGAAGAAGAGCTGTCAGTTATTGTAATTTAAATTACTTTTTACTAATTTTGAAAGTAAAAAAGTATTTTTTTGTAATAACCAAATTTCCGTACGATTGCTTTATTCAAATAAACCGTATTTTACATAAAAAAAATCGAATGAAAACGAAAAAAAATGGCGAGAATCGACCAGTATTTGTGTCTAATTAGATCATCACTTTTGAGGTTATAATAAATGCACTGTAAATTCAGTAAAACTCTGAATAATTCGTTAATTCCGAATGTCCGACTTTTGTCACACGTTGAACGTGGGGCCGGACGAGTCATTCGACGACACATCGCTCACATCGCACGAGATTTCCGCCCGATGCGAACTTCCTTCGCCCTCGAACGCGCCGCGTCGATAGCGCTTGTCCTGCTGCAGCGACTTGCGCATCCGCTTCTTGGTGATGCGCAACGAGTAGCAGGCGCACCCGACAATGAAGCCGGCGCACACGATGATCAGGAGGAGAAGCCAGTACTTGTCGGCGGACACCGGACTTCGCGTATAGGGATGGCCAACTGGAAATGAAGGATTTAGGAGGGGAAAAGAGTAGGGATAATAATTTTGTTGAGCTAGATGTTTTTTGCTATTGATATCTTATACTATTGGTAACAATTTGTCGGAAAAATAATGTGCATTCGCTTGGAACCGCTCACCATAGCTTTGTGACGGTTAGCCGCGGCTGGCGATTTAGTGAGCGACTGCGACGAACAAAAAATTGAAAGATTTTTCTCCGATAAATTCGCATTATTTTCCCAACAGAGTGATAGTGTTCTCATAAATGGACAGTCTTTTTCCAAGGTTCCAAGAACCATTTTTGGGCAAAAAATAAGCCTCCGTACAGCGAAATCTTCATAAAAAAATAGACATGTCAAGACTTTTTGGCCTGCCTATTATACTCCCGAAGCAGGGGTACGTTTCCCTCTACATTCACAAACCCATCAAAACTCGACCATTCAAAGTGGGCATTGCTGAGAACTGAGCGTCTTTATACTAACATCTCCCTTCTTGTATCCAGATCTAAACTACTGCTGCGTATTAGGGTAAAATACGAACTTCGCGCCCGCGTTCTTGTATTGCAAACAAGTAAAGAGTTCAATATAAGGTTTAAACCTAGATATTTACCTTGTAAATAAAGCCACTTACAGGGGAAGTACTCCAAGTGCGACGCACACATTCATAACAATTTTTTCTAAGATATATACGAGAATCCTTGCTCGCGGTTTGCAGAAACCACCGACATTTTTGGACGGAAAGTCGGCGAAACTTTAGGACTTTTTGCCGAATTTCAGCACGAAAAGTTTCATGCCTGTTTCTACCGTAAAGGATAATGTTTCTACAAAAAATCAAAATTTTCCGCACGAAACTGCCAAAGTTATGACCAAAAGCCTTTAGCGTTCTCTCTCGGCGGCAAAAATCGTTCGATATCGCGGCGGCACCCGCAAAGCGCGTGCTAAAACTTTCAGGAATTGATATCTAGTCCATAACCGACGCGTGTGCAAAATTTAAAGAAAATCTGAGCGTCGTACTCGGAGTACTTCCCCTGTTAGATTTGCTTAAAGAAAGTTCTGTTATAACAAACTGCCATATAAGACAATTGCGGGTTTCCACATTACAAAACGTCGCAAGAAAGAAAATTGGCCCGATTGCCGCCTAGCAGCTGTGCTACGCTTTTTCGAAAATACGTAGACTTTTTCTCGCGGCGCACAGTCCAGTCATTTTACAGATGAATGTGCGAAAAACAGCAAAATGCACGATGCGCTCGAGAAAAAAAGGTGAATATTTATGCCTCTGTCGAGAAAATAATGAGCAAAATATTACTTCGCCAATCGCGTCGCCGAAACAAAATGCAATTTGACTTTGCCGCGACACAATTCATTTCTTCGGCGGCAATACGCTTTTCGATGCAACAGAGCGCTCATTATTTTCCCGACTGACTGATAAAAAGTACAATAAAATGGGGCTAAAAGAACCAAAGAGGCCACACTTTGTCGCTTCTATCCGAAACTTATACTAGCATCTGACTAATTGTAAGAGAGTCTTTGTCGGATTCCCAGGAATCTTAGCGGCACAAACTGAAAATGAAGACCGACTGCGCCGGTAATTTGATGACTCTATACAGAATGTTTGCCCCTCCAATTACTCCACAACATAATTTGAGATCTCGGAGATCAATTTTACAACTTGTTAAAGTTGATTCTAAGGAATCTTTTTATAGCATTTTTTTGTTTAAAATATTGTTGTAATATTTGAAACAAAAAAACGTCGGTAAAATAATGTGGACTTGTCGCAGCGAAATGTCTCGCCTTGTCGCTGTCGCGCACCAAATCGCTGCCGCGATTATGGGCGATTTGAAGGCTCGACAAGACTTTTTGACCTTCCTAACATCATTCTGTCGGAAAAATAATGTGTATCTACCGCCTCAAAAATCGCGTCGCTGCCGAGAAAATAACGGCAAAATCAAATTGCTTTTCCCTTCAGCGACGCGACCGGCGCAGTGAAGTTGTGCTCATTATTTTCCCGACTGATTCAAATTGGTCTGTCGGGAAAATAATGTGGATTTTTGTAGTAAAATCTCTCGCTTTGCTGCAGCACGAAATCTCCAGCCACGGTAAGCGGTCGCAAAGAAATTATGGGCGATTTGAAGGCGCGACAAATCCACATTATTTTCCCGACAGCCATTAGACACATTTAATCGGCGCAAAAAGTCATCAGGATTTATCAATTTATCGATTAGTACACATTATTTTCCCGACAGACTAATAACACAAGATTTTTATCCAGCTAACACCCAACCTACCACTGGGATCCGGCACCGTCGACACGGCCATCTGCGCCCCAAACTACCAGTATGGCGTATGTTACGAACAGGAAAGACAATTGTAGATTGTAAATGTAATTGGCAGGTCTGCGGATGTAGGCGCGGAATGACGCAAAGTTACGATGTTTCCGACTTTTGTGTCCCTTTTTGTAATGTGAGCGCACAGGTTGTTGGAGGCCCGCAAATTTGACGTAGTGTGAGGGGGCGGACTGAAAATAGAAAAGTAGAAAAAGGAAGGAGTAAATGAGAGCTTGTAAAGCGAGATTTCTATCATAGATTCCCGCACAGCAACAGCTGTTTTTAACGAGCATTTTCAGAAGTCCTGGCAGTCAATTTTTTGACCTAAACCTCTGTACAGCGAAACCTGTCGATAAAGAATAATTTTTTTGCAGTTGGTACACAGAACTCTACAGTATTTAATTGTTTTTCTAAAGATTTCTGACGGTACCTTAGAGTCGCAACATTGATTTTTTTGCATTACTGGTAAATATCATTCTTAAAAATTTTTAGCTCGCGCTTTGCAGTATCAGCCGAGATATTCAACGAATTTTTGCGACGAGAGAGTAGGCGAAATGCGGAGAGCGGACAGAAAAAAAATAGAAGACTTATAGCCTAACCGAGCCCAGCCGTGCTTGAATTAAAGCTGGTCGTCTTAAAAAAAAAAAAAAAAATAAAAGAATAAACCGCGATTTTCCGTTGCAGCAGAACTCTCCCGCTTTTCTGAACTTTCCCTCAATCTGAACTCTCTCCCTTTTTGAGCTCTCCCCCCTCCAGAACTCCCCCCTTGTCAATTTGAAAAAAAATTTTCATCGTATAACATGTCACACCTAATTTTTCCCAATTTGAAAAAATTTCCATCGTATAACATGTCACACCTCGTTTTTTCAATTTTCAAAATGGGGAAGTGTTCAAAAAAGGGGAGAGTTCAGATTTTTTGGGGGAGTGTTGAAAAAGGGGAGAGTTCAGGCTCAACCGCGATTTTCATCCTGAAAGCCAAAGGTAATTACAAAATTCCCTGTGAATCTAAAAAATCGAAATTAAAAAAATGAATTTTCCCTTCTTTCCTACTTTTATTGTATCAGTCTGACTGTAGTCTGTCGGGAAAATAATGACCGCAATGTCACACCCTAAACGGAAGATACGGTAGAACCCATGTTTAAAAAACACCTTGGCTATCACCAATACAAATAATGAGCACAATGTCGTATCGAAAATTGCATCATCGCCGATAAAATGAATCCCGGCAAAGTCAGAAAGCTCATTATTTTCCCGACAGACTGTAAAACCCTGTTACATTGACCAATAGTAATAAACTAAACCCATTTATTCGAGGAAAACGTTTACACCGTGTAAACTACATCTAAAATTAACCCAATTCACCGGCGGAAGGGCCTCGCAATGACATATGAATAGGGAATTTATTTATTTTTTGAGCTCGCACTTTGGTCAAACGTCACAAACGTTGTTTGCAAACAGTTGTATAAACACTTATTAGTGGAGTTTTGTGGTGCGGAATTTCGCTCAAATTGGGGGAAATTTGTGAAAAATATCGTTGAATACTATAACTGAAGTTGCATAGCAAGAGCTAAAATTTTAGAAGAATTAATCACGTTGCCGATTTAGAGAAGAAACCCAAAATTTACAGAGGAAGTAGCCCAAGTGCGAAGCTCAGATTTTGATGGAAATTGGCACAAATTTAGAATAATCTTTTCTAAGAGTTATATGAGAATCCTAGCTTGCGCTTTGCACAAAGGACCGAGGTTTTTACGCCCAAAGTTTGACAGAAAAGTGGCACTTTTCTTTTTAATTTTGGCATGGAAAGTAACGTGCTTATTTCTTCCATAGAGGGTAATGTTTCCACAAAAAAAATAAAATTTTTCCGCAAGAAACAGTTAAATTTATGACTAAAAAGTCCTTTTCTCTGACCGCTCACCGCGTTTTGTGAACTCCCTCGGCCACAAAGATCGTTGAAAGTCTCAACTGCCCCTGCGAAGCGCGAGCAAAACCTGTAAGGAATTGATACAGTGGCATTTTGCATCCGGAAAGTGTCAAAAATGTGGCAAATTACCTCACTCTCCAAATATTCACTGTAAAAGAAGGGTGAGATAACCAGCACGGCCCTCAAAATGAAGTTTTATTAGTTGAAGAGGGAGGCATTTTGACACATTTTTTGACACTGTCCGGATGCAAAGTGGTACGTTTTTTGTCATTGGATCAGGTCCGCGGCTGTATGTGGCCTATGTCCGAAATGCGTGCAAAATTTAGAGAAAATCTAAGCGCCGAACTTGGGCTATTCCGGCGGTCACATTGGCATAGCTAAGCTGCAGTAATAGCCTTATTAGGATCCGCAAATACCGTTAGTACACAGACAGTTTCCCTAAAACCCCTTTTTTTACCTCGCATTTTATATAAAATTCTATTCGAAAAAAATGCAAAAACCCTTCGTAATACGTCAAAATTACCAGTTTAAAACCGTAATTACACAGTAAATCTCAGAAAAATCTATACGAATTTTCCTGGCCAACCAAAAAACGTAATGTCAGCGAGGTTTTGCAGACTATTTCTGTCCGCACAGTGCAAAACGAACTTACTTTTTACACGAAAAATTTCAATGAAACATGGCGAGTACAAGTCGAAGTGGCAATTGGAGTCATCGAAACGGCTCAAAAGGACGTCATTTGGAGGCGAAAGGGCTGAAAAATAGAAAAGGTAATGATGTAAGTGTAATAAACGGCGTGTTTTGAAGCTCGGCATCAAGGAATAAAGAACGGAACGAAAATGAAATTATGGTGGAAACCATAAAAAATCTCGGTACATCAAAACCTGTAAATAACAAAAATTTTAGGTAGATAAATAGGAAATCTTGGGCAAAAATAGCTGAGTTTCTGTATACCAAAAGCTTTTTATTAACAGAGGAAGTACCCCAAGCACGACGCTCAGATTTTGATGAAACCTCGCACAAATTTAGAGTAATTTTTGCCAAGATATATGCGAGAATCCTATCCCGCGCTTTGCAGAAACAATCGAGATTTTTAGATTGAAAATCCGCGAAAATTTGAAACTTTTTGCCGAATTTCGGCACGAAAAGTTTCATGCCTATTTCTACCGTAAAGGATAATATTTCTACAAAAAATCAAAATTTTCCGCA